AAACAGCAAAAGCACAAAAATATACTATTCTATAAAATACAATTCCAATAACTCTTGTACCCTAAATCCGACCCAAAAACAGTAGACTATACAAATACTAGAAACCAATCAAAGAAAGGTGACAGCATACAATCACTGACACAACTGCGACACGCGACCTCTTACTCAACAAACTGTTTAGCAAAACTGTTTAACTGTTTAGCAAACCACTAAGATTCATACAGTAACTGTCATTCTTTTTTGCTACTATCCCTTTTATTACAACTAGTCGATTTTTCATTTTGAATTTTGGACAGTGACTTATTTTTTTGTGTTAGTTGTCGCTAAAAAACAACTTAAATAATCACGAAAGTAACTGATACTTAGATGATTGTGTAATTACTTATTTATGTAAATCAATGTTGGCTATCAGCCATCTTGGCTATTACTTCACATTGGCCACAAGAATGTCACCAAAATTTGAAAAAAGAACAAATAATAATACAAAACTTGAATAAGAGGGCGCTGCAGTCGATTATAATCCACTGTTTGTAGACAGCCGTTTGTTTTACGCTACAATGTTTAAGTTCAAATAGTTAGCTGTTATGTACTCCTGGTCTCCTGGTCTCTATTTGTATTTATTGTGTAGATGTGCGACTGTTTGTGTACTGACGTCTCGCAACACTTCGCGTTTAGAGAAATATAGAGAGAATTGCGCAAGCACATACAGTTTGTACAATTGTAGACATAAGCTTATAGACTAGTACAACACTAACCTCCTATCTATTTTCCTTAGCTTTTGTTACACGTTATCTACCTATGAAGATATTCAGTGAATTTCAGTTTACGTGGAACCTGATGGTATTGGCAAAAAGTAGGTATAATGCAGAAGGGTTCTAATGTTAATGGTAGATGTCTATAACGTATGCATTGCGCAAAGAAAATCCCTTTTTTATGGGATACGAGGTCAGTTAACGAGATAACGCATCACCTGATGGTAAAGAATAAACGTGGCAATCTTTTCGTGGTTAGAAATTCTGGGATTGGGAATAGTTGGGGGAGACTTGGTCTCAGGTAAACTCCGATAAAGTATTTACTCAGCCCATTTGTACCAAAGCATGGCTTCCTTCCACAACTAAAACTATTAAAAAAGTAATTTATTGCAAAATATGTTTCCACTTCTATACCCGCGAACATTTCAGCAATGACTTCATTGGGTCGTTACTCTAACAAATCATGCGCGTGCGACTGTTTATTGGCAAAGATCGAAGTTTCGCGGTTCCCTTTGACTTGGAGTGTTAACCTTATTGTTTATATTCCACTTGTTATCCATCAGCATTTGTTTAGTACTTACAAAGAATTCGCAGCTGAATGATCTAAAAGAAAATGAAGAAGTAATGTTTATTCAAATATTTTTAGAATTCCTTTTAGTTCAATTCTGAGAGAAATGTTAAAGAGACTTTTCATGTTTTATAATTTGAAGTATTATTGAGTTTTTCATTAATACTTACGGCTTGTAGATTTTACAATTTTATGTTTTAAAATTTTGTAAATACATTGTCTAATACTTATTACATTTTGAAATGCTCGTGTCATAAGAAACTGGAAAGAAACATCACAAAACACAAAAGTACTCGAAACTACTACAAATATTACTACTACTCAAACCTACCTTTAAAAAAACTAGGCATATATGTATCTAATTATATACCTAGATACCTGCACTTAATCCGTCAAGTACAAACAGAGTTTGACCTCATTCAATTATTTGGTTAACCTAACCAGAAGACCAAAAATGCAAAACAATACATGCATAAGTATCTATTATTATAATATAATATTATTATTATTCATACCGCATCAATGCACTTTGCTAATCATACAAAATAATTATGACTTACCGAATATATCCATGTGGTAGGAAAATAAAAAAAATGTTGTAGGTATTTGCGATTATCCTAGAATTTTAAAAACCTCTTAGGTATGTATGTAAGAAAGCTCAAAAGACCAGCAGAAATTCACCACTATTCACGACCTACGTTGATGATGAAAGTACAGACTAATCCAAAAAAATCTGGAATGAAAAATAACAGAAAATCGTATTTTGTTTTTTGCTGCTTTTGTATTTTCAAAAAAGGATTCTTATTTTGAATGAAGATAATACAAGAAGATGATCGGCAAAGATGGAAGACTTCTTACAACGAATTCCGATTAAGTCCAGACGTACTGCTTGTGGATTAATAAATATTTTGTGCTGCTATATGTTAGCAGTTTCAAAATATCAGAATATCCTCCAACATTAACATATATAATGTACCGGATGTTGAATCGGTTTAAAATCTTTTTAGCGACACCTAACTACCTTTATGACTCATTATTGATATGTAATCGTGCATTCGTGACATCAATGGACACATTTGCATCGCTATATCCAAATTGGTGCGTGGTCCTTGGAGCCTAACTTATGAAGTGTTACCCATAGTAGCACGGAAGTTGGTCCTTTTGAGATCAACCTTCAATGTCCTAGTGTTTGACGACGAATTGTGATGTAGATACGCTAGCCAGTTTGTCATGATGTTAATTGAACTGTTGATTAAATGAACTTAAGAATTATGAGGAGTTACTGAGGCTGATCTCAAATCTTCAACTGTTTTTTTTTTTAAATTGCCTCACATTAGTATTTTCTCCTGTGTCGTGAGTGCGGTTTCAAACATACAATTTCACATACACAATTTGTGGATCACACAAAGAGTTTTTCCGTGCGGGACGATCGAACCTGCGGCACGTTGCACGGGAGCCAGTCGCTCAGCCACCGCACTAAGCGTACAGTCAGTTAATTAGAAATGTTATGTCTAAAATTTGATACACATCACCTGTTAACTCTACTGCACTGAAGAATCTGTCACACACGAATTAGATTACTCGAACCACAGAAATCACTCTAGAAATCACTCTCTCAATTTGAAAAAAGAACCTAAGGACCACGTGATCCACATTCGTTCCCATTTCCACATGGTCCACAAAGTAATTCGAGTTCACCAATTAATAGTATTAAAAGCGTAATAATGATACGTGATTCCCGCTCAGATTACAGCTGCGTTAATTAAACTGGTGTAACTGACTAACTGTCGGTATAAACCTGCCTTTGTTTGGCAACGGATGGTAATTAACTCGTTCTTTACATCCCGGTCCTTAGGTTCGGAGTCCCGTGGGATCCGATTCAGTTTTGAAAGCGTGAGTCATGGAATTTCGGCGGTGTTATTATTGGTATACTTATTTACTTAAGTATATCTTTTTTGGGTGATTTTTTATAGTATTTTTGTAGTTGTATTTCGATATTCCAAATTTCCACAAATTTTGGCCTACACCTTAATTTATCTAGTAAATCACTATTCAACTATTCATAATATATATTTGCCTAAAAATATACGAACTAAGGTACGAACTACGGTGTAGAGTAACAACTAAAATACTAATATACAATATATATTTAAAGCAAATCCTATCCCACTTATATTATAAATATGAGATTTGTCAGAAAGTATGGATTTAAATATGTGTGTTATTCTTCCACGTAAAACCGGGTAGACTGATTTGACTGAAAGGTCTATACAATATAGGTGATAACCTTCATTTACACTAAGGCTGCTTTTTATCAACATACCACGGGGAGAAGCCGCGGTAGGAGTTAGCTTGAACTAAACTCAAAATAAACCAACATATCTGGAATGCATAGAACCCCGCTGACGTCTGTAACTTGTTCTATTACGTAATAGAGATATTATCGATAGTAACACGATGGTACAGTTAGCCGCCTGAGTCCTTTATCAACAATATTTATCTACGTTTCGGTGTTCGACAGATGACAACATAGATAAAACTTTTATTAACGTCCTATTACATCTTATAAATTGTTCCTTTTATAAATGTTAAAGGTACTTTCTGTATTTCAAAATATATGGTAAAAAAATATTGAAAGAAGAATTTTTACGTGTCTTAAAATTAACACTAAAAATTCAGTTAAGTAAGTATTGTAAGGGCTGATTTTTTAATAGTCAGATAAATGTTATCTGAGAAATAAAATTGTTGCTGTCACTGTCTTATGTAAACATTCTGACGCGAAAGCATCATAATTATTCCCCAGGTAACTTTTATCTAACCATTGAAAAATCGGCCCTAAGTAATTTAATACTTCTAGAAAATAATTAAGAAAGTTACAATGTAAGTAAGTAATGCTGATTTAGGATGATATTTAATGCAATGCTTGCAAAAGGCTGCTATACTTATCTTAAATACTTTATGATAACGTAACATCAACATTGTAGTTACACTCAGTTTGTAATATTTTTTTACTATGACTTTGACTTAATTGTATAACACACTAGCTACTCTAGCGTGTTTAAACCCGCTGCTCGGCTCCATTTAATCGTAGCATGATGTTTTATAGCACTCAGGAATATTGTAGGTATCTATCAGTGAAAGAATTTTGGCTATCCGACCAGCGGTTCCATAGATTACCTCTACATACAAACTAATAGTAATAGTAATAACACATAAACATTTATTAACACAAAAATCCTACTTAAATAATTTAAAAATTGTAGTTATCTTCATAAGTAAAGATCGAAAGCACGTACCATCTTCGTTCTAGTAACTTACTTTTAATTTAAAATTCAAAATGAATTCTGTAATTTATTGTCCTCAATGAGCTGTTTTTTATATGTTAAGTTTATCCTTCTCTAAAGGCTGGATGTTATTGACGTGACATTGATGATTAGGTTGGCTAATAGCAATATCTATTTCCAGCAGTGACCGGAAATCATATGATAATGATGATTTTATTTATTATCATCCATTGTTTTACCCGGTTGCAGTTTAACATAGTACCTAATGTTTAGTCGTGGCCGTAGATAAAACAAATTTAAATTGTTCGATTGATCTTTCTTTTAAAAAATGAAACAAGCTTTCTCTGTTTTACACTCATTAGGCAAATACCTAATCATATTGTTTATTTGTTTCAGATCGCTGCTACTAGCAGCCATCGTATTAAGTAATTGTATAACATGGACGGCTTCGAGACACCATTACGCACACAATGTAAGTAGACACACTTGTTTGAAACGAAATTAAGAATGTTTTAAGAGAAATTCTCCAACATAAAGTGTGGGAGAGCCAAGCTTCGGCACGAATGGGTCAGTCGACCGACGGCTCAACCGGAGTGATACCACAACCTCACAGAAAACCGGCGTGAAACAACAACAGCGTTGTGATTCGCTATGTGAGTCAGGTTACCGGAGGCCCAATCATTTTTCCTCTCCCCATCCCTGCCCAATCCTTAAATATCCGAACCCTTATTCCCAAAAGGCCAGCAGCGCACTCATAACTCCTTTTGTGTTGCGGATCTTCATGGGCGGCGCCGATTGCTTACCACCAGGTAATCCGTCTGCTCATTTGCTGACCTATCCCATTAAAATAGAAATTGTAAGATCCTCTTATACTTGGCTAGGTGGTGATGTATCATTATCAAACCAGAATGGTCGTTGGTCATCGTAAACGCGCTAAATTCGAACTCATAAATCTAAAATTTAGCAAATACAATAATATCATAATTATGAAACAATTGTCGAAACAAATCCGACCCGATGCTAAGGAGCACAGATCGTCGACCGCCGTAGCCTTGACATTGGGTCGCAGACGGCTCGACCATGAGCTCGAGCAAGCATCATACTTTACGACTCCAAGGACCACGATCAGCCCCCGCCAACTATATTTCAATCATCGACCATCACATCTCATTAGCCACCAGACATTTACGGCCGCCGACATAACAATAGATGAGTTCTGTAAATAAAAAATGCATTGTTTTAATATTTTTGTCCATCTAACAATTTATTATGATCAAGTTATTGATACAGATTTATTACATAGTGTTTCACAGCTGTTTCAATTATTATTTGTGCATACTATTGTTTGATAAATGATTTTAAATTATGAGCTATAAAAGAATTTGCTTTAGATTTACTTGTTACCAATATTTTGAAGATATAACTAATATTATATTAAGTCTGTTTTTATTGTAAATAAGCATAGGCCATTTGGTCCTTCCGTACTCTAAGGACCAAATTTTTACCACCCGTATCTCAAAACTGGCTTCTTCATAACTACAAGGGTAATAAACCAGTTCATCGATCACTAAAATTAAAACAGTCATAAACTAATAAACGTAACGTTATTACAATCACGAATAATGTTTCGTTGGATGCCGCTGAGTGACGCATCCAGCATCTGACGAAGTCTCGTGTCAGCCACAGCGTGAGATCATGAGCCGGCCCGTTGCGTTACTTACAGTTTTAACGACAGGGCTGACTGCTCACATCAAAATACATATTTGTAAGATTTTATCTGAATTAGTGAAAATACGATCTGAGAACACCATTGCCTAACCTGGATATTATAGGGGAAATTGTAATTGGAGGACAAATACAATACAGTTTGTCTTTTAACAAAATCTACTTTATGACTCAAGGTTAGTTTATTTGCCTATATCGAAAATTAATTCGAAAAGACCACTGTCATAAACTTGATTAGCTTTAACACTGAGTCTCGATCTATAAAGTCAAAAAATAGAATTCAGCTTTATCATACCGCAATCTTGTTTCACCCATGGCACAAAATATGAAACCTCTAAGCACAAAGCACAAGCCTCTAAGTACAAAGCATAATGGCACACCCGGAATATTCTCACTTAGGCTGCATACCGATATTAATAGAACATACAACAGCATTAATATTTCATGGCAGGATCTTTATGACAAACACGTCCAATGCAGACATTCATATGTACTTAGACAGAATTTTAGATGTCAATTGATATACAGAGTGGGAACACACTTAAAAAATTATAAATGATGAGTGACAGCCCTAACCGAAAGTAATAGAAAAACATCAGAATAGTCATAAATCTAATCAGGGTTGGCGCCTAATGATGGGCGGCCGCTCACCCCTCCCCCTTTCAGCTTAGTCCTATTTCTGTACGTATGACTTGGTGATCACCATACGAATTTATCATTTCTTAAACTGTGTGTTTTGTAATATCTTATATTTGGAACGCTTGCCACGACGGCGCCAGTGCAATAAATCATGAATATCAATTACTTTATTTAATCATCGAACTAACCATTTATATCTTAACAAGTTTCTTTAACATCATTCGCCAAAACAATATTATTTTATATAAGAATAAGAACCTCATTGCTTGATACATTCAAATCAAAGTCTCTTTTAGCTCGTTCTTCTCAGAAATCATAATAATTGTAATCGTTAAGCCAAAAACCCAACTCCATTCCTTACAGCATTGACGCACCTAAAGTTTACTCAGTACTCAATAAATGTTGTCAATACGTGTGCACTACTCGAGTAATTAAACTTGAATGGGGCACGTTTCCTGTTGCCGCTTGTCGCCGATAGGTGGAGTTTCGAGTGGGGAAATGAAAATAAACTGTCACCCAGCGTGCATACAGCCTTGTCTACACTTAATCAACAAATACCCGCGCTTTGTATGGATCGAGGGCCGGGCTTAGGATATGCTAAGGATGGTAAATTAGTCCTTTAATTGAACATTGGTTTCTGATTTCCAGATTGGTTTTTCTGGTTTTTACTATTTCCAGAACGCTATAAGGATTACATCATCAAAATAAAGACCAAGAATACCTACGCTTTATCTACACACTTTTCAAAGCACGCGAGCGGGACACGGCTGGATTCACAAATCAGTTCTATTCAGTATGTAGCGGCACTATCACGTCGCTACATTACTTAGATACGATAGAGATAAGACATACATGTTAATTGTTGCACGTTTGTTAGGATAGCTAAATCTGAAAATCTCACGCATCTTCTTAGTATATAAGCACCAGCAATTAAAGTAATAAACAGACCTTAACCATCTACAGTCTCATTATTTACCTTGCCACGAAGTCTGGCAAATTGGTGACCCCGACGAAGAACAATCAACATGACTCATTCACCCTGCAAATCAAGCAGCAGCCAACAAGAAGCCTTGGAGATATCAGCCGGAACCGCCATTTTATCCCGTATTCCGGAATTTTGGAGGGACCAACCCAGATTATGGTTTAAGCAACTAGAAGCCATAGTAGCACCACAGAAGCAAGGAGACGATTACAAGTACTATACGGTCATTGCAAAACTGCCAAAAGAAGAAATAATACAGGTTAGTGACCTCATTACTTGCCCACCGCCAATAGAAAAGTACAAGGCTATCAAAGAACGCCTAATCAGTTGCTATGAGGAATCAGACCAACGTCAGCTCCAAAAATTATTGTCTGAAATGGATCTCGGCGACCAGAAACCATCACATCTTCTGCGCAAGATGCGGACCCTGAGTAACGGAAATATCAGCGACGAAACCATCAAACTTCTATGGTTGAGGCTTCTGCCACCATCAGTGACTTCGGTTCTAGCAGTCACAGAAGACATAGATGTGAACAAGATGAGCCAGATCGCGGACAAGATATTAATAAATTCAACACGTACAGAGGTGTCAGCTGTAAACGGAAACAAATCTGGCGACGATACAATGTTCAATTCACCCCGAGCTCAACAAATGCTCACATGTATTCGTGCGCTGTGACAGAATAAGGAAAAGTTTAACACCACCATACGAAGGACCATTTCTAGTGACAAAGAGGATAGATAAGACGTTTATCATTAAAATTGGGGACAATGAAAAAGCAATATCTATAGACCGATTAAAACCTGCATTTGTCTTCAATAGTGGAACGAACGTGCCAAATTCAGAAAATAATCACAACGGGCGGAACACGTACATCACGAAGTCAGGACGGGCGGTTAAGCCGACAGTACGATTCGTCACTTGCTGACACAAGTAATCAGTCCATTTAAATACTCACCGTATTTTGAAAATACCATCATATACCGTCAGTATCTACGAGAGAACAATGGGCAACCAAAGCTCCAAAGATCAAATCGTATATAACTCCGACAGTTGCCTTAATCAAAATGAAGCCGACCATCTCAAAAGTCTTGTCCTGGAAGAGCTACGGTGGACGAGAAACATTGCAATTGGACAAATCCTCATCACAATTGGCATCCTTCTTCTCTACGGAATACTGAAGACCTTAGACAGAAGAGTGAAAACAATAGCAAGAAACAATCAGCACAAATGCAGTGGATAGTTCATCGACTGCCGCCGCCGTCACAACAAAGGCAGCAGTTTTTATTTCCTTCGAATTAGCAACAATGACATTACATTACGCATAGGATGTAATTTATCAGCAAGGTTAAGTTATTATATAATTAGGTACATACTAATTTTTTTCAATTTATATGTTAATTATTTTTAAAAGGGGGGAGTATATGTAGCTGCACTATCACGTCGCTACATTACTTAGATACGATAGAGATAAGACATACATGTTAATTGTTGCACGTTTGTTAGGATAGCTAAATCTGAAAATCTCACGCATCTTCTTAGTATATAAGCACCAGCAATTAAAGTAATAAACAGACCTTAACCATCTACAGTCTCATTATTTACCTTGCCACGAAGTCTGGCAAACAGTACCTAATTATTTTACCCAATTTTTTATGTCTAAAGCTTACGAGGTTGCAGCTGCATAAAGTAAACTAAAAAAAAATCTGTTTATTTCTCAAAGTACTAGCTAAACACACCTTGTCTTATCATCTCACTTTACCCAACTCCGGCCCATTCATCCGATTGTACTTCACCTGCAGTGCACCTCGTTGCAACACTCGCAGCGTCAGTAATGCACTACAAGTTGTTTATCGTCATAACATGTTACCTTCTCTCGCCGGTGACACGCATTTTATTGCTAAGAGCTTTTACACACTGAGAGTTAAATAATAATCGCGGCGGGTGGCACGTCCATATGAGCTTTATTTATTTTTCGGAGCTGTTTATGTGAAATGATCTTATTTTTAATTTCTATGACCGTTTGTGTAAATTAAGTGTTATCCTAGAATCTTTCTTTCTTTAGTTTTATATTTTTTATATTTATATATGTATTTTATGTGATAGGACGGCAAACGAGCAAACGTATTACCATATAAGCAATCGATCCCGTCCATCAACACCAGCAACAACGGAGAAGTTGCGAGTGCGTTGCCGACCATATGGAGATTAGGGTTTTAAAGATTTAGGTACTGGCGAGGGATTGGGAGAGCGGAAAGATTGTATCTCCTGCTCCGGTAACCACGCTCTCACGGCGAAATCACGCGCCGTGGTTATAATACGCCGGTTTTTTGTGAGGCCGTGATATACTCCTGTCGAGCCGACCCATTTGTGCCGAAGCATGGCTCTCGCAAAGTTAAATATAAGCACATTAAAGTATAGTTTATAGCCTTTTATAGCATTAATATTATCTTCACCAGGTTCACCAACACCGCACCAGACACAGGCGGCAAGGCGCCGGTCTATATCTACCTGCATCCTACGTCATACCCGGAGGGGAAGGGTCGGGACCCTGGGGAGACTGGGGGGAGATCTCACCTTGCTCTAGAACCTGCGGAGGAGGCGTAGCCAGCCAAAAGAGAATATGTCTAGAGCCAGGGTAAGATACAACTTGATATTTTCAGCAAAATTTCTGCAATTGATCTAAAACATTATTTTCTGGGACACTTTTGACTTGTCGTTGCTTTGTATACCTTTTTTTTGGCCATACAAAACTTCCTTGTCAAAGGGAAATATTTAATTTTGTTAAGGTCTTTTTATCGAATAAGTCACCTTTCTGTTTTGTGTGTAAATCCTAGAAGGTCACACAATACAATAGTATGACCTACGCAGTGGACTACATCAATTATTTGACCCTCGATAACCATCTTCTCTGCTCGACCAGACCACAGAACTCGTGTACTGGTGGCGACACGAAGTACTTCTCATGCCAGACGCAGGACTGTCCCGCCGGCTCGGGTGACTTCAGAGCCGAGCAGTGTGCGGAGTTCGACGACAAGGAGTTCAGGGGTTTCAAGTACAAGTAAGTAGTCCATACATCACCATCATCCTACTAATCGGGGGATTATCTATCTATCGTACAAATTTTATACATTTCGTCATTTAATTTGACAGTTGGGTTCCGTACACGAAGGCCCCAAACCCTTGCGAGTTAAACTGCATGCCCCATGCAGAGCGGTTTTACTTCCGACACAAGCTGCAAGTGGTGGACGGCACCAGGTGTAATGAAGACTCCTTCGACGTGTGCGTCAACGGAGTCTGCCAGGTAACGCTCCCAACATGACTATAGCTGGTCACTATCCACTCCACGTATTGGGGAGACTGTATTACCGTGCCGCCATAATTCCAGCACGTGGGCTGTGACATGATGCTGGGCTCCAGTGCGAGGGAGGATAAGTGTCGGGAGTGCAGAGGAAACGGCACCAACTGTCACACCATGGAGGGATTGTTCGACTCGCAGGATCTCTTAAAAGGTGAGACCCATTTTACAGATTACCGACAAAAGAGAAAAATTCATCTCACAAAAAAATACGTGTTTGAGACGAACGGATACATCACGCAATGAATTCTGAATTCAAAACTTCGTTCTTGAGCATTAAAATAAATGCCCTTTATTTTTTTTTTTATTTATTTAAATAGAACTTTAATCGTGTATATTCATTCATTCAATTCAACTTTTAATTGTAGGGTACAACGACATCTTGCTGATTCCTGAAGGCTCCACCACTATCATTATTGAGGAAATCGAACCCTCAAACAACTACTTAGGTATGTAATAATTAATATTTCTAGCAATATAGAATTATATTGACACTTTCTCAACCGGGTACCAATACAATAATACTACTTATTAATAATACTAATTATTCGCAGCATTAAGAGCTAAAAACGGCACGTACTACCTGAACGGCCACTACCACATCGACTTCCCGAGGAGTATCATGATCGCTGGCGCCCTCTGGACGTACGAACGCAGTCAGCAAGGTTTCCCTGCGCCTGACAAACTCCGCTGCTTAGGACCTATCACAGAACCTCTATATCTCTCCGTAAGTGTATCTTCCTATCAATTTTACTTATATACTTAGTCGGGTCATAAGTTCTGTCAAAACCTTATATTTTTAATTTTCGATTACTGGCCAGAAATTCTTCGACTTATTTTAAAAATAGAACTTTCGCGCTTGTAGAAAATAAAAAAGAAATTATTTTTTATTCATTTTTAAATATGGAGTGGTCGAATAAAGAAGACAGAATCGCGGTTATCGCGTTGCACCGCTGTGGTTACGCGCCAAAAGACATTTTCAATATTCTTCAAAATTTGAAAATAACGTTACGGTTTGTTTATCGTACTATCAAACGATACACCGAAGAGTCAAGCTTCGAAGATCGTAAGAGAAGCGGCCGACCTCGCACAGTTCGGACACATAAGGTCATCAAAGCAGTGAAGGCGCGAATCGAACGAAATCCCGTACGTAAACAAAAAATCCTAGCTCTGCAGATGGGGCTAAGCAGAACCACTGTTAAAAGAGTACTAAATGAAGACCTGGGACTACGAGCTTATCGTAAAAAGACAGGACATTTTTTGAACGAGCGTTTAAAAAAAATTAGGCTAGACAGATCCCGCGCTTTGCTACGACGGTACGCGGGAAAAAAATACCGCGAAATTCTTTTTTCGGATGAAAAAATTTTTACTATTGAAGAAAGTTTTAACAAACAAAATGATAAGGTGTATGCCCACAGCAGTGAAGAAGCAAGCGCGCGTATTGCGAGGGTCCAGCGTGGGCATTACCCTTCCTCATTCATGGTTTGGCTTGGAGTCTCATATTCAGGCGTAACTGAGGTGTTTTTCTGTGAAAAAGGTGTGAGAACTAGTGCCGAAGTTTATCAAAATACTGTCCTAACAAACATAGTGGAACCTCTTTCTCAGACAATGTTCAGGAACAGGCATTGGATATTGGATATTCCAACAGGACTCTGCACCGGCTCATAAGGCACGAAGTACGCAAGACTGGTTGATCGCTCGTGGAATTGACTTCATCCGGCATGAAGACTGGCCCTCTTCTAGTCCAGATTTAAACCCACTGGACTACAAGATATGGCAATATTTGGAGGAAAAAGTCTGTGCTAAACCTCACCCGAATTTGGAGTCTCTCCGAGCATCTCTGGTTAAAGCAGCGGCAGACATAGATATGAATGTGGTGCGTGCAGCGATCGATGACTGGCCGCGTAGATTAAGGGCATGTGTTCAAAATGGGGGAGGGCATTTCGAATAATGTAAATAAAATTATATTGTACATTTAATGACCTTTCATTTCATATATAATTTTTAAATAATTGTCAAAAGGCGTATAAGTTATTACATCAAAAGTTTGTGACAGAACTTATGACCCGACTAAGTACAATAGAACTACTAGACTTTATATATAGGTATATATCGAAAGATACAACAACACTTTTATCATTTAAACTTCTTCAATCGTGGTTATTTCTGTTACAGCTTCTTCTTCAAGATGTAAATGTAGGTATCAAATACGAGTACAGCATCCCCAACAACTCTACGCCTCCCACTGACAAGCAATACAACTGGGTGCATGAAGAGTTTACGCCGTGCAGCGCCACCTGTGGCGGCGGTGAGTAAAACTATTGCGTAAGAGCAGTACATGTTGCTTTCATATTTTTATTAGGCGCCGTTCGATAGCTTTTTATAATCTTTGTTGTAGCCTCAATTCTTCATTTAAATTAACGAAAAATATAATGGCCGCTACTTATGAAGGATACAAGCCTTCATATCTCACTGACATCTATGTTCCTAAATTGTTTATCCCTTTGTTTGTCATAAAATAATAATTTAACTTGACTGCTGAATTTAGTAAATATAACCAAAAAAAATCGATGTGTTAAAAGTAAACAAAAAATTTTAACTTCTTCTATAATCACAACCCAGGTTTTCAAACACGCAACGTGACATGCAGATCAAGGGAGGAGTTGGAGGTGGTTGACAACAACTTATGTGACGAGGGTCTGAAACCCCCCACGAACCAGTCCTGTAATCAAGACCCCTGCCCCGCGCAGTGGGTGGCAGGACCTTGGGGAGACTGCTCCAAGAGGTGTGGCAGCGGGGGAGTCAGGTCTCGGGAGGTCACCTGCCAGAAAGTCATTGCTAATGGGTAAGAGGATACTCGATCCAAGGATTTACAATGTATTAGCAGTTTCATTTGACCAGCTGAATACATGCAACCGATTCTATGTCGTTTACCATATAACGACTCGTGCGAAAGTGACGTTTTCCTACAAATTCAAATAAAATAAAAAATATTTTCTATCCAGCATCGCATCCATAGTTCCGGAGAAGGAGTGCTTCGAGTTACTGGGCCCGAAACCTGAGTTATTCCAAAAGTGTAACGAAGATGCTCCCTGTCCCGACTGGTTCGTTGGGCACTGGAAACCGGTAAGTTAGAAACAGGATAATAAAGAAATAATCATCTTATTATCAGCTAGCAAGTACTAAACATGGTAAACCTCCCTCAGTGTGACAAACTCTGTGACGAGGGCAAGCAGACGAGACAGGTGGTGTGTCGCCAGAAGATCAATGGCCGCGTCACAGTGCTAGGTGACGGGAACTGTACAGACGAGAAGCCAGCGGTTGAGCAGAAGTGTATGATACAACCCTGCGATGGTGTGGACTGGGTCACTTCTGACTGGTCTGGGGTAAGTGCAATATCAACTTCACTGCAGAACATTATTTGCACTCTGACCTTTCTTACTATTGATACTTTCCTTTTCAGTGCGACACCTGCTTTTCAAAATTGAGGACACGGTCAGTAACTTGCGCGACGAAGGGACATCAGGTCTTGAATGATAGTTTTTGTACGTACCATAACCGTCCAGTGGAGCAGGAAGAGTGCGACGAGGCCAAGCTGCCACCGTGTGAGGTGCAGTGGTACGCCACACAGTGGAGCAAGGTTTGTAAAACAAAACTTTACTGGTGACTTATGAACCAGTCTTCGGTGTCGTTGGCAGTCGAAACTGCATTGACCGTTCCATATTCTACAAAGCGTTCTAGTTGTTAATATTTTCGTTTTTCTCATTTTCGACAGTGTTCCGTTGAGTGCGGCGATGGAGTTCAGACTAGGAAAGTGTTCTGCGGCTTGCTCAGTGACGATAGCGTGGAAAAAGTAGAGGATTCCAAGTGTGCTCACCTCCCGAAGTACAATGACACCAAACCTTGCTCTGTTCCCAAAGAGAAATGTCCCTCGCAGTGGTTCACTGGGCCTTGGTCAGAGGTGAGTGCCAATTTTATCATAGTTGTATATTTTTCGTAATGGTGGTTTTACTATTGGTAACATGTCTATTTCGACTTCTAGTGCACCAAAGAATGCGGTGGAGGGGAGCAGTTCAGACGAGTAATGTGTCTGCGAGGGAATGAGGAGGCCTTCGACTGTCCTGCTGATGTTGTGCTTGACTCGACGCAGTTCTGCAACACTGGACCTTGCAATAAAGGTAAACCTCATAACTTCTAATAGAAGGAGCAGGATAGCAGGATAGGAGCAGATATATTTGGCCCATCTGATGGTATCTTTACGTTCAATACCAGAGGTTTCCAAATACGCAAGAGTGTTAGCAACCATGTAAGATGGTGTTTGACTTTTTTTTAGTAAGAATTTTCAAATAATAACTGTATTCCCTGAATAAAGGGCGTACCATATTTTTCACGGAACTTTTAAAAATGGTTTATACACTCGGAACTCCAATTAATAATTTTCCAAATGAAATGCATACTTACATAATTATTCACAATCTATGTAATTTGCATGTGATGAACTCTACTGAAGCTACTATATTTTGACCTTCAGATGATCTGCTGCCAGTGGACAAACTGTCTACAGTTATTATGGACGATGACGATGATTACTGTGATGAAGACGTGGAGATGGAAGAGGCCGGTTTAGATTTCGACCTGACTGATACTACGGTGAGCCTTAAGTTAAAAAGTCTTTTTGAAACGCTATGGCTTAAATAGACACAGAAATGTGCAAAAGATACAATAAGAATGCAAAACATTACGATTTAAATTTTGCGTTATCAGCATTTATAATAATGGAGATTAACGTGTTATTTTCTTTCCAGCCTGATCTCGCACTCAGTGACTCCCCAATGACTAGTAAGTATACTTCCATTTTCAATAGATTTTAAACGCATTATAGTTTAGATTTAGATAGATAATAAAAAAATCGCAGAAATCTACCAGGATACAATAAAGTTGTAGTAGATGAACGATATACTTAGAAATTACAAAAAATGTCCTTAATTTCAGGTTACGCCGAGCATGAAGTATCTTTGGATGCTGGATCCGGATGTAAGTTTAATAATTTTACTAAATTAAAAACTTAAAAAACAACACTTAATTTGATACACAAACTAAAGAAACTACTTCTCATGATTGAAAAGCCGTACTAGCAGATGATAATAAAGCTTTAATACTTACAGTTTCATCGTTATCAACTGATGACCTGACGACAGACGAGGGCTCTGGGTTCAGTAGCGCCTCGACAGACACATCGTACCACACTGAATACGATGATGATGGTTCTGGTGAAACATCTGTAAAACCATCAGGTTCTACACTCACAACTATAATACCATCTCTAGGTAAGCAGTGATAATGAAAGAATGGTCTACTTGCATTTACTTGTTAAACGTTTCAGCGAGCTTAGAGGTGTAGCAAAAAATCGTGTTTTTCTAGAAATAAAAATATATGGGCCAATTTTATTTTTACGTAAGCCTAGCGAGTGAAACTGAATAAGTACTGCTAGGTACTTATTGCATAATAGGTACCTAAGTTTCATAGCGGTTCGTTGGTGAATCTCCCATAGCATATACAATATATGAAGATACATAGGCATTATTCCTTTACATAAAACATACTTTCCCACGAAAAATTGTTACTTGACCATTCATAAAAATTATTAAACAATTTTTTTTACAGAGCCTGATCTTGTTGCAAGCATCTCTACAAAACTTGAATCATCTTCTACAATAACTGATTCGACGTCAAGCGATACTGAAAGTGAGACAGGCTCTACGCCAACAGGTGTCACTGAGGAGACATCCTCTACTGATGAAAGCTCTACTGATTCTACTGGGTCTACTGAATCTACTGAAACCGGTTCCACATCCTCCGATGAGACTGGTGCTACAAGTTCGACTGAAGCTACCAAAGACACTGATTCCACAGGCTCAACGGTAGAAGCAAGCAGCAACGCTACTGAAAGCGACTCTACATCCTCAGATGAGACTAGTGATTCTAGTGCAACTGAAGCAACTACCAAAGATACTACAGGATCAACGGAAGAGGGCGATACATCAAGCACAGAAAGCAGTCGCTCCACTGATGTTAAGGAAACTGGATCTACTGAAGCAACCAGTTCAGCGGCATCTGAAAGCACGGGCACTTCTGACACATCATCTAGCACTGACGAAAGTTCTACTGAAGTTTCAACGTCTAATGAAACTGGTGTCACTACCCCTACTGGAGAAACTGATTCCACTGTTACAGAAGAAACAAGTGGTACAGAGAACACGGGTTCTACTGAATCTACTGTCACAGGAGAATCTAGTTCTACTGAGTCTGAGTCTACAGATACATCAAGCGCTACTGAATCTTCACCTACTGATACAACTAGTGCTACTGAATCCACGGTCACTGAAGAATCGACCCCATTAGAATCCACTATCACTGAACATACAGACACAGCTGGCACAACAGATGCAAGTGAATTATCTACGGACTCGGATTCGACAGATACTGATAACACAACAGATGATCTATCAACTACAGGTACATTATCGTCTTTCTTCTAATTTGATAAAATTACACTCTGATTGAGATAGAATAAATAAAACATTTGAAAGTTTTCTGAACACTTGAGAGCACCAATTCTCTTCGGTTATATTACGTGTGAATTAAATAGGTCAACTTATTCATGACTATATTTATTTTTTCAGGCTTGACAACTACACCCGTTCCAAAGGGTATGTTTATTCAGTCAATTATTATATTTTTTCTTGAAATGTGTTGTAAAATTATGCATTAATTAATTAATTTATTTTCTATAGGTTCAACGTTGACAACTCGTAAGATGCCAGGTGGTACGTATTTTCAACCATTATGTTTGTCATGTTTTGCAAAAGACTAGATTATTTGACTCTGATCAACCTATTTTCAGACACTGAGGAAACAACTACTCCTAAAGAATCAAGCACTGAACCGACATCTGAGACAGGTTCTACATCAGAAGTCGAATCTACCACTGCTCCAGAATTAACTACCGGAGGATCAGATTCAACCACGGAAGAATCAGGAGCTACTACCGAAGAATCAGGATCAACAACCGTAAAATCAGAATCAACAACAGTAGAATCAGGTTCGACAACTGCAGAATCAGAATCCACAACTGAAGAATCAGGCTCAACAATGACTGGTGCTGAGACCACTACCGAAGCTGTTGAAAGTAGTTCATTGGCTGAAACGACTGCAGAAGAAGGAAGTACGGAAGTTGTAAGCAGTACAACAGGAGGAGAAACAACTGTTGAGACTACTGGAAGTAGCCTGTTATCTGGATCAACTGAAGAAAGTTCTACTGCCTCAGGAAGTGAATCTACAGGAGAAACTACATCTAACACTGTCTCTGGTTCAGAAACAACAACGGAAAGTAGTGAATCGTCTACAGAACAATCTACTACCGAGTCTAGTGGTGAGTATTAATACAAAATCGCAACTGACCACAAACCTAATAATTAATTTCTTCCTAATAAAGATTTCGGACAAGTTTTTCGTCAGTAAAATTTAAATAATTAATGTGTATAACTGTATATAGGTATTTTCATATAGCTAAAACGTTTAATTAAACGTTTGAGCAATGTATTCAATTCTAATTTCGTACTTTGCTTAACCATCCTAAAAATACAAACAGATCTTTTTGATAACTCTGCCAAGGGCAAATCGTTCTGCTACGACGAAGTATATCCACACTGTTTGTACCAGTTCTAAACAAATATTTATGTACTTTTAAGTTTTTATCACAATATTTTTTTTTTAACAAAGATACTGCATCTACGGAATCGACAGCAGAGAGCTCTACTCTAGCAGAAGGCTCGACTGGCTCAGAAACATCTACGATTTCAGATCAAAGTACTACTGTTGAATCAGGCACTGAAGGTAATACAATTCCAAGAACTAATTAATCTAAGATTTCTTCATTTATTTTGTTATTAACAAATAACATTTTTATTACAGAAACAACAGGACTTTCAGGACTTACCACAACTGAAGAACCTACGACGGAAGGAGTAATTACTACCAAATGTTCGTATAAATATTTAACTTAAAGTTGTTTTCCAAGAGCTAATTTATAAGAAACATGTAAAATATTCCTTGCGTTCCCTTTCTTTTTTCACGTAGATAAAAAACTATCGGTGTAATCGTAGTGCGGATAATTTTTTTTTTTTTTAAATTGTATATATTTTTGATTTATTTTTATTACAGTATCATGGCAAGACGTCCTGAAATCAAACAGAACGTGCAAGCCACGTAGGAAACCCAAATGTAACAAGACGAAGTTCGGATGCTGCCCTGACAACAAGACCGCCGCTCTCGGTCCATTTGATGAAGGTACGTAAGGCTAACTGCCAATCCCTTCTGAGTAAAAAATGCAACATTGTACCTCATTGTCATATAGTTATGTTTTATTGTTTTGATAAACATGTTCGTAATTACAATTTGTCAGGATGTCTCAAACCACGCACTTGCAAGGAATCCCGTCATGGTTGTTGTCCTGATGGTGTGTCCCCGAAACTGGGCGCGACTGACGAAGGCTGTCCCGTGGAGCCCTGCGCAGACACGCTGTTCGGCTGCTGCCTCTCTGACAACAAAACCGCGGCTCAAGGCAACGACCAAGAGGGATGTCCTCCACCACCGCCAGCATGTGCATCGTCTAAGTACGTAAAACACGCCTATACATTCATAAGCCTTAACCTGTTTTTTTCAAATATACTTTACTAATCAATGTCGTAGGGTTTTCACATGCTTATTGAAATAATATTTATTGTTACTAGGTTTGGATGTTGTGCTGACAACGAGACCGAAGCCACTGGACCCAAAAAGGCAGGATGCCCTGAAACCGGTAAGTTTGTAAATCGAATATATGAGCAGATTTTAAAAATGTTATCGCGACTAGATTTGTCTCACATTTAAAGTCATAACTGTAGTTTTCCTACGATCATCATCAACTTAAGTAACTACTCAGCAAAGGCCTCTACACAAACGAATAAGGTTTTAACAAACTCAATCACCACGCTTGGCGTTTTGTTAAGTTAGGCAAATTATAAGTCCAATGGTATAATAATAGTACCAATGGGTCCAAAAGGTAATTTTTTTTTACCGTTATCAGTTTTGGCTTAATATCACTCCAACACTCGAGACACAAACGATCCTCTTACTTACTTAACAATCTACGTTCCAGAAACTTCAACTACTGGAGCTGGTACAGATGTTACAACTGAATCTGTTGAAACGGGAGATGAAAGCACGACCGGAGCAGACACCACGGCGGCAGGTACTACGGAGCTCGGTGGTACTACCCTGGAACTGTGTAGTAGCTTCGAGTTTGGATGCTGCGCTGATAACCAGACTGAAGCCAAAGGACCCGACGGTCAAGGATGTCCATGCAACGCTACTGAGTTTGGCTGCTGTCCTGATGGTGTGTCCCCAGGTAAGAAATTCAAACATTTAGCATGTCTTAATGTTCTGATACGTAATTGCTGATAATCTCGACTACCTACAATTTACTTACTTCATAGACAGTTTCAGAAAAGTTTACTTGCTGTACTGCCTTTCTGGTGATACTTATAATACGGGGCTTATCTCGAGAACATTTTTATAGTCCCGGTCGCTTATAAATTACATAAAATTTCAGCTAAAGGAACAGGCAATGAAGGTTGCCCAGGTCCCTGCAGCACGTCACCGCACGGTTGCTGCCAGGACAATAAGACCCCTGCCCACGGACCGGACTTTGAAGGGTGCTGCTTACTGCAAGCATTTGGATGCTGCCCAGATAACCGCAAGCCTGCCGAAGGACCACATCTTGAAGGTAAAATCTTAAAATTTATATAAAAAAAAAAATCATCAAAAATATAAGAAGTATTTACGTAGTTCTCACTCTCCCTTGCTGTTCTTAGGATGTGGGTGTCAATACTCGCTTCACGGATGCTGCCCTGACAACGTTACCATCGCTCAGGGAGCAGACAACCAGGGCTGTGGCTGCCAGTATACGCAGTACGGCTGCTGTCCAGACAGGTACACCATTTGCTCTATATAAATACTACTTACTTAAAAGTCAAAAGTCAAAAGTCAAAATTATTTATTTCAATTAGACCCATACAGGCACTTTTGAACGTCAACACAACTTTAAAGATACAAAGTGTCAGTCTGTCGGTCAGTCCTCTTAGTGAAGCTATTCGCTCGTTCCAAAGTGTAGATTCCGATGGAGAAGAACGAGCAAGAAACTCCATGGTTACTCTTTTAAAATCAGTGTCACATAAACATTCTTTGATACATTATTTAGTTTAGGTACTAAGGGTGACAAAAATGCATGGAGAGCTTAAGGTCGACTATTGACTGACAGGTTTTGCATAACGCTACCATTGATAACTAGATGGCGCTGCTTTTAAATGAAAATAACCCTGCAAAGCTTGAATACTTTACACTGCAGAGGCACACAATAAGATTTTTAATGGTTAAAATAATAATTAAGAAACAATAATATATTTATATTCAAATACACATAAATTATGTCTGTCTGTCATCTAAGTCAAGTCAAGCAAACCAATTAAAAGATGGCGACAATAATTAATAATAGACAATAATAAAAGTTATAAACTAACCCGCATTTTCGACGTCATAAAAAATGCGATCGGTAGCTCGGATGAATAAGAATGATAGAATAATGACGTCGAAGGGCACCGGTTCCATTCCGGGTTTATCATATTTAAATTTAGGTTTTTTCATAATGTTTTTTTTTATATAAAATCAATAATAATAATATATAAATAAAATATTTGACGTTTAATATTTATAAAAGATAACAAAAATAAATATATGTATTATTTTAGAATAAAAATATATTAATAAATATATATAAATATCTTTTATAAAACATGCTAACTATTAATGTAAAAGTAACATATTTTTCTTACAGATTAAGACTAATACTAAGTTTAATTCTCATAAAGGATAAAAAATAAAACTATTTTAGTGACATTATAATTTCAGACATTTATTTCTTAAAACATAATATTTATTTCTTTCTTATATAGTGTATACCCTGACCTTATAACTTTTCAGCTAACTGACATTTATTAGTTAGTTTTAAACACAATGTTATAATACGATCTGTGAATACGATTCTATATCATATGCAACCTTACTTCTGCAACTATTTTACCTCCACATAAAATTTAATTAAAGTATTGACTAAAGTGATTCATTTTGTGCATCATGTTATGACAAAGGCTCATAGCTTAAGTATTCGTTCCAGAACAAGGAAGAAATTGAAGCTACACCTTAAATCAATAACATTTCTAAGACCGGGATATAGCATTCATTAGATATGGGACGAATTGTTTATAGTAATAATAAATAAATTATTTATTTAATTTATTTGCAATCAATAGCATCTGTAGATATTAATATTGCTTTTATTTTTATATATTTAGTAAAACATTAAAATCATTACAGTAAATAACAGTTGCTGGTTATAAAGTAGTCAACAAATTTATCCTACTAACACTAAGTTTATACATAACACTAACATTTATCCATTAAATAAATTATAGCTACCCCGGTCTTGTAATTGCTTAATCCTATAGTCAACAATATCTTTTATTCTAAGAACTAAGTAGTGTAGCCGCCATTTTTATCGATCCTATTTCTCCTATCTCGCTGGCCAAAGAATAATCCGTATGTCTGATTGCTGACTAAACACTTGCACAATTATGGAACATTACACATAGGACAATACCTGTCCTGCACGAACGTTATCACTAGCACATCTTCATGACGTTTTTCAGCACATCTATGTAGTTTTCACTGTTTGCATCACTGAAGATGACAATGCTCCAGTAATTTTCCTCATAACCTTGCCCCATAAGTTGAAGCTGGTCTGAGTCAATATCACGTCTTCTGCCAGATCCACTACGGTGCTCCAATGAACCCCCTTCTTGAAACAACTTTAGATATCAATAAAGTGACAGTCTTTACCTGTAAGGGACGTGTATTATTTGACCCATGGATAATAAAAAAATAACGAACGGTCATTTTAAAAGAATACTTACGCTTAAGCCAGTTTCTCCCGAAATTTCAGTATAAATTAAGCTTTGATTATGCAATGCTATTATTTGGGCCCTCGTAGCCATATCAATATTTAAACGCAAACTCATAATAAAAATAAATATTAAAAACTTGTAAAACAAATCGTAACTGAACTCACTCAAAGATAGTAAAGAATGTTATGATTGAACAAATTGGTTTAATTTTTATACAGTTAATATTAAATTACCCTCAACTGTTTTGAGATTTATGATCGGGTTAAAGTTACTAAACAACTTCAATATAATAAAGAGTAGGATAATTTCAATACATTTCAAGGTTACGCAATGGCCTAATGGCTAGTGGCATCGGTAAATTTTATGCTACCGAGATCGAATCCTGGTTGTTGCGTGCTTTTCTTTAAAAAGGTTTGGAATATCGTAGCATTAATTTGCGTAAAAATTTATTAATTTAATAACTGTGTATAATAGCGCCATCTATGTCATCCATGGTATGTTATTAAGGCGATGAAACGCCGTACAAACGATTTTGATTTGGAATCCTCCATGCACTTATGACACTGATAGTACTTATAGTAATGCGCTGACTGCCGTCTCCAGTTATTGTTGCTAATAAATTAAATTTGTTTGGCCAGACATACAGCTGCCTCTGGCCCTGACAACGAAGGCTGTGGCTGCAGCACGTTCCAATTCGGTTGCTGCCCTGACGGCGTCACCATCGCCAAGGGACCTGAACAGCAAGGCTGTCACTGCCATTACTCCTTGTTTGGCTGCTGCGGAGACGGCGAGACCCCGGCGACTGGCCCTGACTCTGCAGGCTGCGACTGCTCCACCAGTAAATACGGCTGCTGCCCTGATGGAATTACTTTGGCAGCTGGTCCTAAGTTCCTTGGGTGCACTGATGTACCTGAGAATAAACAAGGTAACACTAGGAAAAAAACTGACAGCCTATAAATAATAAAATCATGGGTTTTTTAGTATTTTATAAAATGTGAACCTTCCATTATACCAGCTGCCTGCAGCCTGCCGACAGACCCAGGCTCGTGTCATAACTTTACGGCGATGTGGTACTTCGACATGACGTACGGAGGCTGTTCCCGATTCTGGTACGGAGGCTGTGAGGGCAATGGTAACCGCTTCGCCACGAAGGAGGACTGTGAGGACGTGTGTGTACAGCCCTCACCTAAAGGTAAACTTTCAAATGGAATTGAAATTCAATATCTCACCCTGTTTCGCTTCCCCTAATAGCATAGGATATGTAAAACAGCCATTTTTTCCCTTCCAACTCATCCTAAAATTTACATTACGTTCCTGTTCACAGACGCATGCAACCTTCCTAGCGTAAAGGGCGCTTGTGACGGTAGCTATGAGCACTGGCACTACAATAGCACACGCGAGCAGTGTGTTCCATTCCTGTACGGAGGTTGTCTCGGCAACGCCAACAACTTCGAGTCCAGGGAGCTCTGCCAGAAACAGTGTGAGCCTAAGGCGGTTGAAGGTAAGGAGTCACGCCCTACGAAAATATTCAAAAGTATAATATATGTATTCGAAAGTTTGACGAAAATGTCTCGACGATATCTCAGGGCAATGCGACCTGCCAATCGAGCAAGGCTCGTGTGCCGGCAACTTCAGCCGCTGGGGCTTCAACCCTGACACCCGCAGCTGCGAGCAGTTCATATGGGGAGGCTGTGAGGGCAACGCCAACAGGTTCAGTACCGAGGCCGCTTGTCAAATGCGCTGCAACCCGCCAGGGTCACAACCACGTAAGTAAAGGACATTGTATTCGTTTGAAGAAACGAGACTAATTGGGTTTCAACATTATTGAGAATGTGGCATTCCAACTTTTATCACCAAAATGGCTTGACTTGTTTGAAAATTTTGTGCAGTAGATAGTTTTGAAGTAGTTTTTGGGTAAATTTAACTAACTTGCATGGTATGTGTGGACTTGTTTTAAACGGTTTGGAAAAACAGTTATAATCTTCCTACATAACGTTATTCTATAAAGATCACTTTGAATTCTTGGAAATCCAGAAGAATATATTTATTAAGTATAATAATGAGTTCAAAACTAAAGAACACTCCAAAATTTAAAGTGATGTTTAGAGATGAGTTATTTCACGTCTAATATGGTAATGGTCCTACAGATATATAGTATATAGGTATATCTAATTAATCTTCTAACATTTCCTTTATCTGACTAACAATGGGTTTGGAACTACAGCTCAGTGCGCAGAGCCACAAGAAGCAGGCTCTTGTGACAATAAGGAAGCTCTCTGGTCCTTCAGTGTGTCAGAGAACCGCTGCGTACCATTCTACTACAGTGGATGTGGAGGCAACAACAACAGGTTCCCGTCCAGGGAGGCTTGTGAACAAACCTGTCCTGCCGCTTACGGTTAGTTGAATATTGTCGTAAAATAATAAAAAAGGTAACAAATTCGGCCCTTCGAGTTGTTGGCTTTGTTCTTTGTCAGCTTGTAAGTTTTGGTAAGTTTTTAGCGAAGAATTTTCACAAAAAAACCTCCACAATGCATGTAGCATTGTGGAGGTTTTTTAAAAGAAAAGATGTAGAAACGTTTCAATGTTAATAGGTACTTACAAAGGTACAACCAATGTTGACGTATTTTTTTAGTTTTTCATTGTACGTAGGTACGTAATAGTTGGTGAGTTACGAGGTAAAAAAAGAGAGAAAATGAGGTACCAACTTTAAAAGTATGTGTAATCTCTGTACTTTGAAATCATCATCAGGCACTTATGAAGGCAATTTGGTATAGTCGAAGTCGGCAAAATGGCACAATTTAAGGTAAAAGGTGATAGTGCCAAACAAAGCTGCAGTTTTTTTAAACCAGTTGTCGCTTATCGACCATTGGTATGATACTAGATATTTTCCTATTGGGCGAAAACTCGACAGGTATTTTCTAGCTCCAGCTGGTGACCACAAATCTACGTTCTTTTGTATTGTATGTGATAAATATGTTTGTGCTTGTTATCAAGTAGATAGATTGCATGCTTGCGTGTTTGTGCTTACTTATTTTGGGGCATTATCCTACTCAATAACATGAATGTGTGATGGTGTACTTGTATTGATCAGAACCAACTTACTTACTTAAACCTCTTTGGCAAGACTCGGCGAGAGTAAATAGCATCCCTATCTTTATATGCATGAATCAAAACCAAATGAGGTGCCTGCTAGATTTGATTCCATTTTCAAAAGACCAAATATTAATTGTCTGTTAAATGTTATTCCATTTTTAAAAGTTAGATTGTTATTCATTTGTTTCTTATATTCAGTGCCCGATAAGTGTACGCTGCCCGCCGAGACCGGTCAATGCTCGAACTACAGGGAGAGATGGTTCTTTGACACAACATTTAAGAGGTAAGGAAAACATCACAATCCCTTCCAGAACTATGACTGTCCATTATATTATGGTTTAAAAACACGATGTCCATGTCACAGATGTCGTCAATTCTACTACGGTGGTTGCGGTGGCAACGAGAACAACTTTGCCACCGAGGCGGAGTGTGAAAACTCGTGCTTCGAACTTAAGACCACCACTACGACCACCACCACCACAACGGCCAGACCTGCAGAACCTCAGCCACAACCAGGACCTCAAGTACCATCGAGATCTGGTAAGTGAGAACTAACTGGTGTTTATTCTTAGTCAAAGCAGTCCGGAGGATTGAAAAGAACTTTCCATATTTCGAGGCATGTATGTGCATGGAGGCTCAAACTATATGTGCTCCTAGTATATAGGTATTTATTCATGAACGACTTTACGATCCGGGGTCGTGGGTCAACGCAATAAAGTAGCAGGGCATCGCCTAGAACAGCAGAAGGAACGGGGGAGTTTTAGTCAGTAAGACTCTGACACTCCCTCTCAACATACCTCAAAGAACCCATGTGATCAGATTTTCTCTCTTAAAAAATATATTTTGAAAGTTTGTGTTCACGAATAACCTTATATTCCCAGATTTCTGTTTTCTGGAGATCGACGCTGGCCCTTGTAACGACATGCAAACTCGATTCGCGTATGACAGCAAGCTGGGTCGCTGCGTCACCTTCCAATATGGAGGCTGTGCCGGCAACCAGAACAACTTCCCAGACTTGGAGTACTGCACATTCTACTGCCATCCTATACAGGGTACATTTCTCAAAAATATTCATATATTATAATGTTAGAATTTGCAATACCTTTCTGCCAGGGTCGGATTACCCAACCTATAGCAAGTTACGGAGACAATTTTATACTTTTATAAAAGAAAACGCTACATAATAATCACAATCATATTGCTTTATTCAGATAACAACTTAATTCAATCAATAATTAATATCTAAAATTAGTTTGAATTAATTTACAAAGGAAATGGTCTCCGATAATTGCATTGCCTAGAAACCCTGACCAGGTTAATCCAGTCCTGCTTTTTGTACTTATAATTTTCGTAAAAGTAACGGCGATCAAAAGCAAAATCAAAATCAATGTTTTCAATAATTTAAATAATATTCAAAACTATCGCTAAGTGCCCTATTGATCATTAATCAATCAATTATGTATACGTATAAGTTCTAATCTTTATTTTCTTTGTTCACTATTTACCAGACATCTGCCAACTGCCAATGCTGGCTGGGCCATGCGACGACTCACAGATGCGCTGGTTCTACGACCCCAGCTCCGACACCTGCAGCCAGTTCACCTACGGAGGCTGCGAAGGCAATGAGAACAGGTATCATGTTGTGTCCAAATTAATCTTACACAAGACTGAGTTCACACAGAAATCACCCTTAATGTGGCAGAAACACATGTCATAATGCGGTATAACTTGTTACAATATTTGTGCATCAAACACGAGATTTTTTCTTGCATCGGAATAATAATTGGTGGATCACACAAAGGACGGATTTTAAATATACCTAGCAGAACCATGCTTAGGCACGAATGGGTCGGCTCCGCCAGAGAGAACACAGAAAACCGGCGTGAAACAACCACAGCGTTGTGTTTAACCGTGTGCGTGAAGTTACTGGATGACCCATTCTTCCCCTTCCTTAATCCCTAAATCTCCAAAACCCTAATCCCTAAAATCTTGACAACATACTCATGACTCCTCCTTTGTCGCGGGTTTCCATTGGCGGCGCTGATTGCTTACGATAGTCCTATGAAATAAAAATATTATTCCATGTGTGAATCGACCCCTCGATACGTTACAAAGCAGAAAGATATCCAGCTAGTGCATCAAATAAAATAACAAATTGGTATGTTTGTTTAGATTCGAGACCCGTGAGGCTTGTGAGAGCAGATGTAAGACCGGACCAGTGCCGGCAGCCACCACACCGTCGACCACAGTGGCAGTAGTAAATATTTCATATATTCATTTATTTAAACACACAACACAAACATGGCGTCCATCACTGCAGCAAACCTTCTTCTACTCGACCTTAACTTTTTATATTTAGAATCCCCTTTTCTTCGTCGGGTATATAAATGGAACAAAATTAGCTTGATCATTTTCGCATAAAACCTGTTTTTATCGATATATTTAATCTTAAATCTATACTCGGAATTTTAATTCCATTCCAGTTTTGACAATTTCAGTGTTGCAACTTTATGACACGTATTAAATTGTTGCAAAATTATTCGATATGGAAATCGAATATTTCTGAATCGATTCCTCTCGTTTATAAATTTATTCTCGTAAACTAAATTTATCAGCAAATAAAATTATTTGAACCGATAATTTAGTTTTGACAAATAATTAACGATCTGAGACTGTAATTGTGTGTGAAATTAATAAAAAATGTGATCATGAAGGAACATGACAAATAAAACAGACATTTTATAAATTGTCGCCGTCATCGCTATCGCTGTTACTTTCTGTAACATTTATTATGAATTGTGTCTTTGATATTTATTGTCAATTAACATAATTTTAGCTTACTCATTTTTTCCTCTTCTTTGACATCATGGGATACGCATTTAGACCATTCGGTAGCCCTAATTTTTTGAATGCCTTCCTGACAGTGATTCACTGATTGTTTATCGATTTTTGTGTTCATCACTACACTGTTATATGTGGTATCATTATTTCAGAAAATGACAGTAGGTCATGTCAAATCAGGAATCGAATTAAAATTCTGACGAACAGAAGGTCAATTAAAAGGGTTGCAATTTTGTTAACGACATAAACACAAAATACTTATAATATTGTCTTTCAAGAACCATATTTATTAAAACGTCTTATCAATCAAGGGCTCAAGATTCGGAGAAGATTTCGCATTAGCATGCAAGGTAACAGACTCGCTTGAGGAGTGCCAGCAAGGAGGTCTGGTGTGGTACTATGACCCAGAGCAACGGGAGTGCGTGTCCCACTCCAACCGGGAGTCGGGCGCTGTCTGCAGGCACACTGGCACCTTTACCTCACAGGAGGCTTGCGAGAGGTCCTGCGGAGCGTTCAGAGGAGTTGGTACGTAGATAAAGGCTATTTCAAAGTGATTTTACTCATTTGTTTTCTTAGAAAACAGCATAATATATATATAACAAGCTTTTACCCGCGGCTTCGCCCGCGTGGTATTATTGGGGCTATGACCAAAATAAGAAGTTGTATATCCCTCAGGAACCTTAATATGTTTTTTTTTTGGTATAAAAGTAGCCTATGTCCTATTTCGGAGTGTATCACAATCCAGATCCGTTTCAGTCGTTTTGGCGTGTTTGAATAACAAACATCTTAACTTTTTCACATTTATAATAGGTATTAGTAAGATGAGATGTTTTTTTTTCTACCTCATAGATGTGTGCAAGCAAAGTGTGGACCCAGGTCCATGCCAGTCATACATGACGAAGGTGTACTTCGACACGGCCTCAGGTCAGTGCCGTGAGTTCAGCTATGGTGGATGTCTGGGTGGCGCCAACCGTTTCTCCACCATCGAAGAATGCAACCAAGTCTGCGAGACTGCAGTTCGTAAGTATTCCAAAATTAATAACTTGTACTTATTTTAACAGGGCAGTATAGTAAGTTGTATATCATGTATCAGGTTTAAATGAAATAACACTGATAAATCCAACCATACCCCTTCCCTTTCTTACTCCTCAAAATCATCATCATCATCCTCAGCCTATAAGTGCCCAATGCTGAGGAATCACTTGTCCACTATATAACGGCTCTGCCAGCCTAAGTTACAATTAAAATACTTCGTTCCAGCTGATCCATGCGTACTCCCGCCTGAGACCGGAACCTGTAGCGACTACATAGTGCAATGGTACTACGACCCAGCTCGAGACCAATGTAACCAATTCGCGTTCACCGGCTGCGGCGGTAACACTAACAGGTAAGGCCACTTGAGACGGAGGACGCGAAAATAATAGAGCTTACAGTTTATTAAAAAAAAATATTGCGGATACCTTAAAGTGCTTTTTACCTGTGTAAATTAATCACTTATATTTTTCTTAGATTTGAGACCCGACGCGATTGTGAGTCTCGATGCAAGCGGCCTGAACCACGCACCACTACCACTGAAGCCCCACAAGTGAGTAATATTTAAATATCGACTTAAAACCTCTTTCTTCATAAAGTCCATTTCAGAATGAGTGCTTTTTTTTAATCTTCGGTGTTTTCCTGTTAATTGACACACCCTTAACTACTTGTAATTCAAGATACCTTAGTAGATCCTCACTTTATAATATAGTATGTCGACTTTTGGCCTTCGGAGAATATAGCGTGGTGTAATGTCCATTGCTCTTCACAGCCGCTACCGCAAGCAGAACCAGAATGCAAGACCCCAAGTTCGCTGGAACCATGCGGCAATAACGTGACAGTGTTCTACTACGACGCGGAAAGGAGGCAGTGCCTCGTCAGCGGCTTCGGAGGTTGTGGACATCCAAACTCCTACAGTACGGAGGAAGAATGTGAGAGGAACTGCGGTGCCTTCCGCGGACAAGGTGAGACGGATTTTCGTAAATGCAATTACAATGATATGAATCACATTTACAATCGAATACAAAAGGAAATATTTTAGTTTTATCAATCTGATCCATCAACTTTTCTGTACTAAGATGTGTGTGGCGCTCCTCTGGACCCGGGTCCATGCCGCGCCTCCATCCCCAAGATCTACTGGGATGAGATATCTGGCTCCTGTCAGCCATACGCGTACGGCGGCTGCAATGGCGGACCCAACCGGTTCTCCAACGTCGAAGAGTGCGAGAGCGTCTGTGGAGGCACCGGACCTGGTACGTACTGCATTATACTCCGCTCCAGTGATGGGATTAACAGATTAACGCACCCTTCTTCTGTCTATTAATTTCTTCATTCCAACTATCTTGTCTAACTCGCAATCGGAGCATGAGTCTCATTCAAAGACGGGCGCAAGCTTCCTTGCCTTTGAGGCCAGCTAACGTAGTGTGTAACGGGTTGTGGGGGCAGCGCCGGAATGCCTGCAGGCGGTCGACACGGGCGAGGGCTGCGGGGTCGCGGCGGCGCAGCGCTGGCACTACAGCGTAGCGCACGTCGACTGCGTCGTGTTCGTGTACCTCGGCTGCGGCGGCAACGACAACAACTTCCGCTCCTACGACGAGTGCGCGGCGGTCTGCGGACTGTCGCGTTCCAGCGGCCGCGATGGTACTTAACACAGCTTCACTCCGAACACGACAGACATGTCGCCAACCTCCTGCTTCTACACACCAACAGATCAATATTCTTATAGTCTTTCAATACAAAACAGAGGGAGTGTTTGTACAGTACCAAAACACGTTTAGTTGTGGGGACAGTTCACGAGTCCAAGTTCCAAAGCTTGCTGTCCATCTATGTCGTCCTAGTACGGAACGCTCGCAGCTCCATGGTTGTCCCTGTGAAGGCGCTGGTTGTTGTGACGTCGCTAGTTATGCTTCGTTTGCACTGCTTACTAGCACGCTTGTCTGCTTGTCTTTATTGCACTTGATTATTATTTTTTCCTTCGCACGATTTAATTATTTCAGGATTTATCGATGTTAAAGTTAAAATTAATGAAGTGAGTGGTTGTAGCTTGGTGTAGTATGACTGGGATTCATGATAATAAATAATACTTATCTATATTTAATTAGTTATCCATCAATCAATTTTGTAAATTACCTTAAGTATTTTAAATCCTGGAAAGTAACACCATATTTTCCAGTTTTCGTTTCTGAATAAGGTTTCAAACTACCTTAATAGTAGTCCAAATAGATAATTTTGTTAAAATATGGACTGTAAATAAAGACTGCAGTTAAAAATATTACAATCAACGACGTCCAAAACCGACGAACAGACTAAAAGATTCTTTCTACTTTGATGTATCAAAGTGTCTGTATAAAGAGTGTAGTTTAGTTTAGTATAATATAAATGTTTTTTGACTTTGGCTTTGAAAATAAAAAGAATTTTGCAAATCGGTCCAGGAGCCTTCGAGTATTCGGTGTAGGTGCATAGGTACTTACATAAAAAAAGCGTCGAATTGAGAACCTTCTTTTTGAATTCGGTTAAAAATGATGTTATTTAAACGCTTTTGTATAGATACAAAATACAAATTACAAAAGGCATGAAATGAATGACCTATCGAACATTGCATTTTCGTTATTTGTACCTGTTATAAGTTTATTGCTGTCTCGTAAAGTGATGATTTTGTGTCAGAAGTTATGCACCTTGTAAGTTGTACGTCTTTTGTTGTTCTTGCGGTATTAGTAGGGTACAAGTTGCACAGTTATTTGGTAAGCAGGTACGAATGTAATCAATGATTTAGTATAGAGATAACTATCAATGTTTTGTTACTGCAGACCAAAAGAAACAAAACATATAATTTCAATAAGACCATAATATGATGTAGAGCAAAAATTCGGTAGTTGCCAACTATATACTCAAAATTCAATGCTTTCATCGAAATGTGAAATTTTTCTTCTATAAATTTTGTATGAACATATGATAACATATGACGTCATTGTGTTTTTACGTCAAACAGTAAAAAGGTCAACTAGAAAATGTCCAAAATTAAGTACATTGTAAAATCAACGAATGAAAGTATGTTTATATTTAATTAAAAAATATATATCTATATATGATTTATTGTACTGAAAAGTCGAAATCTTAATTTATTTTTGACTATTTTATTTAGAGAAAATACCCAATTTCAACTGTCTATCGTACCTAATACCAAATAACTGTGCAGAGAAAAGGATATAGGTAAGTCATCTCAAAAAAAAATGTGCACGGCTTTTTGTTTATTGTGTTAGGGTAAACAAGATTCGAGAATTCGGATAAGCTTTATTCAGAAGTAATTAAGACAAATATTCGTATTTTAGATCAGAACCAAATTGCAGTTCCGGACTGCACAGCTGCCCAGCAACAGTGTGAAGCACTGGACTGCCAGTACGGAGTTGCCAGATTCATGCAAGATGGATGTGAGAGGTTTGTAGACAATATTCTTGTATGTACTAACGCCTGCGCGTGGAGAATACCTCTTATATCTTCTCCTGCCCTGGTTGGAGATTGAGAAGTGTCAGTCAGACAGACTCTCACCAACTAAAAACCAACCCGATCCTTCTCCTGTGGGCAGGGGACGCGGTACTTTAAGTGCGCAACCGTAACCTTACATTGGTCTCACATATTAAGTACAAATTATATTATTGGATAAAAATCTCTGGCTGAACCGTAAACAAGCGGTTACACATTTTTGTCCTGCGTCTTTTTTCAATACAATTTATATACTTATTACGTAGTAAATAAATACCGTGCAGTTTCATTGTAGTGCAACCTGGGCTAACGATGAAAGAATTACTTTCGCCCAATAGTCCCTTTCTACTTTTCTATAATTTTCTGTCATAAGGAACTTTGCCTGGAAAAAAATGGAAACATTGGAAGGTTTGGTGAGGGGTTGTTAAAGTACCAAAACTTTTTTTTTTAATTTTTCATTTGTATACATATATCTTATCGCAATAGATAAATAACGAAACTGAATTGACTTCCCGAATAAAAGTTCTTACGACTGGAGAGGACGGCGTCCATACATTTTTGAGCGTCACCCTGCTTATAAGCATTTCCTATAACAATTTTATTTGTTTAGTTTAAAAGGAATATTGGTACTAATACTTTTATATTCGTTTTGTGTAATGCAATGCCAATATGACGTTATGTGCAGGTGTGAATGTAGTGACGACCCATGCGTCAGAGCGAACTGCTCGTCCAACGAGCGCTGCGTGGCCGTGGCCGTCAGGAACCCAGCCTACCAGGAGCCGCAATATTCTGCCACCTGTGTTGAAGGTAATATAAAACTCAAAGTACACAATTACATATACATTTTAACATTATTCGTATACACATCTAGTCGTTACATTTATATACCACAAAGCTATACCTAAAGCCCAAAGATTTCAAATGTTTCGAAGTCATAATTACTAACCAGGTTGACTTTGACTACACTAGGAGTTCTCTCCTGTGTCGTGAGTGAGTTAACAAACATATAATTTGACACACACATCCACATATCACGACTAGTGGAAACAACAATTTGTAGATTTTCACAAAGAGAAGTTCCGTGCGGGAATCGAGCCCTTCTCGCGTTATTGGTGAACACTTTCATATTTGGTAACTTTATTAAATTTTTGTGTCATCATCAGCTAATATCTAACGTTGTCTACAGAGACGAACGAGGTAGACGACTGCGAGGAGTACGCGGCGAACTGTTCGAGGCTGCGCTGCGAGTACAACATCCAGCGCACGCGCATGCCGAATGGATGCGAGAAGTGTTCCTGCGTGCAGCTCGAGGTCGACTGCCAGCCGCTGCTGCACGAGTGCGAGACCATCAAGTGTAACTACGGCATCCAGAAGTCCATCGGAGCTGATGGATGTCAGAGGTACGGCGACGAGTCATTTGGATGATAAAACTCGCCATTTTTAACTATGAAGCTATCATTTACTAGCTACTCTCGCGTGGTTTCACCCGCTGCTCGGCTCCATTTGATCGTAGCGTGATCTTTTATAGCCTATAGCACTAGGGAACATTGTTAATATCAATAAGTGAATTTGAAGAATTTTGGGAATCCGACTAGTGGTTCCAAAGATTACTCCCTACATACAAACTCACAAACTTACAAGTTACCTATACCTCTTTATAATATTAGTAAAGATTTATACTGTTCTCGGTAGCATTTAACAAATCTGGCCACTGAATGATATGTAAGTGTCGCCATAGCCCAAGTTAACTTAGTAACGTAGCCCAAGGTAACAGTCGCGCCAACCCATTGAAGTTGCTACTTTACTTTACTAGGTTGGGTAGTAGGGAGATATTATTTATTGATATACTTATTTAAAACTTTAATGCAATGAGCATTCTCTTCCAGTTTACCTTTACCTATACCAATCTCTACCCCAAACTTCATTACAGTACCGTTTCTCATCCGTGTCCAAACGAGTCGTTTTTGTAGGGTGACACAGGATTTTTTTTTATGTAATAGGTCGGCAAACGAGCAGACGTATTACCTGATGGTAAGCAATCAGCGCCGCCCATGGACACTCGCAACGGAGAAGTTACGAGTGCGTTGCCGACCTTTTAGGGATTAGGGATTTGGAGATTTAGGGATTGAGGAGGGATTGGGGAAGGGGAAGGATCTGGCCTCCGGTAACCTCACTCACACGGCGAAACACAACGCAGTGGTTATTTCACGCCGGTTTTCTGTGAGGCCGTGGTATCACTCCGGTCGAGCCGACCTATTCGTGCCGAAGCATGGCTCTCCCACACTTAAAATAGATGAAATAGATGATTATGGTCCTATTCCTACTTATAAATAGGCATCAGTTTAATATCATATGAAAAGAAGAAAGAAAGAAAGAAAACTGTTTTTATTCGGACCGAGACATGAAGGCCAAGAACAAACAAAAAAATACAACAATAAAAAAAAAACAAAACAATAAAAGTTTAAAGTAACAGGACAACAAAATAAAATAAAAATAAAATTAATCAAAACAATAACGTGAAAACAGCCTAAAAAATACATTAATACAACCCTGGGTTGGCGGACATGCCCAATCCGAATGGGTCGCCAACTCAGCAAAAGCTGGGCACGGAGCACCCAACACTGATTTTCAGTTGGCACCCCTGCAGTGACGCACGGACGAATGCAACACATACTATCTACTAGTTACTAGTAATTAGAGCATCTTAATCTGCATTATGACAAAATATCTTAGTTTTAAGACTTGCGGGCTCTAGTGATCAGTCCAGGGGAAAATAAAAGAAACGAGATAGATAAGAATATTATAATACTAAAATATAATTAAATAGTGATATGTTAAATATAAATTATTTTTTAAGATTACTTTTTACATGTTCAATAGTATATATATATTTTTAATATAGGTAAATATATGTCATAATTTAATGTTGGTACTTGAAAAATAATACACCATAAAATCGCAACAATAATCTTGGAAGTTGCGGGTGAGCAGGGTGTCGCATTGTTACTTAAATACTGCTGCACAGTTTAACGCTCATTTATATGACACGCCTACAGATGCAGCTGCAAGGAATACCCGTGTGCGAAGAAGACGTGTCCCCCCGGCGACCGGTGCGTGGTCATACCATACAACGACGGTCTCGATTTAGTCACGAAGTACACAGCAGATTGCAGGACTGGTTAGTAATATATTATAATGACACTAAACAAGAACCGTCATAATCCAAATTCAGATTAAATAAATATCATTGTGCTTATTGAATTTAAAATATTTTTTGTGGATTCAATTGATCGGTGTATCATCGTTATTATTTCATCTATTTTCCATTCGAATTATTCAAATCAATCACGTGATAGAATCAAATTTATAATGGAACATTGAAAACTAATGTTTAATTGATAAAACTGATTGAAATGATGACATGAAACAGACTTCCATAAGAATTCCATATTCTTATGGAAATATGCAGATTGGAACAATTTGGAACGAGCAACTACTTCATTACTGACCGACAGAGTTTTTATCGATATTTGTTTGACGTTCAAAATTGTCTGTATGAAATAATTTTATTATAAATGGCACTACGTATTTTTGTTTATCACCTTTATTACCTATAAACAGTAACGAAACCTGGATTCTGCCCGACGGAAGAAACGACTACGAACGAGGTGACGTGTCGCCACGAGTGCTACGATGACGCCGACTGCCGCGGAGTGGGCAAGTGCTGCAGGCGCGGCTGCAGCGACCTCTGTCTGGTGCCCGTTGAACAGACGTCCCCGCCTCCTGTCTTCAACGCTACGTTGCCGCCTGGTAATATCGTTGTCATTACATAAACAAGGTTTCTCTACATACTACACTGTCTTTTGTGTGAATTCGTGAACAAAGTTTTAGTCTGACCGTAGGTATTTTTATAAGTAGCATACTTAGATGGCAATTTTTGAAGAATCCTACAAAAAATGAAACATTAACATCTGAATAAGTTTAATTTAGTTCTATTTGGGACACTTGAACAATTCAACAATTTACATTCACCATGAATAACCTACCAAATATAATACTTATTTGTATATTAGAAGCTTTTAGGTGACAATACATTTCTCAATAATCGCAGAACAAGTGCTTACTTTTATAATGGTCACAGATGTACCAGCGCCACCACAGGCGTTGCCCCAGCAGGAGCCCCAGGTGGCAGCTTCGGAAGGTGGTAAAGCCACCCTGCGCTGTCTGTTCCATGGCAACCCACCGCCCAAGATCACGTGGAAATATGGAGAGCTTACTGTGCGTATGAAATGTGTTTTTATCGCCATTGCATTGTTTAGCTGTTACCAAACAAAAACAAAGCAACAAGAAATTATGTACAGTAGTTAATATGTAGTAGGGAATAGATATTATGTTATCTACTGCAAATCTAAGCTGTAAGACGCTGTTACAGAGTACCTAAAACGCTATAGGAATTCGTGATTGGTTTAGTTAAATCCCATTTTTGAGTTCTGCCTCTTCTGGTTGATGGATCACGGGTTGAGTGAGACACGGCGTCCGGATACCTTATATAAGTATTTTACGTAAACCCCCCAAAACTGTTCACTCGGACCAGTGCGCAGTAACTGCCCTTCTACTCACGCTCTCATACGTTTTTGCTTGCGTTGCGCTCTGTCATACATACTTACATGTGTCCCTACAATTCCTTAACAGATTGACGGTAACGCTGGCCGCTACAGGTTGATGTCGGACGGCGCGCTGGAGATCGTGTCTCTATACCGCAACGATTCCGGCGTTTACATCTGTGTGGCCGACAATGGCCTTGGAATAGCCACGCAGGAGATACACCTGGTCGTCAATGGTGAGTTGGGGTGAAATGTGATACTAGCTTGAGCACAGGGTGAAACAATCTGGTACATACCTACTGTAGAATTTGAAGATACAATATTTTTATTAGTGAAGTCAATTATGATTAAATTGGTTGTTTGAGTATAAGTCATTTAGCAGCGTTCCAAATTGCTAAGAAAGTGATGAAAGTAAATAATTTCCACATTGTGAAAAAATAAGAATCTTTTTAATAAAAACTTTCTCCTTGTGTGAGTCCATATTTCGTTTTAAATTTAAGTATTAAAATGTGCGCTCATGAATAAGAGTCCCGTTGTGACTTGAAACTGGTAGAGCGTTTCTCTAAGTAGTTTTTTCAATAAATTTCGTATGTCTCAGGTTACTTACTATTCAAAAATATTTAGTTTTGCACAAGTTGTAATTTCAAAATCTACAGTAACTTGCTACCGATAGCTAAGATTTTGCAAGATTAATTGGTTTGGGTTTTAAAGTAGTTAGAGGGTGCATTGAAGTAGTTTAGAACTAAACTTTCTGTACTTTGTCTGTTACAAAATAACTAACGTTTTCCTATTTTCTTACTACTAAGAGACAGTTCAACAGTTAGTGGCAAATGTGTGAGATTTCTTTAAGTATTGTTTTTGATTTCTATTGCCTATTTACCTACTTAATTACTTAGGAAATTGATGAGAGATACGCGAGCGATTTTCACTAAACACTATAAAAACTCCATATTTAATTGTCGTGCGACGTCACTATTTAGTATCTACCCAAAATTTTAAAATTTCGGCTCGAATTTAAGTTAAGTTTCGGAGCTTATCTTAGATAATTTCCTAAGCTTAAATTCGTTTTTTCTAAATATGGTCAACTTACACGATACATTTTTCGTAACGTGTCTAATATTTTTTCATTATGTAACTGATTGACCGTTTAGGTAAATAAAAAACTTAATTTTGAATCGTTACTAGCTTCCCCCGCGGCTTATGCCGTGTAGTATGTTGATAGAATGTAGTCTATGTTTTTAATCCAGGCTGTCCTACCTATCTATCTAAGTATACTGAATTTTAACCAAAAGAATAACAGACATACATACATTCTCAGAAACTGTCACATTTATAATGTTATTAAGACTAGTACGATAGATAGTCCATGGTCATCATCCCTCTAGACTCATACGTTTATACTTAATAATATGTAAGATAAGTACTAACGTATCCCTACATGGATATCGGCCGATAATTTTATAGATAATTAATTGACTGTAACTAAATGTAATGTTGTGTGCACAATGTTCATATCGTGATTCGTGCGTATTACGTCCGTTGACACACATTACTCAGTAATTAATATAATGACGGGAGCTTTTCTAACATATCCATTTAAAACATAACTAGCTGCCTTGATAAAATAATGCCATCTCTTTTTAGCATTGTTCTATTTAGTTTTTTGCTATTAACTAGAAGACAATTTAGCTAAAATAAGCACACATCGAATTTTGTTTTAAGTATAATATCTTCGTATCTTATAAGTAATCAAAAAATACTTATGTAAGTTTATATCTGATGCAAAAAAAACATGACGGCAATAATCTCGTACAAAATTGACGGAAAAATCGTCGATTCCAACAATGACAATACAGAATAAGTAGGTATATAAGTATTACACTGAATTAGAGTCAGTCATCAATTGCCAATTTAATAAATAAAGATAATAAAAATCTATCCAACAGTTCTGATTTACAAATCTTAACTTTTGCCCTAGATATCGGATCTTATTACAAACTAAATTAACTTGTTTATATAATTAATCCAATCAACAGAAATAAGATAATGAAATTACTAAAACGTGATATTGTTTTACATTAATAAACACGTGAATTTTCTACAATAAAGATGTGATTTGTAGAGTCATAAATCCATTTGTTCTTAGGATTAGTTTATGGATCACGTTCTAAAGTAATCTGTAACTGTCTTGTCCGCCACATACTTGACCTCCGCTATCAGTCTGTCTGTTTATGTACATCCTAGTAAACAAATTATGTGATGACCTTAAATACAGATAACATTGATATTAGGCTAATATTAAAGAGTATTTACGCAGTACGAGTCTCCATACAAATTACAGGAAAAATATTTAACCGATTCAATTAATGAAGCTTTGTGCTCTTTTATTTTTTCTACTTTTGTTTTATATAAGGACTAAACAAGAGACAGAAAAAGCAACTTCGTTTTATACTATATACTGATGTACCTGGGTAATATATATACATATATCTAAATGACTAAATTACATTTTAAAACAAAACAGTTTAGAGAGAGAGGTACCTATCATGTTTCCATGTACAATTATATTATTCATATAAAAATAGGTACCTACAACATATAATTCATTTCGCTGTTATATGTATATCCTTATTATATTGCGTACAATTGCCTAACTAAGTACTTACTACATTAAAAATCGGTACCGTAACTTTATATGGAAATCCATGCCGCGTAAACAGATTTATAATGGAAAAAAAATTGCGCTTTTTTGAATTAAGTAATTATTGTTACGTAGATATCAGATTTTCGATTATTTTTAGCTGGCAATCAATCAGATGTTTGTACTTACATAAAGTTTTTTTTATGAAATTTTAGATAATAACATTATATGTAGATACAAAAAAATTGTGATTCTTCATTTTATAGTACACTTTTAATTACAAATAGTAGGTATATTATTCAAATGTTCAAGCACATTGATATAGACATTGACATCGTGAAATATTCAACTTCTAGTTGCCGCAAATTGCATCTGTGTTTTAAATGCAGGACATTCATAAATAACATCGGGAAATAAAATAAAGCGTGCCTACTTATTTCCGTTTGCCGGCGCATACGCAGGCTGCAATCTTTCGCAGTCAACAGACTTTTATCAAAACAGTAACGCAATCACTGGTTCAGTAGGAATCGGTCAACTGTCCGTGTCGGTCGTGCACTTGTTTGCTCGCGTATCTCTCGGTCCTCTCGCTCACTCGATATGTCCCGCGTCCGCCTACTCTCGCTCGCCGCTCTGCTAGCGTGCGCGCGCGCTTATGAAGGTGAACGACACACTACACATCTGCCGCTGGTTGTTACATTCGATTTATACATTTTGAGTGTTCCTCTAGTTGTTTGAAAATGTCATTTAGTTATGAAATGTTTTCTATGAAAATAATTACTACAGAAGCACCCAAAATGTTTAACTTCATTTGTACTGTCCACCATTACCACTGTTCTATAATTTATGCTTAGTAGAGAAATAATTAACATAGAGTTTATGAATGTACCTTCGCACACTAAATACAAAGGATAAATAGAGGATGCATTCACAAATTCTAACATTGGTTCGCTAACAATCGGGGGCTGGTAGATCCTGTGAGGGCGCCTGTTGGAATTGCTGGAGATGAGAATGCCGTGGTCACCGGGGAGTTGGGCAGCCCGCTCACAGTGCGGTGCCTGGCGTACGGGTACCCGCCGCCCACCGTATTCTGGTACAGAGGCTATGATGGAACGATGGTGCCATACAATGACGCTGTATTCGAAGCTAGAGGCAATGTGCTCCTCATCAGAAGTCTGGCTATCGAAACTCTTGGACAGTACACGTGCCAAGCGTACAATGGAGAAGGCAAGGCGGCGTCTTGGGTGGTCAATGTACGTGCGTACAGACCTGAAGGACTTTTCATTGAAAATGACATGTTAGTGCCGCGCGGCACGCCGGCACCCATGCCTAGGACTCCGCCTCCTACCACCAAGGAGCTAACCACTACCACGACCACTACCGAAGCACGCATACCTGTGTACACCGGTAAGACTGGGAACTGTCAACCGTAGCATAATTCCGAAGCAGATTGTTGCTCTTACTGTCATCGATCTAATTAGGTAGTAACTTAAAACAAAAGAAGTTAATAGATAATAGAGAAATTTCTCGTACACAATAAAGCAGTTAATGTACTTTACGTAAATATTGTTTTATAAACAAATCCCACTTGAGTTTATATAGATAAACGGAGTTCGGTAAGACGGTTAGAGCAACAATCGACTCGAATCTCGACTAATACAAGCATGGCTCTGCATGACGCATGTTTATGTGTTCAGCTTGCGTGTTCTTCGCAGTGTAGCACGACGTGTTTTTGTTGGGCTTAAATTAATTAAATGACATACACATTTAGGATCGATTCACCTCTGAGGGAAGATATTTTTTATAGTTTTTTTTTTTTTAAATACCTCGTTTACTTGTGTGATGTTGATTTTCTTTTATTCTATAGGTATATATTTATTTGTTCTGGCATAAACGTCACGTATCTTCCGTTCAATGATGAATAGACCCTTAGGTAAAACAATGTTGGCGTAATTAGAAAACTGGTATGTATTCGGTTGACGCAGTGGCAACTTATTGCGGGTTCAATTCTCGCGACACACGGACCAAATGAAGTAATGGATTTTCATAAACATTACTATCCCGAAGTCGGTAATGTACATAAAGTATTTAGTTCTCACCTGACCTCTCTCCTGTCGCATCGGATTCAGAGTGAGGGAACAGTGCCTGCCCAAATATTACACATTCTTGTGCACTGAAATCTCCTGGGTCTTGGCTACTCTAGTTAGACAAACTGGCCACCATTATCGAAGTCGAAATTCGGTAGACTCTATTTTGTTTATGTGTATAAGACATACTAAGTGATAAAGCAATGTGTGGGTATTATTATGATAATAATATCTACATGAACAGTTTCTCCGAATTTCCCAATGACAGACGCCTTATCTTTTTCAACTTTGTCGTGTGTTTAATGTATTATGCATTACAATGACTTATGTGTAATTATTTACATAATTATGTGTGTGTTATGTTACAATTATTTTTATGTATAATGTTGTAAGTATATAATTTTTATTCTATTTATATTTATACATTTGTGTTACAGACAATTATTTCGATATCCACTTAAAGGTTTACAATGAATAGGTACCATATTATAACATTATCCTACCTATGTATTGTATAAACAAGGTTTATTTTTATTTCAATGTTTATTATAAATCCCGAACACAAAGTTTGATAGGTAAGTGGTACGCCCTCTGTTGCGCATAAACGTAACTACACGAAACTAAAAATAAAGTTGTTGAAATATACAGAACATCTCTACCTATAACTCTTAAGAAATAAGGGCGTATGTTTTGCTGTCTTAAATCATCACATTTATCATTGATTGGTGGATCGCCACCGAGTCATTTTTATTTAAAATAGTTTCATTATGAAATGTATGTTGTCCTTTCTCTGTATTATAGCTGTATATTGCTTTGTATTAAAACTATTTATTTTATTTCATAAAAGATTGCTTATTCGAAAGTAACCCTTAGACGTCAGATTAATAATATTACTTATTTGATTTTTTCTGAAAAAGATATCTTGATTCAGATTGATGATAATATATTATATTAAATATATGATTATTGGTCTCTTATTTAAATTGTATTGTAAATTGTATTTGTATAGGTAAGTATGGTATTTTATACTTTGTGCATATATTAGAATGCATATTAATTTACGTATTTAATTGTATTTATAGTAAATAATATAACTTTCCTTTATATAAGTTTTCATGGAAATAGTATGACAGGTAAATATTCTCGTCCCCAGATACTATTATGTATCACAACACTTATTTTTATTAGGTAGGTACTCAGTGCTCTTTTCGTACCTATTAAATGTTTATTCACCTAGGTGATTCGATGAAATTGCATTGGGTTCCCGTTAAGCTCAAAACTAATCGGACCTCGAGTACCTATGTAGTTTTTACAATGTCATCAATATGTTACCTATATGAACATTATGTAATTTAATTTATACACATAACCTTATTATTCAAAGCTCCTTGTCAAACATCACTTATAGAGCAGTTATTTTTTTAATATTCAACACGCACTTTTTCCTATGGTAAATAATACATATATATTCTCATGGGTTACGGTCTTAGGTATAATTTTCGTGGAAGTCTAGGGGAGGTTTCCAAAATCAAAATAACTAACTAATTCGGTCCTGCCTTTTCAGAGTTCAAGCGTGACTAACGAACCAAACGTTACAATTCATTTTATACCTTGATATTAAGAAGATTATGTACTTATCTTGTTCAGAATCGTTCCTATTACCTACATGTATACGAGGATTTAGTAAAACTGTATTGTAACGTATGTTATTTGTGAACAGTGCCGGTGAGCGCGCACGTGTCGTCTAGGTACTCTACGTTGAACGTCGGCACAAACCTGGAGCTCACTTGCGAAGTGGACGGATTCCCGGCCCCCGATGTCTATTGGACGAAGGACGGCGTCCGTCTTCAGCCCAACGACAGCATCCTTATTACTGGTAAGTTAATAATAATTTTACTTTACAACTTATCGTCTTAAAAGCTCAGAAATGTCGAATTTACTGCTGTACGATGTGGATGTAGGTATCTATTGGTCCCGGCTTAATGTTTGCGAAAAGATCAAAAATGACGAATAGGTAGGTATGCTTCTGTACGATCTGAATGTATTGATCCCAACCATACTTAAATGCAATATCTTACAAATGAATGAAAGCTATAAATGATAGACTTTTATTATCTATATCTCAATGCTTGTGTAAAGATAACCTTTACCTAGGTACGTATGAGCGGATCTCTGAATAGGTAATCCCACAAAATGAAAAATATATATATAGAAGTACATCAAACCAAACTAGGTACTTTTCCTAAAGCACTTAACACAATTATTTAATTTTATTTATTTATAATATTTAACAACTAAAAGGCGAACTTAATGCGTTTTTCCCAGTCTCTAATGGCTTACCTACATTACATAGGTTTTTATAATTTGTTATTTCTGTCGCCGTCCTACTAAAACTCATTTGGTCGAGCGATTCATTATGAATTACCTAGTTAAATGTCAGTTTTACGTAAGCAAATATACATTTTCCTTATAATTAAAAAATAAGCAAACTTTACCTATTAGTGACCCGAATTTTTCCTTACGGGTTTTCCTGTTCAAACTTTGACAAACAAAACTATCACATGATGTAAATAACTGAATGTTTAACTTCGATGTGCAATCTGCACAGATATTATAGGTAGGTACTTATACGCAAGTGACAAAACAAATATTATCTCAGTAGGTACAAAGATAGTAGTTAACAGCTAGGTATTGCTCAGAGGCGAATTAAGGCAAGACAGCCCTAGGTTTCCTCGCCTTTTCTCCATAGCCGCTACCAGCGCTTGTCTATTTTGCCTTACATATGCTGTTTTAGCGGATCTGATTGGTCGGCTCAGCAGTCTAACAAACATTACCGTATCTGTAGGTACTGAACATCGATCACTAATAAAGAACTTAGTGATCGATGGTACTGAATCAATCTTTTCAGAAAGGCATTGTTAGCTCCAGGCAAAAGTCTTGCCCAAATTTTATCGAAGCTGTTCAGCTGCTCGAATGTAATCTAGGTTTACCTACTAAGTCAATTGTAGGAAGGCGCTTATCTCTGTATTGGATAGTTAACTTTATGTGGAGTACACATATCCACATCACGCTTCAACCAATAGGAAAAGAGAAGTGAGTGAAGCTGCGTGGAAGTAACTATAGCAGTGTGGGAGAGCAATGCTTTGCCACAAATCCGGAGTGATGCCACGGCCTTATAGAAAACCGGCGTAAAACAACCACAGCGTTCTTTCCCCGTGTGAATGAGGTTACCAGAGGCCCAATCTTTCTCCTCCCCCGATTCCATATCCAAAACCCTAATCCTCAAAAGGTCGGCAATGCACTCGTGACGCCTCAGTTGTTGCGGGAATCTATGACCGGTACTGACTGACCGGGCTTACCATCAAGTAATCCGTACCTATACTCGTTTGCCGTCCTATCACCTAGAAAAAAACCTTTTCATGTTGAATATTAATACTTAGGTATTTAGAAGGGTGACTAATGTTCAACGTTTTGCCTGCAGGTAGCGAGGTGGTGTCCCGGCTGACAGTGCAGCGGGTGAAGGTCTCGGACAGCGGACTATACGCGTGCCACGCCAGCAACCTGTACACCTCGCAGACTGACACTGCGCAGGTGAACGTGCAGCGTAAGTATTCAATACGCATTTACTTGTTTGAAAGAAATTTATACTAAGAGCTTGTCTAGAAGGAGTGAATTCGCGCGACCATTCCGCCCAGAAAGAGCGTATACCAACGCGCGAGCATTTGGGTACGAATTTAAAAAGCCCATATCGCCAGCCGTTTCTCTATTTCGTCTATAAACAATTCCATATCAAAATGTTGGCGCTCTGTATTGATGTCGAGTATCTCACTAATGCTCGATTGATTTCACGCGAAAAGTTTCGCGGCGAATTCGCCATTTCTGGATCAACTTTAACTCTGAAATAGGTGTTACAATAAGTCCTTATGGCATACTTTTCTTATATTAATGTACTGCACAATATTCCTCTATCCACAGAGCTACTGGTACCAGCTAAGTGTACGGACAATCCATTCTTCGCTAACTGCGATCTGATCGTGCGCAGCAAGTTCTGCAGGCACAAGTATTATTCCAAGTAAGTATCCGAAAGTTGTCAACTCCTTATAGAATATGGCAAAATAGAGATGACCAAGGGGTAGGAAACTCTACATCATTTCAAAGTATAAAACGTTACCCGGTACCAGACCCGAACTTACGGCGCGTAGCGTTCCGTACACGCCTCGAAGCGCCAAGGGATGTGGCCCAAACGTGCCCGGGGTGAAGAAACAGGATGCTTTTTAGACAGTACGAGTCGTAACACCTCTTTCCACATAAGCGTGGCGGGAGAAGTCATTCGAATTTTCCAACCACAAAAAAAACAGTAATGACGTCACGCGTTATTAATAAAAGGTGATGTTTGAAATCGATATACCTATCGCCGGTTTTTAAGAATATAAAATAACGTGTCTAATGCTTTAAAATAAATTAACCAGACGCACGTAAAAATTGTCACCTCTGTTGAAATGTATTTATTATAAGATGGTATGGTCTGCTCGTTTGCATAGAAATAGAGGTAGATATATATGTATATAGACAAGTAGATACTTAAATCAATTTGAAAAATGGCTTCTTACTTCATGTAATCTTCTAAAGAAGTATTCTTCGAGATAAGTATGTGCTATGAGGCCATTTCATACAAAATATAATTATCAATTAAAATTGCTGATAAGCATTGAATTTGACTAACTGGAAAATAAAATAATTGTGTGCCTAACCCGGGAATAGAACTCCTGAAATCGCATTTGGACGTGCCTGTAGTGTCTCGCCAACGCCGTTATCGTCACAATAATAATCTCAAGTGAGGTTAATCGATCAATTAGGTCAATAGATTAATGTAGGGAGCTAGCGAAGCGACTATAATAATACTTATCATGCGCCGAATAGTTGAAAATAGATGCTATTCTAGTCTGAAATGCGTGCGTTCGTGCAGCGGAATGTTGTTGAATTTAAAGATTTTAATTATGCAGATATTTAGTGTATGACGTCGTATAATTGTGTATGGTAAAAAAAAATTTGTGCACGCAACCATTGTGGAGAAATTCACCAAAAACTGATTCCGCTGGGCGAACGTTGTCCTGGCGGAACTTTTTTTAATCCATAGACTTTACAAGAAAAGAGATGTATCCAAAAATTAGTGTGTATTTGTGTGTAATTGTGTATGTATGAATAAAACTAGTGCATGCATAAACTTCGGAGAAATTCAAGTTTCCGCTACGCGAACGTTTGGCCATTAGCTAGTTTTCATATAAAGCGCTTACATAGAGAGCTGTAGATTTTTACATACGTTGTTTTGAATTTGTGTATATTTGTTTAAAAAACAGATATAGAAAAAATCGTAGGGTTTAAAAGATAAAAATATAAACGTAAAATACGCCTATTAGGTCTTAGCTCTTAAAGTATGCACTTTAGGGTCTAGATTTTCACGTTTAAGTATAAAAACCTTGTAAGTGTCTGCAACATGTTGCCAAGTATCAATGATGTTCCGTTAGTAATTAAATAGTTATAGGACAAATTTACCATGAATAGATCACTGTTTACAAAGCAGTCAAATATCACGACGTTCTAAATGAATTGCATGGTATAATATATGCCAATAATTAGTGTATTCATTCAACTATTCACATGCAAAATTTCATGTCATTAAATTCAGTAATTAAAGAAAAACAATTATAATACTGACGAAGTATCGAAAACCTACATAACCCGACCAAGTTCGGATGACTACAAAAAAGCGGCTGTTCAATATATTTAGGTAACATCTCAAATTGTACAGTATAATACCGGTATTGAATTGGTACAGGTGATAACACACTTGTTGTTTCGAAATAATTTATAGGTCATTTATTTTTGGACACCTACTTTTTTAAATGTATTTGACTATGACAGAAAGTAGGTACTATTTACGTAGGTACTTTATTTAAGTATGCGCTTGAGATTTGAGATGTAATCTAATTATATTTAAGACAAATAAAATTCATACAGCTAATTTCTATTGAAGATTTCACGGATCAGGATTCTAACTATAGACCCCTTAGGGAAATTAAATATTTACCACATGTAAGTACTTAAGTACTACTGTTTAGGTAAATATTTATCATATTGTAGCTTATTACACTATTTAACCAATATTTTTTATTGCACTATTTAACCAATAGAGGCATGCACGAGCGTGTGTACGATACTGTGTTTTATTTTTTCCTAACGCTTGTGTACGGTAATGTACCATATTAATAAATGCTATATTGGAAAGTTAAGAACGTTTCTTAGATATATGGCACGGCCGCTTTTTTGTAGCCATCCGAACTTGGTCGGGTTATGTAGGTTTTCGATGCTTCGTCAGTATTATAATTGTTTTTCTTTAATTACTGAATTTAATGACATGAAATTTTGCATGTGAATAGTTGAATGAATACACTAATTATTGGCATACATTTTACCATGCAATTCATTTAGAACGTCGTGATATTTGACTGTTTTGTAAACAGTGATCTATTCATGGTAAATTTGTCCTATAACTATTTAATTACTAACGGAACATCATTGATACTTGGCAACATGTTGCAGACACTTACAAGGTTTTTATAAACGTGATAATCTAGACCCTAAAGTGCATACTTTAAGAGCTAAGACCTAATAAGCGTATTTTACGTTTATATTTTTATCTTTTAAATCCTACGATTTTTTCTAAATCTGTTTTTTAAACAAATATACACAAATTCAAAACAACGTATGTAAAAATCTACAGCTCTCTATGTAAGCGCTTTATATGAAAACTAGCTAATGGCCAAACGTTCGCGTAGCGGAAACTTGAATTTCTCCGAAGTTTATGCATGCACTAGTTTTATTCATACATACACAATTACACACAAATACACACTAATTTTTGGATACATCTCTTTTCTTCTAAAGTCTATGGATTAAAAAAAGTTCCGCCAGGGCAACGTTCGCCCAGCGGAATCAGTTTTTGGTGAATTTCTCCACAATGGTTGCGTGCACAAATTTTTTTTTACCATACACAATTATACGACGTCATACACTAAATATCTGCATAATTAAAATCTTTAAATTCAACAACATTCCGCTGCACGAACGCACGCGTCTGAAATCAGTATTGTTCGTCAACGCAAGTAGGTAACCTTATAAAAAACTTTTTTGTTGGTATCATAAAGAAACTGTTTTTACTTTTAAAACCATGAAAATACTTTAAAATGATCACACTCTGCATAATTTAACGATACCTATAATTTATTTGTATTGTGTAATATATGTACATAATTATATGACGTCCCCTTACTATTATCTTACAAAGTAATCGTTTTTGAAATTACGAAAAAAGTATTGAATTTGACCAGTTGCAAAACCTGGACTTATAATATCTAAAACCTGGACTTATAATTTCTAATTATAAGTTTGAAATCGCCAACCCGCATTGAGCAAGCGTGGTGATTAATGCTCTAACCTTCTCAGTATGAGAAGAGGCCTTTGCTCAGCAGTGGGCATTTATAGGCTGATGATGATGAAGTACCAATTTTTATAACTGACAATTATAAGTTAGACAAACTTCCCAAATTATAGGATACAGATACCTTCTGACATCATAATCTAGGAGCAAAATTAACCACATTTTTTTATTCCCAGGTTCTGTTGTAAGTCGTGCGTGGAGGCAGGTCAGCTCGACCCTCAGGAGGCAGAGCTTCAAGCAGACCAGCCCTTGAAGAAGAAGTAGACGGCTTCAGAGCACCATATCTAGTATAAGTGTAGCCAGACGCGACCGACAGTGATGTTAGGATAGTAATAATACTCAAACACTACTTAAATATGTAAAGTTAAGTTTAAATAGTTAATGAATGAGACGCTGCCGTCGACGCAAACATGATTGCCTCAACAGTTAGTTATGCTAACTGCTAAGGTAATTAGTTGTTTATTATCTCGTTACCCGCTCTCCTGTCGGTCGCTAGTCCTGGGCAAACTCGTTATTGTTTCATGTGCCATAAATGTAATAGAATATTACTGGTGTAAGCGCCCCACGGTGCTCCACAGTGCGCATGTACGAGACACGCAATCATACCAATAGATTTAATGTAGATAGATATTACTTGAAACAAAACTTTTTTTTATGTAAATAAATATTTTTTATTATGTCACAAACTCCATCTGTGATGGAATATTTTGAGTAATTTTACAATTTCTACACTTAGTTAGTCAGAAAGAATATTATAGTGAATAAATTATTTATGTAATAAGTTGTCTAATAAAGTGAATGTTTAGCTCGTAGGGTGGCTACTTGACAGTCATAATAATTCGTATAAGTGGAATACTTTTCTATAATTGTGACGATGTAAATAGATGGACAATAAAAAACGTATTAGCAAAATGTTTTGTTTAATTATATTACCGGTCGTCAGAATTAAATACAAAGCTGAATATATGGTATAAGTATAGACAGGGTGAGGGGAGGCTCGTTGGATCCCAGCGACATATAGAACAAGGCAAGCTTAGTCTCGAACACAACACAATATAATCTAAATAAATTACAATTTATCATAAATATACCCGGGCAGATGCAAAATGAACAAAAAAACATTGCGATAACATAAATTTTTATTTACATTCCGAAATTCACAATCAAATGTAACAATAAAGTTCCTACGTCCAACTTACCTGTCAATGAAAGTACAGTGAGAAACACACAAGTCTACTGGTGATTTAACTATATACACACATACATTCACAAAACTTCGTCACCCCACCGACCCCGACACTGCTCGAAGAGGTGGCTAGGCCTGTACATAATTTACTACCAAACGAGTTATACAATTTCTCCTTCGCATAGTTCAGCCGCCTCCGACTACTCTTATAGAGCATACAGCGATACATATCATTATATATATTCTTAGAATACAAAAATTAAAACAATAAGTTATATACATCAAATTATAATTTCATGTACACGTGTCGCGACGGCAGTGCGTCGCGATGTCTTCGGCCCGTACGTCTACTCCTGCTTAAATATCTTACCGGGCGCCGAGCGGGCCCATTTTAGTATCACAATGTGTGTTAAACTAAACGGAGGTCCCACTAACTCCTAAACGCCTACTAAAAAAACTATAAAAACCGAAATCTTCTACTACAAAATAAAAAGAAAATCGTTTAAGAACAATAAACTCGCTAGAAACGTACGGCGAGCGTACGCAGGGTGACCGGCAGCAGTGGCAGCTTCCTACTTGTACTTTCATTGCGCACTCGCGCGCCGTCAGCCGATTCAGTCCAAGACCTGCGACACGATCTTCTCCATGTCGTGGTCGATCTCGTCGTTGCTGGGCGGCGCCGGCGCCGCGGGCGCGGGCTCGGGCGCCGCGGGCAGCTGGAACGGCTCGTCCAGCTCCTCCAGCCCCGCCGGCACCGCCAGCTTGCCCAGCTCCTCCTGCAGCTTCACGTAGTGCCGCTGCACACACACATACACAACATTATCACCCGCTACGAGGCTCGCTATGACAACTCCCACAGTTACAGCGGCAGACTGCTTACCTTGAGCGCCATAAGGTTGAGCTGTATGCTCCGCTGGGTGCGCTCGTCCCCGCTCTGGCTCTCCAGTTCTGTGATCCAGTTAGCCACCGTCTGCATTATTTCGTTACGTTTTATCCAGAAGTGGGTCTGGATCACCTGTGAATATTCATAATTGATTGTGATTTAATTTACCATACGTCAGGCAACAACCGACCAAATAGACCGTAAAATTAATAAATAAGTTGTAAGCAAATAGTACCTCTTTGAAGCAAGGTTCGGGGTTCCTGAGATGGTCGAGCATAGCCCAGCGCACACAGGCCTGGTAAATGTTGGAGTTGTACTCCAGGGACGCGCTTGAGCCGACGCGCGTACCCCGGCTGCGCTCGTAGCCTGGCTCGTTGAAGTACGGCTCCGGGACTAAGATCAAGGATTGGATCGACACGAGTACCTGCAGATACACGTAAAGTTAACATTTAATAACATTGCAAGAAAAAAAATTGCGACAAAAGTAAAACAAAGTGTTTAAGTTGTATGTACCTGTAGAAAGCTGGAGGTATGCGCGTTCCACTTCTCCTCGGGACGTCCGTGCCAGGTGTTGAGCACGGAGAGGCAGACCTTGCCGTCGTTGTACAGGTTGGGGTTGAAGCGCACGGAGTGGCGGCCCGTCGTCTCCAGGTTGATCAACATGGGCACCGCCGGGTACTCCGCCGGGAAGTATACGTCTAGTACGAAGCAACCGTTCGCGTACGGCGTGTCGGAAGGACCGGTTATTAGCACCTGCCGAATAAATATGTTAATAATCGCTATTAACTTCATACATGTCGTTATTCTGCATTTAATTGACCGCGTAAGAAAGATATGCTCTCACTCAAAATATAAAATATATAAATCTAGCTATTGCCGCGCAGTTTCATCTGATGCTCGATACTGATTGGTTCCAGAGTGATGTGCCTATGGCATTCAGGGACATTGTAGCTATTTATCAATGAAAGAATTTTGGAAATCCAACCAGCTGTCCCAAATATTACCCACTAAATACTTAGAAATTTTACTTCTTTATAATATTAGTTTAGACTATATCAAGATGGCCTCCATTTTTATCAGTTTCATGTCTGAGTTAGATGTGATGTGAGTGCTAGATGCTAGTTCAGAGGGCTGGCTACCTTCATGACGTCGAGTCGGTCAGCGTCGGTGCGCACGAAGACGGAGGAGGAGTACGAGAGGGGCAGGGAGGTGGCGAGGGTGGCGGCCTCCTGCGCGAGTCGCTTCATGCGCGCAGGGTGGGCGCGCTCGCCCGCGGCGCGGACGGCGCCCTCGAAGTGGTACGGCACCAGGAACCTGAACCCGCTCTCTGCGCACTCTGATATCATCTCGAACGTCTCTGCAAGGGGAACACAAGGCGCTATAGCGGCTACACCAAATTAACTCGACTTACACTACACTGTACAAACTTGGCCTTTTGTGATATTAAAATGAAAATTTTAAACAGACATGTCAACAGCAAAACGTATAATAAATAACTGAAATGTGGTTTAAGTTTGGCCAGTCTCAAGCAAAATGATGAATCTCCTTTCAAATGTCAAAAACAAGTGTTATAGTACTGACCGAATTGCATAGTGCGCATGAGTTCGATGTAGCGCGCCTCCCGCGTGGCCCCGCTGAGGGGCGCGGGCACGCCGCTCGCCCGACCTGACTCCGCCTCATTCTCCGACCGACATAGCAACGCTGACGTCGCCTGAAACAAACAATTAATCATACAGTGCTCCAGTATTTACTAGTTATACATTTTATGGCACAGGACGGCAAACGAGTAGATACCAGAGGAGATACAAGTCCGTCGCCGACCTTTTGGAAGTTACGGGATTGTGGATATGACAATGGGAGAAAGATTGATAAGGCTGAATGCCGTGTGAGTGAAGTCCCACACGGCATTCAGCCTTATCATAGTGTTTCTGTTTCATTATTTTATGCAATACGTTGGCAAACTAGGAGACTGATCACATTGTAGTAAGTAGTCAGCGCCGCCCATTAACGTGGAGGCATTATGATCTTCGATACACTATACAACAGGAATGGCTCTTAGGTAAGCTGAAGAAATTCTGGCTGGGTAATTTTGAAGTGGATCACAAACTTGAAATGAAGCATGTATGAATATTATTGTACTCACTTGTATATCTGCAATGAGTGCGGCGAGTCCCTCGTCTTCTTCTGATAATTCTGAATTACTTGAAGTACTAAATCTTTGGCTATATGTCATTTTACCGAATATATTCTTCTTACTCATTCTGAAATACAACAAGACAAATCTTACTTATAGATTTTTAACTCTAAGCGAATCATAGAATACTATTTTGAGAGGCATACAAGTCTAAAATGTGTATAAATTAGCAAATATTAGATGATTAGACTAAATGATGATAAAATAAATATAGATTAAAAAATTCAAACTGATATTATTTATAAATCGGAAAGTAACTCTGTCTGTCTGTCTTTTTCACGCATAAACCACTAAACCGATTTCCGTGAAATTTGGTACAGACATAGTTTGGAACCCGAGAGAGGACATATAGGAAAGTTTTTATACTAAAAATTAGCAGGAAGTCATTATTTCACGCGATCGGAGTCGCGAGCAAAGGTTAGTATACTATATTATACAAGAAAGAATATCATAATAATGCTTCCTGAACAATATAACAAGAATACATATTTTGTTCGTTAAAGATGTATTTTAGCGGCAAATAAGTGTATGGTGGATGAAGGCTGGCGGCGGTACCTGAGCTTGGTGGCGTATGAGTTGGTGGTCCGCGACATGCAGGCGAGCAGACGCGGCAGCGGGCGCAGCGCGGGCGCCAGGCGGCGCGCGCCCAGCGCCCACAGCGCGCGCGCGCAGCGCAGCACGTGCACGTACAGCGGGATGTGACGCGACATGTCCAGCACTGCAACACACAATACACGCTTACACTTCTCCGCGCTCATACACAGATAACTTTTTTTAGGGGTAATTAATCTAATGACTCTCCCGCCCAGGGTGAGGCGAGCGAAAGTGTCACTCTTACTGACTAAAAAGCCCCCGTTCCTTCTCCTGCTCTAGGTCTCTCCTCATTGCGCTTATCCCGCAACCCCGGAAAACTTTTGGGCAATGCTGTTTGCTTTAGCATCTTTTTATTGTAATAGCACAATTTGATTAACTACTTCGCTTATCGAAGTTTTATAGACATGACTAACAAGCACGTGGATTTCGCTTTAACAACAAGTACTTAAAAACAACTCCTTTCAGGTATTTCAATAACAACATAGAGGCTGAAAATACTTTAACAACTGTTTACCTAATTGCTGTATAAAACATGCAATATACTTGATGTAAAGAATAAATAACTCCCAAAACTGACCCGAATCATTCCGTAGATAGGAGCAGATAGCGGGTACAAGTGAACTGTTGGCGATAAGGTCAATGAACTCTGCAGGCAAGTCGTGCGTTTCGTCCGAGTCTTCTTTGTCGGTCGTCTCGGCCGCGCCCTCTTCCGGGGGCCACTTCTCGCCGGGATTCATATACGACGCTAATACCTAAAGGAATACTTGTATGAGTCCATTTGTTTACAATTTAGGTATTTATTTATTTATTAGTATTTGCACTAGAAACGTAATGCTTTAGGCATTCTTCTTAGTCAACCTTTAAGTGTAGTTAAGGCAGTCAATAGACATTGTCCGTGCGTCTGATGATATTTACCTATATGGCATCAACTTGCGCTTGTTACGCATGCTATTAATTATGAATAATTTCACTATTTTCTTGGCGCATAGGCTTTATCATAGAGGCTATACCATACAATTAAATAAATCACAAAATATATAAAAATTGCTAAGAAGACGAGTCTGCCAAAAAAGTTTTTGATTACTATACAAAATAGAATTATAGTGTGGTTTAGAATACATAAAAACTTGTTTATTTTGTTGACATGTTTACTACAGGTGTATTGATCAAGTAAGAGTACCTGAAGTAGAACAGTGACGTGTTCCTCCTCAGTCCTCTGCCGTACGAGCGCCTGTTCCACGTTCCACGACTGTTGCGTGGACCCGGTCCCGAAGCCCGTGCCCTTCGCCCAGTACAACTGGCTCTTCTCTTCAGACTTGCCCGTTGATCCATTCGAACCTTGGCTATTCTGTAAATTAATTTTGTTGCTTGTAAAATACAGTTTGGTTAATTATAACAAAGGTGATAGGTAGGAATTGCTTCTACCTTATGTAATCACTTTTACAACCATGCATTAAAAAAAATACAGTAGTGGTAGGAATGAGTCGGATCGACCGGAGTGATACCACAGCCTCACAAAAATTCGGCGTGAAACAATTACAGCGTTGTTCGTCGTGTAAGTGAGGTTACCGGAGGCCCAATCTTCCCCTCCTTCAATACCTAAATCCCCAATCCAAAAAAGGTCGGCAACGCACTCGTAGCTTCTCTATTGTTGCGGGTGTCCATGGGCGGCGCTGATTGCTTACCATCAGGTAATCCGTAAAATCCGTTTGCCGACCTATCACATACAAAAAAATGGATATGAGAACTTTTATAGCATATATAAAATTGGCAAATTACGCTGTGGTTGGGAATGGAAATTTCGAATAGCATTATTGTTAAAGATGGACTTTGATGGATGTTTATTATGAATAGTGGCGCAGTGAATAAATAGAATAGATGAGGATAGTTACGTCGTTGGAGTTGGGTCGGTGGTGCGTGAAGACGGCGAGGCAGGCGAGCAGCAGACGCACGGCGCCGCGCTGCAGCAGCGCCCGGCGCAGCGCGCGGCCCGCCTCCGACTGCAGCGGGGCGCGCTCCAGTAGCCGCGCCACCACCGTGAACGGCAGCGTGCCCAGCGACCCCGCACCCCCCGCCCCGCCCCCGCCGCGGCCCTCGCCCACCGCGATGCTCCCTGCGACACACATCCCCCGTCAGACGTTTACGCTTCCAGCCTTGCACTACGCTCACTTTTAAACTTACGCGTTTCACGTTTACAAAATATAATTACGCGGGTATTAAAGCGGAAAGTTATTATTTAAATAAGAGAAAAGTGTGAGGCAAAGTTTTTTTTAAAGACGATGGATGTCTATTACCGGTTCAAAAAGCCTACCCATGAAAGACACGGTCAGCAAAATGCTGCCCAGGTTGATCTGGTACTAATTTTGGCATATTGCCATTTACAAACGCTGTTAGATCATTTGTTATACATAGGTGTTGTTGTTATAATTATAGGTACTATTGTATCATTGTGTCAAGAGTATTATTTTGGGTATAATAACTATCTTTAAGAACCCTATTTTTTTCCCAAATTAAATTTAGCCTATGTTACTTGTAAATAATGTGGCTTTCGAATGGTGAAAGTTTTTAAAAAATTGATCCTGTAGTTTTTGAGTCTATTCATTACAACCTAACAAACAAAGTTTTCCTCTTTATATTATTATAGTATAGTATAGCAAAAGAAACATAAAAGTAATGTACTGGATGATGTATGACATACTTCCGTCCTCGTCATGCGTGACGCCGAGCAGTAGTCGCAGCAGATGGCAGGCGCGCGCGCCCTCGTCGAGCAGCGCGTCCGCATAGCCGGGCAGCTTCAGCAGCAGCCCCAGCGCCAGCAGCGCGTGCGCAGGCACGCCCGTGCACCCGCCCTCCTCCGCCCCGCCCCCGGCCCCGCCCCCACCAGGCGCCACGCCCAGCTCCACCACCTCCTGCGCACCCAAACACAACTTTAATACCTTCTACTTTCCCACCTACTGGCCTGCTTACTTTTACTACTTGAACGAGTGATGTGGAGTATAATCTACATTTTGTCGTATCAAACTACTTTTGGTAGTTTTGCAAAATTAACATTTCAAAAACAATAAATAAACGACGATGCTAAAAGAAGTTGGAGAACTTACCTCGTAAGGATCATCAAGTTTAACCCAGTCGAGGTCGTGGTGGTGGTGCACGAGTGCGGGTGGGTCTGGTGGAGGCGCGTGGGGTCGTGGGAGGCGCGCGGCAACTAGAGCCAGGCCCCCAACGGCCCCGAAAAACCGGAGTATGGCCGAGCCGCCGGTCGACGTCGCCGAGCTACTCGTGGCCCCTGCACTACTTGAACTTGGCCCAGCGCCCGGACTTGAAGGACTAGTCGACGATGCGCCTTCCCACATGGGACCTGACCACGCTTCTATAACAATGAAACAATGAATTTATTTTTGCAAATAGGCCATAAAACAGTACTTTCACGTCAAAATTATATGTAAAAAGAAACTATATGAAGACGGCATTTCCTATCTGACTACTCGGAGAAGAAATGCCGAAACAAACTCAGAAGTATATAACATGTTTTCGTAATATTGAATGGAATGTAATTGTTCCATCAAGTCATATCTCCATCAATCAATTTTATTTTATCGCAATATGGAATGCTAAGCATAGCCATTATAAAAGTAGATACAAGTGTCAAGTTGTATAGGTACGTACCGCCGTTGGTGTTGAGATGCAGTGTGAGTGAGAGATGTGGCCCAATGGTATGCGGGACGGCCGCCGCTAGCTGCGCCAGCGTCGTGCTGGGCGGGATGAAGCCCTCCAGCCCCGGCACTTGCACGCGGATCGACGACTCTATTAAATCTAAACACATATTTTATCATGATACAATTGTTTAGCATATGTTACTACATATTATAGTCAGAATTTTAATACGAATTCAGATTGACATGAGCTACTGTCATTTTGTGAAAAAAGGTTACCACATATAACAGTGTAGTGATGAACACAAAAATCGATATACAATCAGGGAATCAGTTTAAGGAAGGCATTCAAAAAATTACAGCTACCGAATAGTCTAAATGCGTATCCCATGTTGTCAAGCTACATATTATGTTAATTAACAATTCACAGACACAATTCATAATAAAAGTTACAGAAAGTAACAGCGATGATAGCGACAATTATAAAATAAATTATTACCATAATACATCTGTTTTATTTGTCATGTTCCTTCATGATCACATTTTTTTATTAATTTCACATACATTATAAAAGAAAAGTCTCAGATCGTTAATTAATTGTTAAAACTAAAGTAGTTTCAATAATTTCCTGATAAATTTAGTTTAAAAGAGTAAATTTATAAACGAGATGAATCGATTCAGAAATATTCCATTTCCATATCAAATAATTTCGCAACGTCACTATTTAGTACTTGTCATAACGTTGCAATACTGAAATTGTCAAATTTGGAATCCAATTAAAATTCCGACTATAGTTTTATATTTATATCAAGTCTTTAGCAAATGATATTTGTGTATACAGGTGTCCATCGTGCAAATATTGCGTGTGTACTCACCATCAGTGACGGACAGTACGGACGCGTCATTGCTGGTTTTAGTCTGTCTCTTCTTGTTATTCTGTTGTTTGAGGGACGTATTCTTGACGTCCTTGACGCGCTTGTCCTTGGAGGCGCTGGCGGCGGCCAGGCTGAGCTCCCAGGCCTCCGCCACCGTGGTGATGGCCGTGTCGGACGCGCTGCGCAGCACGGACGAGCCGGCCGCGGTGGGGGACGCGTTCATGCAGAGTTTGGTGGTGTCGTCCATAATGGGCACTGGGGAGCGGAGACATACCGTGAGAAGCGAGTAGTTGGGTGTAGGTGCGGTGTAGATGGGTGTAGCGGCGGGTACTGACCGGGCGGGCGGTGGTCGGCGAGCACGTCTCGCAAGGCGCGCGCCAGCGGCAGCGGCAGCACGGCGTGCGCGTGCGCGGCGGGGTGCGCGCAGGCCGCGGCCGCGCCGCCGCCCTCGGCCCAGCGCAGCGACACCCACACGCGCTCCGGGGACAGCACCAGTCGCAGGATCAGCGCGCGCGTGAACCCGTTCATTCCCTCTGCAGGACACGCACCAATTATAACTCAACGATTCAAATGAGTCGCCTCGATCGAAGTGATACTACGGACTCAAAGAAAACCGGCATGAAGCAACCATAGCGTTCTCTTTCGCCGTGGAAGTGAGGTTACCGGAGACCCAATCCTTCACTCCCCCCTATCCCTTATTCCCAAAAGGTCGGAGACGCACTGGTAACTCCTGTGTTGTTACGGGTGTCAATGTGTGATTGCTTACCACCAGAGGTATCAGCTCGTTTACCGACCTATCACATTATACAACGTCTTTACTCTTCTCGCTACTCACCGTTACTCGGCAACGCCTCGAGTATACTATGCAGCGTGGAGGCGAACAATTGCTGGTTCTCGGGGTGGCAGACTGTCAGCTCCGCGAACAGACGAATGGTGCTCTCCTCTAGCTGCGCGTATTGCGCGTCTTCTTGCCAACTACTGCTGAAAGAAAATGTTTTATTAAATAGTGTTTTGAGGACAGCACCTATTTTTTTTTTTAAATAAGCTGTTAAACATAGCCTTTAAATACAATAAAACAAATTACTTCCTCACATAAAACCAGTGTGAAACAACCAAAGTGTTATGTCCCAATCTTTCCCCTGCCTCCATCCCTCCCAAATCCTCAAATATCCCAAACCTTTATCCTTAAAGGCCAGCAACGCAATCTTAACTGCTTTGCTATTACAGGTGTGAAAGTGTACATGGGTGACACCGATTGCTTACCATCAGGTAATCCTTCTGCTTGTTTGCAGACATATTAAATGAAAAAGTAATATAAGTAAGATACCTGTAATTAGGTCTCGGATAACACAGTAGCGTGAGCAATGGCTTCCAGAATATACTGCCGGGGCCTCCGAGCCAGTCCTTCAGACGTTTGGACCAGCAGACAGCGCGGGCCCACTCCACCAACTGGTGTACAGTCTTCATCGATGGCAGCTCTGATTTGCCCTGGTTTGGTTCCTTCTCAGGTTCCATCATCTGCACATCTTCAGTAGAATTCTTTTGCGCCTTAATTGATTCTAATTTCGCTTCACTAAAGTCTGTGAAAAGAGTTTAAAAGTAGATTATTAGTACATAGATTGATGTTTTATCTAATGTTTATAATTGCAAAAGAACGAAAAATTTAGTATAACTATAATACTTTTCTCATACCACCATATTTCTAGGTTGTTTTGCTGAAGTTTAGTTTTTTAAGTAAATCGTAGTTGTATTTCAGTAAGTTGCATATAAATTTGTACTAAGCGTAATATAACAGTTTTGTATAATTATTTTGTAAATATCACAGTGCCAAGTCAAATATTGCAGGTGTGGACCATTATGATATGAGTTTCACGTGGATTCAATACTTTTATCCAAACGACAAACTCTGATAAGAAAATTGTATGAAACCGTAAGTTATGATCGTCATCGTATTTTGCGACAAACAGCATACTTATTAAAAATTATCAAAAATGTATTGATTGACAAACAAACAATGACTGAAAGTACAGTTGGTTTTCATAGTTAAATTGGGTAGTTTCCTAGGTAAAACATAAATTAATTCGACGTTTTAATACGATAAAATATTAAAAAATAACTTTACTTTTATTCATCGATCGATAGATACACTAAGTTTAAGATATTTTTTTAGCAAATTTTTTAAAAATAAGTAAGCTATTTGACGCAAAAATGCTACGACGTCATAATTCAATGTTTCATACAATTTTCATAGAAAAGTATCGTTTTTGACATTTGGATAAAAGTATTGAATTTGACTAGTTGGAAACAACCGTATTGTCGAAATAATATATTGTTGAGTGCGGAAACCGGCGAATTATAGAAACATAGAGTAAGTGCGTGGTGCGTACCAGCGATGGCGGAGACGAGCGCGGCGGGCAGCGTGGAGCGCAGCAGCGCGGCGGCGGCGGCCGGCGACATGGCCGCCGCCGCCGCGCTGTGCAGCAGCCCCGCGCGCGCACTCAGGGCCACGCGCGACGCCGCGCCGCCCGCGCCGCCCGGCCACTGCTGCTTGCGGTCGTCCGTCAGGCCCTCCATGCTGCGGACATAAACACAACCATACATACAATATACACTCTACTTTGAACACTTATGTCAACAAAGGTCCACTTATCGCTTGAAAATCAAGCTATCGATCTTCTAAAACAATCTATACTAAATTTAGTTCTTATAATAAGAACAAAAAAATTGTTTATATATTATTATTAATGTGAAACGTTGCCCCACATTAGAATTTTCACCTGTGTAGTGGGTGCGGGTACAAACATACAATTTCACATACATATCACACCCAAACCCAGAACAACAATCTGGGGATCACACAGAGAGTTGTTACGTGCGGGAATCGAACCCGGGACCCTTTGTACTGCAGCCAGTTGCCCAGCGATCGCACCAACCGTGCAATCATATAAATATGCATTATATAGATTAAATAGAATCAAAACAATTTGACCATTTTAAAATTATAAGATTTAAATACTTCTTTGTCTAGACCAAATGGCATCATACCTATTTGACCATTTAAAAAAAATACAGTTCAGAAGTTACACTGACCCAAATAAACATAGACTATAAAAGCAATGGGCACAGATAATGACATCGATTGAAAACATTACAAGCCTAGAAAATCTTAATATTAAACAATAAGAATCATAAAAAGAACCCAGCAATACTATTGAAAAATCACTCATAAATTACCTCTCGTCTTGATCCATGGGAATGTCCATGTGTTCGAGAAGCATCTTAAACAACTCCGGACGGATGTAGCACATTGAACATAATACTGAAATGATAATACAAACAATTTTATTAATCCTTTAAAAATAAACTATTTCGCGAGCACAGCCGACGAAAAAACATAATAATTAAGTTCTCTGTAGTTTGGTATAGCCGACCATGGCGGTTTTAATATGTAAATTACAAACAAAATTTTGAAACATAATATGGTAATAAATGTTTTATGCCGTCATATTTTACACATAAAATTGAAGCGCTAACACACTGCAGTGAGAAGTGCTTTCAAACAATTTCATAGATCAAAAATATAAAAATAGTGGAATACTGACTAGCATCTAGTGATTTCTTGAGTAGACTAGTTTCCGGCACATCCTTGACCCACGTGTATACGAGCTCGAACAAATCATCTGTGATCAGCTCCTCCAAGTTATCTAGAAGGTTCTTTTCTTTCAATGTCCATAATACCTGAAAACACATATTCACTCGGTGAAATAACTTAATGAATTTTTTATTAACATTTTTATATGATATTTACAAAGAATTATATTTATAATTATATCTCGATAAATTATTGTAGCACATATTTTAAAACAAGTTACATTCTATATTGAAATTCATCTGGTTTACAGATGGCTTGCTAGACACTGATTACAAACACACCCTCAATAATACATGCAAGTCTCAAACACATTTTGAAGGCTCCAAGCTTAAGTCTCACTTGTAACATTTGTTTTTTCCGAAGTTCCGAAGCAGACTTGTAACTTTTCGAAATGAAAACAAGAAGTAGAAAGATAACACCCGGTTTTCGAAAGGCCGATCAATGTTTAAATCAATTTAATCTTTTGTCAAATCATCTGATTGGTTGACTGAATTATAAACAACCAATCAGATGACTTGACAAGAGATTTAAAAGAAGATTAGTTAATTTTAGGCAAGCCTTTCAGAAACAGTGTGTAAGTCGAGTATTTGAATAGACAAAATGTAAAGTATAGTTGTGGCGGTACTGACAGAAGCTAGAGTGTGTGTGAGTGCGGCGGAGGGCGGGTCCTTCTGTCGCAGCCACAGCTCGGCGGCGGCGGCCAGCCACTGCACGTACGCCGTCACGCAGCCCTCCGGGCAGCTGCGGCATAGTTGCCGGACCAGCTCGCATATCGCGCGCATACTGCCGTTCACACGCCCGCCTGTAGACACTTGGAATGCTGCGGACGAATTAACTTTTATTACTTACAAGCGCCTGCGATATTGATAAAAATAAAAAAGCCTATGACCTATTCCGGAATGTATCCTATGCCTGTGCCCAATTTCATCCAGATCCGTCCCACCGTGTTGGCGTGATTGACTTTCGCATTAATAATTTATATGCACGACGCATTTATAATATTATAAACGAAGATTAGTATGAAGTAAGTTACAAATGTTAATACAAAGTTACTAGACATATATAAAAAAGATCTTTTCATGAGGAGTTATGTTTTGATAGGTACGCGTACGGTAGCGTTTGCAACGTATGTAAGTACACGTTGGCGATGTGTAAAGGTTTTGAACTTATGAACGTTTGCTAAGTCTCGACAAGCATAAAAACGTACCATTACGCTAACCGAAGAAACGTATTTTCATTATGTTACCATAGATGGGACTTACGGGAACTGTGTTTAAAAGTCCTTTAAATGCATGCACACATGGCAACAAAGCCGGCTTCACATTACTGTTCCGTACGGTCCATCAGCTGCTTTTTGTGTTATAGTGTGAGGCAAGTATGTGCATACTGACCGTTGGCGTGTGCGTGCGCGTCCATGTTGAGTAGCGCGGTGAGGAGCGGCGCGCGCAGTGCGGGCGCGTGTCGCGCGGCGGCCAGCAGCGCGGCGTGCGCGTGCAGCGCGGCGGCGCCGCCGGCCGCCACGCAGGCGCACAGCGCGCTCACGGCGCCGGCGCCGCGCGGCCCGCACAGCCGCGCGCCCGCGCCGCTCCCCGCGCGCGTGCACGCCGCCACCACGCACGCCCAGTTGTTGCTCCTGCGACACCATCATACACATTCTTACTTGCACAACTACATCTGCGCTACTGATGAGTGGAGACTAAATTAAACTTTTTAATTACATATTACAACACAATTTACATAGGTAATAGAATACTGCCTCAATCAAAAACAATAAATAAAAATTGAAAAGAAAATTATTTAAGTTACAGGAGGTCCAATCCTTCCCCTTCCTCAATCCCTAATTAATCCTCAAAAGGTCAACAACTCGCTCATTTGCTGATCTATTTCATAAAAAATTATATGTTATAAGACTGTAAACGAGTAGACGGGTTAAGCAATCAACACCGCAACAACAAAGGAATTACGAGTATGTTGCAGACCTTTTAGGATTAGGGTTTTGAAGGTTTTAGGATTAGGAACAGATCAGGGGAAGGAACGATTGCGCATCTGATAACCTTAACCACTCGGCGAAATATAACGCTGGGGTTGTTTCACGTCGGTTTTCTAAGATGCCGTAATAATGAGCGATACTCACGTGGTAGGCGTGGAACTGGCATGATTATTGAAGGCGGGCGCGGCTAGTAGCCTAAGCTGCAGCAGCCCCATGTTGGAGGAGTCTCTCGGCTTGTACAGCCGAATCTGCACGGTGGTGCAGACGATGGGCCGCGCCACCACCAGCCGGATGAACGTCATGCCGGCCGTGTTCTGTGGCGGGCCCAGCGGCGCTAACGTGCCTCCGCAGCCTGCCTCCACCGCCACCGCCCCCGGACAGGCTGTACACCAATATTAATTGAAAACATGTCCACTAGGCTCTCATTAAAGATATTGTTAGAACATTATTACAATACAACATGAGCTATAAATAGTAAATACTTTTGTCATTGTCAATTACTGCCGATTTCGTTTGAGAAAAAACAAAACGAGTTAAACAGTCCGTTGGAAACATCCAAACTTTCATTAGATTATTTACTGTGAATCGAATTAAATTGGAAAAAAAACTAAGTGCAGAAAAAACTTTACTGTATCGAATCGTAGCAAAGACCACTTCACTTTTTAATAAGACCGTATCGGTCCGGAAGATTATGCTTAACGGGCCATGTAAGAAAAGATATGTTGAGGCGGGAAGTACTGACTGGCGAGGCTGGTGAGATGCGGCTGCAGCTGCACCTCGTGCAGTTGCACGGCGTAGGGCAGCGTGAGGGTGAGCGCGAGGCTGGCGTCGTCGGCGCTGAAGAAGTGGTAGGACCAGGCCGCCGCGCGCACGCGCCGCGCCGCGCATGCGCCGCGCACCGACATGCCCCCGCCGCCGTCCAGCAGCACGTCCGCCGCCTGCGCCGTCGGGTTGCCGCATGACACCGTGCCTACGCATACACAGTCATTGTAAACACTCGAATCTATACTACTATGTTAAGAAATTACAAACACTTTAATAATGTACAGGAATTTTAAGTGCGGAAGAGCCAAGCTTTGGCACGAATGGGCCGCTCGGTTCGCCCGGAGTAATACCACGGCCTTATGGAAAACCGGTGTGAAACAATCACAGCGTCGTGTTTCGCCGTGTGAGTGAGGTTACCGGAGGCCCAATCCTTCCCTTCCGCCAATCCCTAAATATCTAAAACTCCCAAAAGATCGGCAACGCACTCGTAATTCCTCTGTTGTTGCAGGTATACATGATCGGCGCTGATTGCTTACCATCAGGTAATCCGTCTGCTAATTTGCCAACCTATCACACAAAAAAAGCATTTACAACAATTTAAAATGCATGTGTTACATTCACGAATCCTTTTTTTTCCACTATAATTTACAGAAAAAAAACTCTAAATGGTACGTTTACACGCTTGCCGAGACTTGGCAAACGTCCATCAGCTCCAAGCCTTCAGAAGCGTGTGAACATGGCGTGGCTTGCATAAGATTGCTATAGCTTGTCGGCAATCTGGTTCAGTGTCAGTTTTTGCACACAGAATACACAGATCAAAGAAAATTTGTGACAAGCGTCTGCGACATATTTACACATTGACTATGAGTTAAAGGCTTGGAGCTTATGGACGTTTGCCAAGTCTCGGCAAGCGTGTAGACGTGCCATAACATTGCATTCTTTATAAAGTTAAAATTCAAAGTAGAACTGAGTACATGTAAAATTTTACTCACATAGTGGTGCCATGTTGACTAATCCGTTGGCAGTTTCAATAACAGGCGTTTGACTCTTCTTGTTGCAGGACGCCGGCGTGGACAGGTTGATCATCTGTGGTGGTAGCTTCAGGTAGTTCATCAAAGAGGAAACCAGACCTTGACCATTACTTGGACCCGCCTGTGTGAAAAAGTTAATTATGTAAAAGTCATGTATTATTTTATATTATAATGCTGGAACTGAAAAACCACGGAAAATATCTTTAAAAATACTTAATAATCAGTTGATGAAAAAACTGTACAGAACAGAATGTAAAATGGATGGTCTTTAGTCTGCAAAAGTGCACTTTCTAACGCCTCTTTCAAGGGGAGGGGGGGGGGGGGTATACCATTCGATGATTCTTCCCATAAAAAACACTATGGACCACCCTGAGGTCACACAATGATGATCACTATCATCATCATCGTGACATTATCAACAAAAACCACACATACCAATGACAGTTGGAAGATAGGCCTATCCTGGAGATAGGCCTATCTTCCAACTGGCCAGTTGAAAGCAATGATTCCTATCAGTAAATACAAAAACAAAGCGTTTTTAGATGGACAAACCTGATGACAAGCGGTCAGCTTATCGAGCGCTAGTTCCATTCCACCAGCTTCAATAAACGCAGTGAGTGCCTCGGGATACTCCAGCACCCTGATTATAAGCTGCTGCATCGCTTGCGACAGGTTCACTACTTCTTCTTTCTCTGTAATATAATAAGTTATTTATAATAACAAGGAAACTTGTTCAAAGGGCCTCTGCGAGCAAGCTGCAGCCCAGCTTATGCCTTCCAAAGTCCCTGGACACAATGGTCTCGTAAATGGAAGATGGAAGCAAAGAATTGGGTATAATCCTCAATCATTATTTATTTAGTTAAAACTAAGAACAGCAACACTAAGTAATACTGTGTATGTCAAAATAATGCCTTTGGCTGGGCAACTGGCTGGCGCGCAACGTGTCGCGGGTTCGATTCCCGCAAGGAACAACTCTTTGTGCGATCCCCAGATAGTTGTTCCTAGTCTGGGTGTGATGTGCATGTGAAATTGTATGTTTGTAAACGCACCCACGACTTAGGAGAAATTCTTAGTGTAAGGCAACGTGTTTTAACAAAAATTAAATATTCCTACTTAAAAACAATAGTTTTAGTTTAAATCAACTAAAACATTATGCAGGAAAAAATTATGTATAAATATTTTACTCACTCAGGAACTCCATGAGACTAGTGACCATGAGAGCGGGGTTCGAGGCTACGGTACCCATGTGGGCAACGAGCCAGAACACCTCCTCCTTTAGGGATGACGGTTCTGAAGACATTCCTATTAAGCAAAAATGTTAATATAATGACAAATACAAAAAATGAATACGGAATTAAATAAATTGTCGGAGAGCCCGAATGTACTGGCTCTACCGGCTTATCACGGCCTAACCGGGAATTGGCGTGAAACGAATGTTTTGTTTTGTCGTGAGAGTGCGGTTATTGGAGGCGCAGTCTTTTAGCTTCCTATCCCCAATCTTCCAATCCTCAAATATTCAAACAATTAACAAGTAACAAACAAAAGAGCGACGACAATGCACTTCCATCTTTTCTGGTTATCGATTGCTTGTCTGTCCATTTGTTGACCGCCAAAATCCATAAACTAACAGTTTATAATGTAAAGTTTACATACTTCTTTACTTAAACTACTCTCGCGTTCGATTGATTCTAACCGTTATGATGAATAAAATGATTGTAACTCATAATTTAATTATTTACCTGAATTCAAAGAGGCAGTGTTCATTCCGTCGCATATCGAGAGTGTCCTGTAGAACTTCTGCATTATTTGCTGATTTTGTAGTACTGTTGACAAAATAATAAACAATTTTACAATCTTTGTACAAATCAATGCCTGCACAAGCTGCTTCTTTACAGATGATGGAAGAAAGTTCCTCGAGTGATACAGAGCCCACAATGGGCCGCCCACCTACACAATACACATAGTTATGTTCAAACACAAAACAAAAGTATTTTTATTAGGTTTTACAATATAAAAATACAATAAATGATAGACAGTGCTTTTTCATATAGTAAATATAGGTGATCTGTAGTTCCAACCTACTTCTTTATAACAAATTAACTTCAAGAGTATAGCTATGTTATACATATCAATAATATCATAGCATTTGTCGCTATTGATTGGGTAGGGTATGATAAGTAAATTAGATAGAGTAGGTACGGTAATGTAGAGCAGAAGACTCGAGTACGGTAAATAAAGTGTTTCCCATCTTAAGTAGACAAATAGAATACAAGTGAACAAGTCCACACGATGACATTCTGGTAAGAATGCTGTGGGCAAAAGCTAGTACTAATATAGTAATAAGTTTACCAGTATCGGCGAAGCACGGAGTCCGCGCCGCTTGTTGCTTCCTCTCATCTTCAACGTTAGTGGCTTCAGCTGTGCTGCTGTTCTGCGCTTTGCTTTCGTCAGTCTGTGATTGCTCTCCACTCGTAGACACTGATGGACTTGATGACGACTGTATAATAGAATATAATATATTTTTTCTACTACAAATTACATAATTGCTGAATATAGTAGGAAGGTTAAGAAACTTAAATACAATAAATCTACATTATTATAATATATAGGGGAGAGAGACCGCACACACCATTTCGGCAACTTAACTAGGCCTATTCCAAAAGGCATAAGGAACAGTGTAATGATTTTTTAAACCACAACAGTACTGTTCTGGAACGTCTACAGTGAGTGACTAATAATACATTGTCAATGTAGGCAGTTGTTGTTCATTCATAATCATATACATACATAATAACTCTATAAGTAGAGTTCTCGGAATCCCCCTATTACAGATTAAGACATATACGTCTTGTTTATGTTAGAAAAGTGCCTGACAATTTGAAATCATGTTGAAGTTTTCCTATTATTATAAGGATGTTTTTTAAAGATATTGGTACATGTTCATTTGTTTTAGTACCTACTTTATGTTCGATGTATCTTAGTTTTAAAATGCATACAAATTCAAATTTTATTTGAACGTACTGTATAACTGAAGGGCTAAAAGGGCTAGATCGAATAATTTTTTGTGTCAATCTATTTATGGGGAAAGATTATAAGTTATAATTTTTACGTTACGACAGTTAGGATCCGGATAGTAGATGAAATAGAAATAGCTAGTTTACTGTAAGTGAAAATTAAATAATTGAAGAAATGAATGGCTTTGATGGATAATTTAGTTGATAAATAGTGGAGTGTAGATACGTTGGAGGGCAGTTGTTGCGGCGGCAGCGGCACGGCGAGCAGCTTGCGGCAGTAGTGCAGCAGCTGGGCCAGCACGGCGCGGCGCAGCGGGGCTCGGCGCGCCGCGCCCGACCCGCCGCCCGCCAGCACGTCCGCCAGCAGCCCCGACAGCCGCGCCTCCGCCGCGCCCGCGCCGCGCCATCCACTGCTCTCGCGCACCCACCACACCGACTGGTGCGCTGCGGATACACATACATACTCTTATACACTCAACACACTACGTCAAACTACGGTCAGCTGCAGATCACTAGTATACTCTTTTCCGCGTAACTGTATAGAATAAAATAGTTAACGCGCTCACCAACAGTATGGAAGAGTGGCAGCGCGTGATGCACGTGCCTGGCGCTGAGCACCTGCAGCATGGGGTGCGCCAGGCGCAGCAGCGTGGCCTGCAGGTCGTACGCGTGCCCGGGGTCGTGGTCGCGGCGCCACACGCCGCAGACGGCGCGCAGCGCGGCCAGCGCGCCGCCCGCGCCGCGCACGCAGATGACGCGCGACACCACCGAGTGCAGCGCCGACGCCGCGCCCGCGCCCGCACCTATCTGCGCGCCGCCCTGTGGGAACGCACAACGTTATACACATTACATACACATATTTAACTCTTACAATACTATGTTCGATACTAACTAGAGTAATTTCGAGCTATAACGGAGCCCAGATACTTCCCGAAACCGTACGAGTGGGACATGAGAGTATACTAAATTTCATAATCTATACCAATAGTATAAAACTGAAGAGTTTGTTTTTTGTACGTGCTAATTACCCGAACTACTGGTGCGAATTGAATATTTCTTTTGGTTTGGTAGTCCATTTATCGAAGAAGGCTTTAGGCCATAAAACATCACGCCGCGATTTGTAGGAGCCGAGCAGCGCGTGAAACCGCGCAACAGAAGCCAGTTATTTAATTTTCCCCCACTTACCAAATAAGGTTCGGAGGAAGCGACAGCGCCGTCGGTGTTGACATTCATGGTGATAAACTTGACAAGGGCCGGTACGAAGTGCTCGCACTCCAATATAACGCGACCCATCGTCTGAGTACTGCTCCCTTCAGTCTATACAACATTCAAATAGAAATTTCAGTCTCACTAATAACATTATGTAGGTAAGTCTTATCTTCAATAAAAGACTTTATTACAAAACCATAAGGGGTTATATTTGTAAACTTATACGTATTTGATAATTGAAATGTATACCTGTAGTGGCAAGCTCGCAATCCAAGCCAATGCTTGCATGGACAGCACCCAGCATCTTAATGATATATTTTCTAACCTGTTAAAAAGAGAAAACCATTTAACAAAACACGAGTAAAATTGAACTAGGTGACTTGTATCGCACTTTGATACGGATTTTACAATCGCGAATAATAACTCTTACAACTTTAAAAATAAAGAAGCCTACTCCATGTTTACATTTACTCTATGTATATACCATAGCTTACTATCCTATGAAAATTCATGTAAGAAATGCTCATTAAATGAATCGCAATTGGTCGCTGATTATCAGATTAACCTCCTCATAATCATTTTTCCACGGCTCATCTATACTAATATATTAAAGCTGAAGTTTCTTTGTTTTATTATTGCGCTTATTGTCGGCACTGCTGGTTCGAATTGAACCGTTAGTCCTTAGTTATTGAGAAAAGGCTGTAGGCTATAAAACATCACGCTACGGTCAAATGGAGCCGCAGCGGATGAAACCACGCGAGTGTAATGAAATAATGAAACAAGGAATTAATTTCTGTAAATAGGCCATAAAACTGTACATTTACACGTCCAAATTATTTGTAAAAGATGAAGCCGTTTTCGTAGTGAGAACAATACAAAGTGTATACTAACGTGCAGAGTGATTGCAGTAGTGCGTTAACGGTGTCGGACGCGAGGCGTATGCGCGGCGTGTCCGCCGGCACGGCGAGCGTGGCCAGCGACCAGGCGCCGCCATTCCACGCCGACCCGTTCAACGTCAGCCACAGCGAAATCACGTTCTCCATGAATGTGCAGTCCATCTAATAAATTGAAATATTACCAAGATGTTACTTATTCTATTTTCAAGTTTGGTAGAATATAAACTCGCATAGTAAAAAATTGTTATAGGTATAATTTTAATTCACAACAATCATTGTATTTTAAAAAATTTGGGTGCTCCTTTCAATTCTTGACCACACTCTTGTGTGCCACCTAGATAAAATACAAAGAATTGCATGTTAAATAGGGATGCAATTCTCACCTGGTAGTGGAACTCTAACGCCAAATGTCTGAAGACATCGTAGAGGGTGTGTGTGAGTGGTGGGTGGGATCTGTGTGGGGGCGGTGGGCCTCGGGGCGGTGGAGGAGGCGCAGGGGGCGGGGCCCGCACTGCAGCCGCCAGGGCCCCCGCGGTGCCCAGGAGGGCGCGCCGAGCTTGAGCCTCGCCTGCGCCACCGCAACCACCGCCGCCAGCTTCCACACGAGCATCCCAGCACACTGACACGTTGCTAAAATACATACAAGACATTGTTATAATCAAACAAATGATGCATTAATTCGTCCTTGAAATACGCTTCAAAATGCAATAAGAAAATTATTTATTTGATTATTTGCAACAATTTGAAAACTTCTCTAATACTTCACCTTATAACGTCTTTTGGTTATGTCATATTAGACATAACCTAAAAACTTAAACGGCTACCTCCTAAAAGGTAGTTCGAAACACTACTTTAATATTGGTCACCTTGACCAACACTGGTACAAAGTTCACCACTACATGCTGCTTACCTGGTACTATTATCAACTACGAGTTTAGTCCTGGTTTCCTTCTTGACAGCATCATTGAAGTATTGTTCGAGTTTCTCTTCTGATGACTCAGAGTCGTCAGACTCGGCCACTTGAGTCAGCTGTTCTTCCACGTCTATATCTAAGGGGCAGAAAACGTTTGTTTTTACTTATGGCTACTGTTTATTTACTACTATAAATTGTTTAGTATTATTCTAAGCTAAAACTTTTGGAATACGCATTTTCTGTCTACCATCAACATGTTTATGGCAGTAACTTCCAAGTATATAGGTTGGACAAAGAGTCCAAAAAAGAAAAGTTATAACGACCATCTGATGTTACCTACTAACGGCCCTTCGGAATATCTAATGCGGACCTTGTCTGCATGATTAGGGCAAAATAGGCGTAAGACCAAAGTTATAATTTTGTAATGCAAGATTCCTTGTCGTTCAACAAGCTACGTAGACTAAGATCATCGTTCTTATCGCCTCTCGTCTAGTTCAATATTGTTCTGTCTTAATGTAAATCCCCTTCGATCCACTTAGGGAACACAAGCTGTAACCACTTCAGCCTCAAATATTCAACCTCCTGTACACGCATCTCGTCTGATAAAATTACTGCATGCAATATTATACTCAATCAGATCTTAAGCAAGCCAAACCTTCTAAATATGCAGTGAAGGAAATCCTTTTAAAACGACGGCTGCATATGGATGCTTTTATTTGATGACTAAAACTGACGGATTCGTGCGTAAAAAATCTGTCAAACTGCTTGCTATGTTCATTTTGTAAATTAAAATTTTAACAAAAATGTCTTTATATAAAAAGTGTTTCACATATATAAAAATACTGATATTACTTTGAAAGCTAATATAATAGTGAATATGTTTTGATTTAAGCGTGCGTCATAACATACGAGTATTAAATATGATAAATATACAAAGCGCATAAACGGTTGACTTTCTCTTGTAAAAAAGTACTAAAAGTTCAATGAATGACAATCATCAAAAATCCAAATTTTCAAGCCCAATGAGCTAGCAAAACAAGCCCACAAGTTATATTAAAACAAAGCAAAAAATAAAAGACGCTGTAACTTCTATTTGACTAGCGCATTCGATTTCTAAATCGATTAATAATTGAAATCGATTAGAAATGAGGTGCTATGCAAATGTGTAGCGGTTAGGTGTGGTCTGTTATTTCCTATCACACTACATATCAGTGCAAACCGAACTAAGCCCGGTCAATGACCATACAGACATATAGACTGGTTATTTTATTATAATTGCCTTACTTGCTAAATTGACACCTGCTGTGGTAAATAGTTTGGGCTTGAAGTACGTAGTCTTCCCCAGACCAAAACTATCCGCTAACAAATCTGCAATAATAACACAGCAAGTCAATTCTGCTATATCTCAAACAAACAAAAATAAATGAATTTACTTCTACTTATCTGATCATTAAGTTATTAATCGCACCTATGAAACGAGAAAAAGATTTTTTTGCTATAGATTGTTTTATTTTTTTCATTGAATTCAATAGTAATCTTGTCTTCCTAACTATTGTTGTGCCTGAGTTAAAACTAAACGGTTTCCACTGATTTGTAGGATATCAGGTCTTTTTCATAAAGAGGTTAGTGTGTGCATTCCCATCCCCCTCACTTACAACTTAACAACGTCACGTCGGTGTCGTACATACAATACCTTCTTTATATTGTAAGTTTCAGGGCTGAATGTTTGCGGTTTTGACACCCTGTATAAAGATCACCCATGCAAACACCACACCTCCAAATTATTGAAATAGACCAAGGACGTCATATAGCCAATCTCAATAACCATCAGTCTGTAGATTTGTCTAAGTACTAAAAACAGAAATTTGGCAAACTTTTGTAAGTTTTGACCAATTTCAAAACTACGACTAAGATCGACGAAAAATGTTTGTAAACGAAGCATGAACTATCTGAAATCACATCGAAAAAGTTTTTATTCTTATCAGTCAGAATCTTCATCCATACTTAATATTATAAAGAGGTAATAGCTTGCATGATTCAAACTCTTTTAAAGTTCTTTCACTGATATATAGCTACAATGTTCCTGAATGCTATAGGCTAGAAAACATCAGCGGGTGAAACTGCGCGAGAGTAGACAGACTAATATACTTTGAAGACGATTTTTATAAGTACATATGTGTTTGTAACGAACCAACTCAAAAACTACTGTGATGATTACAATTGTCTAACCATTGGAAAGCTACATTCACGTTGAGAAACATAAACATGAAAAATGAAAGAAAGTGGAATAATGACAGCACAGAGACATTAACGAGATGAGGTTCTACCCTTATGGCTTGTTTACAAATATTTCACAAAGATATTGGCCTAAATCTGATTGACTGATAACTTATTGCGATTGGCTATTACATACGGTTAATGGCACATATACAATGTACAACATCGTGCAATATGGAGTGTGGGCCTACAAAATTCTAAATGGAAAGTGAAAACCGATTACAAATGTCCACAATACGGTCTTTTCCAACTTGTCAAATTCAATACTTTTATCCAAACGTCAAAAACGATACTTTTCCATGAAATTTGTGTGAAAAACTGAGTTATAACGTCGTAACAATTTTGCGTGAATAGCTTACTTATTTCTTTAATAATAAGCTAAAAAATCTAAAACTTAGTGTATCGATCGATGGATGAATAAAAGTATACTTACTTTTCAATATTTTATTGTATTGAAAGGTCGAATTAATTTAGTTTTGACCTAGGAAACTACCCAATTAATAAGATAATGTGCTTGTTCAGTAGGTCACTACGTAAAAGTAACGTGCTGAACTGATACTCTGGAGAATGAAGTCACCTATCTATGTTACGGCTGTAAAGAACATATTATAACATTTTTGTACGTTGAGGGGCTACTTCGTGGAATCATTTGAGTTGCGAATCAAAACTATGGTCTATCGGTTTACGGTGGTTAACTAAAGGTAAACAATCTTGATATGTCTTTCTATATTAAAGAGGTTGTATAAAACTTAACTTTAAATTTAAATTTAGTTAATTAGTTAACGTCGATTTAGGTAACTACCTAATTGTAAGCATTTTTACACATACATACATGCAAGACATGCTAAGAATATTTACATTTAGTTAATTACAGTACGGCCGTCGTATCTTGGCGAGTCTGAAGTTAACCGTTTATCTGCGCAATGGATCTTTTAGGAACACAATTGTGTACTGCGCAGCTAATCGGCTAACTTCAGACTCGCCAAGTTACGTTGGCGGCATTGTACCTAATCCGATAGACCATAGCAGAGCTTTTCTCAGCGAATTCACGAAAGTTCTTTATAATTAACAATGTGGACTGTCCACTACTTGCAATACATTCATCTAACCGATATATCTCAAATCAATTTCTTCTCACCTAAAGTATGGCTTAAACCATGGCTACTTATATAGTATTGTTTCTGCCTTGCTTAACAACCAGGACATTCTGATTTAATATACAGATGTTTTACTTAGTACAACATGTTTACGTGATATAATATGCTTAACTTGTGAGGTTAGATAACACTTGACACCCATAGCATGCTTTAAAAACAATATAACCCTATGAGATTACACAAAAGACATATAGGTACAAGATCAATAAGATTCGTATATGCGAAAATATTTTCATATATCCAGTGTTGAAATAAAAGTTGTTCAAAACCTGAAGTCTTGCGTTTATTCGTGCATTATTAAGTAATTTATGGGTAATGTAATTGCTGGATAACAAACCTGCGACAGTGGGTCCCTTAAACTTGCGCGCCTTGACTCCGGGCGCGGATCCGGGCGGTATGGAGTGCACGCGGATGACACGGGACGAACTAGCGCCGGCGCCCCACGACTCCTCGTTCGGAGGACTCGAGGGCGTCTCGCCAGACTCGTATTCGACTAAATCCTGGTTAGAATGGGCGAAAATTGCCTTAGAAGAACTTTCTTAAATTTTCTGAACAGAAACATACTCTTGTAGCATGGTAAGTAGAACGGGTTGTGGAGTTTCCTAGGGATAGTTCAAGAATTTGGACCAGAACAATATGCCGTACGGCTTTGCAAAAATAGTACAGAATAATTATATTTGTACTAAACGCTCCAATTGGCATTTTTGAAAAAAAAAAATTACATACCTGCAGCAAGGTAGTAAGCGCATGACGTGGCCAGGGTGGTAGCGTGACAGCGAGTCGGGCCAGACCCAATATACACGAGGGATCCAGCAGGCTTGCACCACCAGATAGTGCACAGAGCCTTCCCACGACCTATTACATAGAGGATAAAATGTATGAAAAAGAGGCACTAAAAGTATAACAAAGTATTATGAGTAAATAGTGCTAGTGTAGAGTTTTCAATAAACAAGTACCCCTTAAAATCAATGATTTTAAGGGGTATTTTTTATGAACAATGACAGTGCAAATGAGCTTAGTCTCGTACTTAGTTTGGATTGTGATTTCAACAAGATCGTTGATTCGGGTTAAAATAGGGCTGATGTTTTAATAGCCAGATAAATGTTATTTGAGGAATAAAATAGTGGTAGTCACTGTCTTATACAAACATCTGACGCGACAGCATGATCAATTATTCCCCAGATAACTCTATGTAAGCATTGAAAAATCAGGCTTTAAAAGGTAGAATAGTCAGTGAGTAGAGTACCTTGGCGGCGAGCATGAGTGCGTCGGCGTGCGAGCAGGTGTCGGCGGCGAGCATGTGCGCGACGAGCGCGTGCGCCAGGCGCGCGGCCAGCTGCGGCGCCAGCGGGCGCAGGCGCGCGCCCTCCGCCGCGCCGCCGCCCGCCGCCTCGCCGCGCGACGCGCCCCGCTTGCCCACCATGGCCATGCGTGCCTTCAGGTTTTGCCGCGCTCTCTGCACACACACATATACATACTTATACTTAATCCCTTCACTGCAAAGTTTATCCATCTATAAGCATTAAATAACTAATCTATAATAATATTATAAAGCTGAAGAGTTTGTTTATTTGAACACGCTAATCTCGGAACTACTGGTCCAAATATTGAACAATTCTTTTTATGTTCGTTAATCCATTTATAGAGAAAGGCTATAGTCTATAAAACGTCATGCTAAGATCTGTATGAGCCGAGCAGCAGGTGAATCAGCTCGAAAGTAGCCAGTAAATTAATATAATTAAAGTCGAGGCTGAAAATAACATAGTCATCCAGCCTCATTCCAAAAAAGTTTTGTTTAGTCTAAGTTTAAACCATTGAGCCAGTACTAGTATTTCAAATTAAAGGTAGGTGACAATAAGATTTAAAATACAAAACCTGATTCAACGGTACCAGCTTAGACTAAACATAAACTTTGTTTTGTAATAAAGGTGTTTGAGTTACAACTTTCTCTGTGACAATAATGACATAAAATTTAACTGTATATTCCAAGTTACCTGTTGATCTTCGAGTGCAACTTGTATGCCTCTCCTAGCAGCTTCTAGTTCCTGCATCTGGTGCAACAGCTTCCGGTGCAGCTTGCGGCGATGGAGCTTACATTCATTGTTACGAGGTGAACCTTGCGCATCCACGCCCGGGGCCGAGCCACCAGCTCGACCGCCCGTCACCCAGTCCCACCTGCGAAGCGGTACAAACGAATAAAAAAAAATGTTGAGAGTGATTGAAAAAAAAATAATTTTGCGTGGTGAGAAACTGGTTTACTTTTTTTATACAAATTTGGAACTGTGAAAATATTCTGCTTATTTAGTTTTCTTCTATCATCAAGATGAACGCTCCATAAAAAAAATATATTAGAAAATTACATACGAATTTAATAAAGAAATAGTTGAGTATGAGTATATGATGGTGGAATTGTGTTGGTCGTTACCTGGCGTACTTGTCGTTGTGCGCGGCGACGGTGTCGAGCACGGCGGCGAGTGCGCTGAGCAGGGCGGCGGTGACGGCGGGCTGCGCGCGCGGCGCCCGCAGCAGGTCCAGCGCGCGCCCCGCCAGCGCCGCGCACGGGCCCGCCTCGCCCGCGCCCGCCCACACCGACTTGCGGCACATGTAGATGCTCAGCACCAGGCACTTGTCCAGCGCGGCCGGCGCCGCGTCGTACGCCGCGAACGCCTGCGTCAGCGTGTCGGCCAGCAGCGCGCCCCACCAGGGGGCGGCGCCCGCCGCGCGCGCCAGCAGCGTCGCCAGCGCGCCCGCGCCGCGCGCCCCCCACTCCCACACCTGCGCCACCACCACGCTGCACCACTCGCGGCTCACCACGGGGTATTGCTGCGCAGATACCACACCTTTACATTACTCATTCCCACAAAGAAAGAGACTCATTACATTCTACCGTCAAACACTCACCACATCACCGACTTGGAAGTAGAAATACAGCAGCATATCCACAATGGTCTCGCTGATGACTCTCAACTTATCCGTCGAAGCAGCTTCTAGTAGCGCTTCCGAGGAGACGAGGCCTTTATCAATAAGTTCTGGTAGGTTTCTAGGTCCTTCCACGTTATTCTGTAGCTTCCTAAGTATGTTAGTGCAGGTGTGGAGTTGTTGCTGCAGCTCTATGCACTCCTGGTAGGCGGCCACCACCTTGGCGTCCACTTCATTGCTGATATTCATGTATGACATCATATGGGCTGCATTGCCATTGTAGAGTTCCAGGTATGGATTCAAGAGATCCATTAGTTTACCGGTTGCTAACCTGTAAAGATATTGATTTACTAATGGCTGAACATGCAATGAACATTATTACAAAGATTATTTATATCACGATAAAATTAATTACTGTTTTATGTATTATTTTACAACATTACCTAAACCGGCAGGTCAAGTCTTGATGCAGCGCATTGAGCGCGTTGATAGAAGGTTGTACATGCGTGATCTCGGCCACCTCGCCGTAGAACCAGCCTAACGGGATCTTACACTTCATCGCTGACATGCCGTATCTACCTATCGTGGTTATCTGAAGAACAAAAAGATAGGTACACAAACACTATATAGATATGTGCTGCTATGTCGAAGTTAAAAACTGGTTTTTAACCAAATTCTGACTTTTAAAGACGTTGTGGTGGGATGAATTACTAAATCGCTACATAGAATATAAATAAAGAAGTCGCTTTCTCTGTCCCTAGAGATACTGATACGATTTTTTTAATAGATAGTCTGATTGAAGAGGAAACTATATATAATAACATCCATTAAATAGTGGAGAAATTTAGCATCAGCATATTACCAGTGCGGGAGGGTCGCTAGTCTATAATATAATAAGTAAAAAATTAACGTTATTAATGATTTTACAGTGTGGAGATACTTAACTGGTTGTACGAGCAAACCCGTACATTTTGTATTGTTTAGTAATAATGCTGACGTTGCACTTACTATGCTGTGCGTCGCGCTCTACTTAGCAATAAGTTATTTTAGTACAAATAAACCCGTGAAACAGTAAACATCGTTTTACTTAATCAAATTCCCTAACTAGGGTCGCGGCGCGGTACTCATAACATTTTAACAATAATTAACAAGGTGTAAGGTGAACACCGTACACTGGTATAAGAACGATTTTGCTTAATAAATGTCGTCAGTTTACCTTCATATAGCGACAGATGGGTGGCGGCTGTATGTCTGTGAGTACAAGGTGTTTCGTGGCGATGTCGGTGGCGAACGCAAGCTTCACGCAGTCCGTTTCTTCACCAGTCACCCAGATGTCTATGCACAGCGTGACCAAATCCGAACACGATGGGATTATCTAAAATTATATCAAACTTAATGTAGACAAAGAAAGAACATTTATGGTCACGAATACGGAAAAATATGTTAGCAAGTCAATGCAGTAAACTATAGCAACCTTTTTTAAACCTCCTTGTTGCACTTTTTTAGGAATTTCGCGGCACCTATGTAGACAAAATTCAATCTTCGGTTTTTGTATATGGGACATTAGTATTTGTGTGAATATAGTCATATTATGTTATTTTTGACGTTGACTGCTAACAGAAAACTTATTTTGGTAAATCCTCTACTACTATGGCCCATGTATTGTGTTCAACATTCAACTTATTAACCCTTTATATACCGAGCGTAAATATACGCGAGACACAATGTGTTTTCTTTTGTATGTCATATACGGGCAGACAAAAAGTTAAACAAGAAATATATAAACAAAGCACGTACCACGTCAGTGAGTCGCACGGCGTGTCCGAAGTCGAGCACGATGTACCGTCGCGCGCCCGAGTGCATGCGCTCCACGACCAGCGTGTGCTGCGGGGGGCGCGTCACTAGCGACGCCCACGGGATGCCGCACTGCTCCTGATCCTGCAACACAAATAACTCATTGACTACAATCTATTCTCTAGTTATTACGAAAACTTCGAACGTAATGTTTAAAATCTAGAGTATATTTATGGAAAAGTAACTTTGAAAAAATTTACTTACCAATAAAACTATCATGAAAATCGTAATGAGGCGTTTCACAATAAATTGAATCTGCATAATTCAGTTTTTAACACAGTAGTAATATAATCAACAAATATTTGTTGATATATGACATATAATTTAAATTACGTGACTATACAATTGAATAGAAAAGTTTACCTTAAACAGCTTCTCTTCGGAAAACTCCATCTTATCCTGAGGATCGCACTCCATGAGGGAGCTCTCGACGTCCTCCAAGGAGTCGGGGTCTTGCGAAGACTGCTTCATCTGGCCTTCCTTCACGACTGACCATAGTTGCTAAACAAACAAAACAACAATCAATGTCTTGTTGTTGTTCTAATAAACAACCATATACATAAAACAAAATTTTTATATCAACTTATTAACATTTTTTAAGTCATTGATTGACTGCTGACAGATTACTCTTTTGAGAAATTCCTATGCTACCCAGGCCTACATGTTGTCGGCGGCGACCTCTCGCGCCCGGCCTTAATCGAGGCCATGATGCAGCGTGAGAGGAACTGGGAAGCTATCTCCTCCTTCTGCGAAGCAGTTATGCTCGCAAAGGAGGAGGCGGAGCGCGTGAGGGAACTATCCTCCTCGCGCCCCAGCCGCCGCAGAAGGCGACATTCCGGACGTCGGGGATCGAGAGATGATCTCCGGCCACCGTAAGCGCGGGTCTGCGGACGGCGAGTAAGGGTAGCTCGCCGCCCGACCAGAACCGGACCCGAGCGTACGGCGCGTAGCGTTCCGCGCGCGCCTCAAAGAGCCAATAGACCACCACAGCCGGGGCCCTAAAGGGCTGATGTTTAGCCGGGGCTGCGGGGTAAGCGCAATGAGGCACCGCGACCTCGGCCCAGAGCAGGAGAAGGAACGGGGGGGTTTTTAGTCAGTAAGAGTCTGACACTCTCTCGCCTTACCCTGGGCGGGAGAAGTCATTGGACGATTTTCCGCTGACAAAAAAAAAAAAAAAAGGCCTTCATGTTGTCCCCCAGGGCTTTCAACTTTGTAAATACCTTCATATAACACAATTAAGCAGGAAATCGAATAAAGAAAAAAATATACACTTTAGTTTAACTTCATGTATCAATAATTACCTGACTAGGATCTCCAGGTCCAGCACCAGGCAGCGAGCTAACAACAGCGGAGTGATGTCGTGTTCCATTGGACTCGAGTTTGGTCCCATCCGAGGCCACGTGACACGTGACGTGCAATGGCATGGCCTCACTCAGCCCGGCACCGAACACGCCAACACCGTTGTTCTGAGCCCACCAGGCGGTCGATGAGTTCGCGCTTTTTGCATCTGGTTGTACAGAATTGTTTGTATTAAGACTTTGTTTTACGATAAGCTTTAATAAGAAAGAATTAGCGTAAGTCAAAGGGAAAGAACAAATAAATTTAAGCAATTCATATACTTAGTCGGGTCATAAGTTCTGTCAAAACCTTATATTTTTAATTTTCGATTACTGGCCAGAAATTCTTCGACTTATTTTAAAAATAGAACTTTCGCGCTTGTAGAAAATAAAAAAGAAATTATTTTTTATTCATTTTTAAATATGGAGTGGTCGAATAAAGAAGACAGAATCGCGGTTATCGCGTTGCACCGCTGTGGTTACGCGCCAAAAGACATTTTCAATATTCTTCAAAATTTGAAAATAACGTTACGGTTTGTTTATCGTACTATCAAACGATACACCGAAGAGTCAAGCTTCGAAGATCGTAAGAGAAGCGGCCGACCTCGCACAGTTCGGACACATAAGGTCATCAAAGCAGTGAAGGCGCGAATCGAACGAAATCCCGTACGTAAACAAAAAATCCTAGCTCTGCAGATGGGGCTAAGCAGAACCACTGTTAAAAGAGTACTAAATGAAGACCTGGGACTACGAGCTTATCGTAAAAAGACAGGACATTTTTTGAACGAGCGTTTAAAAAAAATTAGGCTAGACAGATCCCGCGCTTTGCTACGACGGTACGCGGGAAAAAAATACCGCGAAATTCTTTTTTCGGATGAAAAAATTTTTACTATTGAAGAAAGTTTTAACAAACAAAATGATAAGGTGTATGCCCACAGCAGTGAAGAAGCAAGCGCGCGTATTGCGAGGGTCCAGCGTGGGCATTACCCTTCCTCATTCATGGTTTGGCTTGGAGTCTCATATTCAGGCGTAACTGAGGTGTTTTTCTGTGAAAAAGGTGTGAGAACTAGTGCCGAAGTTTATCAAAATACTGTCCTAACAAACATAGTGGAACCTCTTTCTCAGACAATGTTCAGGAACAGGCATTGGATATTCCAACAGGACTCTGCACCGGCTCATAAGGCACGAAGTACGCAAGACTGGTTGATCGCTCGTGGAATTGACTTCATCCGGCATGAAGACTGGCCCTCTTCTAGTCCAGATTTAAACCCACTGGACTACAAGATATGGCAATATTTGGAGGAAAAAGTCTGTGCTAAACCTCACCCGAATTTGGAGTCTCTCCGAGCATCTCTGGTTAAAGCAGCGGCAGACATAGATATGAATGTGGTGCGTGCAGCGATCGATGACTGGCCGCGTAGATTAAGGGCATGTGTTCAAAATGGGGGAGGGCATTTCGAATAATGTAAATAAAATTATATTGTACATTTAATGACCTTTCATTTCATATATAATTTTTAAATAATTGTCAAAAGGCGTATAAGTTATTACATCAAAAGTTTGTGACAGAACTTATGACCCGACTAAGTATATTACAACATTTTTAGAGATCAGTGATGGAAATCCGTCTTGGAAATTTTATAAAAATACTATATAATAAGTAAACAATGTTAATTCGATAAAGACTAATAGAGATCTATTTTAATGAAAAGTCTGTTAACACAGATTCACTGAGTCAACCACAAAGATTAACTATATCAGTTTAAACAAGGTTTCTACTATCTCTTACTAACACCCGGTTTCTGAAAGGCTTGTCAACGCTAAAATTAACTAATCTCCTATTAAATCTCTTGTCAAGTCATCTGATTGGTTGTTGATAATTCAGTCAACCAATCAGATGACTTGACAAGAGATTAAATTGATTTTAACATTGATCGGCCTTTCGGAAACCAGGGGTAAATGTGGTAAAGACTTACCCATCTCCAAAGGCAAGTTGAGCAGTTCCTTCAGCTGATAGTCAGGCTTAGGAACAGGGGGCGATGTGGTGTCGCCAGCCAGTACACTGGCGTACGTGACCGGTGTAGATGTACCGCGACCTAACTCCGGTATCTCGGTCGCGAATATTGTGCGCTCTAATGGAAGCCCGTATAGACCGAACCTGTGTAAAATTAATACATATTACACATATATTGTCACACTTGACTCTCACTGCGATAGGCTAGACACGAGAAACGCGAAATAATGCGATTTTCATACGTGTTTCACTTAATTTAGGAATATTCATTCTTCTTTCTTTTTATACATGTTCGTCGGTTAAGGAGAGAGAGTCTGTGGAGTCTTTCACAATATAAATTTTAACTTGTATAAAAGTTTATGGAAAACCAATTCAGACGATCATAATCTTGTATGGAGGGTCACAACTCGCTATGCATGCAGCGTTAACATTAATTTTTATTGGACACTTAATTAAATTAAAGATATTCGTGTTGTCAAAACGTCTCTTATGGGTTTTCGAAAAGGCCAAGTAAAGTAAGCATTGCAATAAATATCATATTACATACCTGGCTCTCAACAGACTGTGATAGACGTCGGGGCGGTCACTCAAGCACTTGGCGGCCCTCTCAAGCAGCGCCATGCACTTGGCGACGAGCGCGGGCGCGACGGGGCGCGCCGTGCACTGCTGGGCCAGCGCGGCCAGCCAGCGCACGGCGCCCGCAGACACGCTGGCGCCCACGTACGGGATGCACGCACACACGCTGTTCGACAGCGTCGTCTCGAACGTTGACTTCCATGGTTTCGGGAGCTGCTTCTCGCCCCTGATTAAACGTAGCAATAATTACTTTACATGAACACAAAATATTTAAAAACTATTTAAGTATATTAGTTTCTAAAAAAAAATAGTTTTGCTACATGCACGTAATGTACCTTTTTAAGTGTAATCTGGCCAAATAACACACGGATATAGTATTTGTTTGTGTCGAAACACATAAATAAAATTATCATGATGACAAATTAAATTTAAACGTCCAGACAACCCTATCTAAATCAGAGTGGTGACCCCAATATGTTTATATTTGGGTTTATACTTTTAACAAATATCTTTTAACGATGACATGAATGACAAGATGGGCAAATACTTGTAAATAATATAGAAAATAAATATCATACTTACTCGCTAGTAATCAGTAGAATTTTGACGCATTTCTTTGCAATGCTTCTATTGGCGCACAAAATGCAGTTCTTGATCAGTGCGTCTGTGTGTTTCTCAATGATCTTCACGCATTCCAGTTGTTGTGTCTCGACAGTTTTGTCTTTACCTTTCTCGGTCTTTGATAACCGCATCCGTTGCAGCCTTATCGACACCACCCAGATTAACAGATCCATTGCGATGTTCCTCATCTCACTGTCAGCACTGTTTACGGAAATCTCACACAAATTGTTCAAGAAGCTATTTGACTCCAACATAGCTATCCGTTGCTGCCTCTCCATAGCCACGTCAGTGTGAGGACTAGACCGAACCGTCAATGAAATCTGGTGCAACCAATCGCAACCGATAAAACCAGTCTTCTTAGAGCTAGTCTCACCAGTTTTGTTTGTGCTTTTACTCATGTCTTTGGCTGGATCAAAGAGTGTCTTTATATGAATTAAGAACGTCCGTCCTCTGGCTCTGTACAGCCGCGGACTCGTCAGTATTAATGTACCAGATTGTTGTGTCATGTCCAGTCCAGAAGATAGTAATAATGGTCCTGCTAGTATCTCAGCGTTGTGTGCCTGTAGGTACTCTTCACTGTTGACAGGATTCTCGAGATTCGACATGTCAGCGTCTATAACTGGGAAATGTATAGGGGAGTCCGATCTGTGACCAAAAGAGGCGTCTTTCTTGTATCCGATACCGTGCAAGTTTTGCTTCAGTAACGTTACGAGAATGATTGGAAGATTCGCAGAACAAGCCGAGTGTAAAGTGAATCCAAACTCTATGTGAGCTAGGGACACACTATACGGTAACGTAAGCTCTAGTACGTGCTCGTCCCATGTTGATGAAGTGTTCTGCAACCTCCAAGTCCTGTTATTTTGATGATCAGATCTAGACCTTTGTGCAGGTGAAAGCTCACACCAAAACCCAGGCACAACCGCACTGTAAGGCACCGTTGTATTAGTACCATAATAGCCAGTCAAGTTTATTAAAGTCTCTAAGTCTGATAAGTCGAGTTCAGTCTTGTTAGCAATGATGACGGGCGCAGGGGTCGGGCCACATACCTCGTCTCGCGGCGCGCGCTGTAACATGTCGAAATCAATGTTAGCGAATTCATCTTCGTCGATGTCCCCCGTGTTGTCCCGCTCGCCGTTGTTCAGCGCATAGAAGTATATCATACCGTGTTTAGTAGACACACTGAGACGTTCTACTGACGCACAGAAAACTACAGACGTGAACTGTCCCTTTGGTACGCGCTTCTCCGACAAAGTCTTGAAGTCAGGTAGAGAATACAGCCTCAAGCTGCCATCCACTCCTACAGCAGCAAACGAGTACTGCTCCTGTTTGTCAGGTGGTAACAAGCACAAATCTACAGGACTCTCGTGGAATGGTAACTCTTTGAAGGACACGGGATGATCCTCCAGCGTGTATATCGACGTCTTATTGTTAATTTTATAAAGGATAAAGTAAGCCTTCGCGTCACATTTTGGTTTATCACTAGGTTCGGCACATTCGTCCACGTCCATTTTGGTATCGCCGTCATTGTCAGTCTCCTCCTCCACCTTGACCTTTTCTGGTTCAATACTTGATATGACTACAAGCAGATGCTCCTTGTCTTCAGTCGGCAATAGATGCGTGACTTTGGAATCATCTTTTAATGTAAGTTTGGCTGGAAGACTGAGGCACTGGACAGCGATGCCCTGCGACACTGCCTCTTCCTGCGGCGGGTCGCTGTCGAAGCCGTCGTTATTACTGTTGGTGATGGCAGTCTGTGTACCGACTTTGCTTCCACCTCCGAATGTTGTCACTTTTACTTTTTCAGTTCCATCTCCGCCTTCGTACCACTTCAAGTCTGAGATCTCTAGAGGTCCATTCATGTTGAGATAGTGTGTGATTGGGTCAGCCTGTTGTAATACTGCGTCAGTTTGGTCTGCTAGTTTAGTGCCTACAGAGTCTAGATTGCCACTCTTCCAACTCTTGAGTTGTGAGATCTTGCCAACGAAGTCTAGCATAGTGGCTTGTCCAGCTTCTTGTAGTTCAGGTAATAGGGCAGTGGGTGGTGGTGGGGGCATGGTTTTGAAATGTTTCGGTAGTATAATCTTCTTAGGTTCCCATATTTTGCAATCCTCTTTGCTGGACGACGCGTTTAGGTTAAAAACATTACTAATCTGTTCGTCTAAGCTATTTGTGCATTGTGGAAGCTCTGTGTCCTCGTCAGAGTATTGGAAGTATATCTCGTCGTAAATATTCGCGTCATCGGGCCTCTGCGCCGTGCACTCTTTCTTACTGCCTCCTGGTTTGGAGTTGCCGCTACTGTTCGATGTGTGTACTACTGTGGTTATTGAACCAGCTAGTGAGCTGTGTATGTCATATGTTAAAAGGAAAAGCATTTTATTTGTTGTCAAATTATTCTTTGCTTCATTTTGATCGTTCATTGCCTGAACACTTTCTTTGTCTGCTCCCGAGTCGAAGAGCGCCTTGCTGGAGTCTTCTTTGATGGGCTGGTCAGTCTGTGTGGTGTTTGTCCTAGTGATGACGACGGCGCAGATGAGAGACGGTTTCGTTTTGTTGGTGTTTGTCTCTTTCTCTGTGCTCTCTGTGTTTTGTGTCTGTGGGTAAACTTCTTGCTGTGACGTCATCCCGACGAAAGCCATCGCCGTCAGCTCGACGCCGTATGTAGCTAAAGCAACAACAAAATTTTATAAATAACAGAATAATTAAATTATTGTTCAATGAAAACAAATGTCAATTTACATTAAAATGTTGACTGAGAATTGTACCAATAACTGTATATCAAACAACAGCTGACACAACAAAAACAAAACAAATATCAAAGTACAAGTGATTGAAATTTGAATTGACATTTGAATAATAAAAAATCAGTACAAAATTAAGAGCAAAATGTAACACAATACAAGACAAAGTACTCACAACTATCCTTCTCTAGGCTGGTGGACCATACTTTATTGCTGTCAGTCGCCAGAATGCCACTGAATATGGAATCATACGGCGACAGGTGAATGAACTTGACAAGTTTGAGGCCGCAGTCGAACCGCCAGATGTTCACTTTACCCTCAGGAGTGCCCGTCGCGATGAGGTCCCCTGTGTTGCCCTTCGACACCACCGTCACATTGGTACAAGGCACCGCACATGCTGTCGCGTTGGTCACCTGCGGATAATAAAGCCGGCGAACTATGACACACCGAACTAATCCACCACTAGCACCTAAGTTCACACTTTACGTTAAGAATCCGTCATCATTACGTATATAGTTTTAAAAAGCGCCGCGTCACCTCAGGAGCAACGGTACTTGCTTTAATAAATCTTATCTGTTTATATTCGGTCATAACAGAATAGATAATGGCACTAAATTTGTACTTGGATTGGCATCAAGTCCTCTGGTAGACTAAACTGATATTGATGAAGTAGTTTACATATATACGATACTGGGGAGATAAAAAATTGCCGAGTCACTGTGTCTGTGATGGCTGGCCGCGCCTCCAAGTCTGACTGGTAATTAGTACAGGTCCTGCGTCGAAACTTTACATGTAATTGATGAACAGTTATGTTATCGCGGTCGCCGTGCGCAGACGGTGATGCGTGGCTCTCACCAAATACTACTTAGTGCACTAGTGATGGGACATCATACTATAGTGACAATCTAGTAGGCGTGTCACCAAAACATATAAACTAAACTAAAATGAGATTTTTTTTTTTATTAAATGCAAATTATTGTAATGCAAAACAGTTGTGACTAAAGGAAAATAAATTGTGGCTCCATTTAAAATAGATTTAAATTCAAATTAAAAAATATTGTTGACTATTTATTATTTTAATATTTAATTTCGTATTAGGTTGCAAAGAAGAATTGTATTTGGCACTCTATTGTGGCACTCCATCAAAAGTTATATACTAAACATTATTCCTGACATAATTAAAATACAAGTATATGTGCAGTGAATTTATTACTAAGTGTAAAATGTTTAAATCCGTGAATACATTAAGAAAATTAATGTAATTATTTAGCTTAAAGTGATCTAGTGTAATAATTCGTAAACTACCTGTGAGTGTGAACTATATTTCGATTTGATTTATTAAGTACATTTTATTATAAGTACCAAGATCTATGTGAGATGATGTGGCCAAGTGCAAATCTATGTGAGTGGATTTAGTTAGTAACGTCGTCTATGGACGTCTATGATACTATTCGTGACACGGTGTGTTGCCATGTTAACAGAAACAAAAATAAAATGGCTAAACTTTCATAAGTATTTTCTATAGAAGGCGGCGGTGGCGCGAATGGAAAAAGCCAATGATTTCCGAGTGTTTAAATGTCATATGATGATTATTGAATTGAAATAAATTAAACAATTCGCCCTAAAATTACTAGCATTCTGTTAAACCCAGAGAAAACCGTGAATTAGTTTTGTGAAATATGTTTTACCTACTTCATTTAGTTTTTAAGTGTACAATTTTGACGTGTAGAAGTGCCATCTTATGGATTATTTGCAAAAACAAATTGTTTAATGGGTTTGTTTTCAAGATACCTAGTTGTAGGCTGTTTATTTGATTCTAAATTTTCTTTTTCCATAACGGAATCAGTATATTTTTCACCTATAAGCATTCGGAGTTAAAAATGGAGCATTCATTAAGTTAATAGAATTGAAATAGTTTCCGGCATTTGTTGTTCTGTATGTTCTACGTGCGAATATTTTGCATTAATTACGATAAAATATTTAACAATTTTAACACCGTTTTTGTATAACAATCATAAACTTTCAAGTGGCCAGTGGTTTCGGTGAGGAAATGAGAATTAGTCACTAAGGTTGCATAAGGCGGATAGGAAATTTCTTATAATTAGAAATTGTAAGTACTGGTGTTCTCACGACATTTTCAGTGATCGTTTGTTACTGGTGTCTAGAAAACTTGGGAAGTACACATAAAAAATTATAAAGTGAAATAAAATCTTGCACAATATTATGAAATATGTAAGTAGAACCTGCGTATATGGTGTATTTATTCAACTAATTATATTTTTCCTACGTTTTACATCATGATGTTTCGTTTAAGTGACTCTACTACGAAGATCTCTAAAACAATTAAGCAGGAACCTCCTTTTAATGAATTTTAATAAAACATAACAATAAATTATACGTTCTTCCGTTATTATGTAATGCACTCGATTTTTCTTCTTATCACTATTTATACAAGCTACCCTTCTCTTATCTATCAATCATTAAAACACAAGCCTAACTAATAACATAGTTATAACTATTTACTAGTAGTTATAGTTATTATTTCTACCCATTTTCTTTCAGTCGTTTCATTGCCAAAGAGGTAATGTATGTAAATTTATAATTTTTTTTTAATGTTATAGGTCGGAAAACGAACGGACGGATTACCTGATGGTAAGCAATCAGCGCCGCCCATGGACACCCGCAACGGAGGAGTTCCTGGGTTCCGACTTTTTAGGGATTAGGGTTTTGGAGACATAGGGATTTGCGAGGGATCGAGGGAGGGGAAGGATTGGGCTTCCGGTAATCTCACTCACACGGCGAAACACAACAGAAGGCCGTGGTATCACTCCGGTCGACCCATTCGTGCCGAAGCATGGCTCTCCTATACTGTATAATTGTACTATTCTGTATAATTATATTATGAGATTTATGTAAAAGAGAGTGAGATTGTTGCCTAATCAGGTAAAATAGTATAGTTCCCAACTTGTTCAAATTTAATACTTTTTTCAGAAAGTTAAAAACTATATTTTTCTATGAATCTTGTATTGATTTAGCATGTTTTAGTTTCATATTTTAACATTAAACAGCATATTGTTTCTTTTGAATTAACAATAAATATAATATAATTATTGATTATAAGTACCACTGAACGAATCAATGTAGTATTACATTATATTATGGTTTTGTATGTAGACACATTTTTTTTTATTGAAGTAACTAACCAATTCCAGACCCAGTGTTAGTTCTAAAAAAAATTGAGAAAGAAATCCTAAAATACACTGATCACACAAGTAAGATACTAATGAACTCACACACACTTGAGAAAAATAGAAATATCATACTTTCTCTTTTTTATCAAAATTCTTGGTAGCAACATAAAGAGTGACAAATTATAGAAAATCAGAGTTGCGGGTAATGCGGGTGTACTCTACCGGCCCGGAGTGGTTCTTAGTCGGTTAGAATGACACTCCCTCTAGCCCTACCCAGGTTGGAAAAAGACATAGGCTTTTACATTTTCCCCTTCCAAAATAAAAATTACTTCCTCAAACTTCCGACTACCCCTCGATACAAAAACAAAACCGTAACGTTACATTAAAAACTGATTCATCATCACACAAGTTTACCTTAAACTTTAACAAGATTTGCAATCAACACGGCGAATTTCATCATACATACAGGTGAATTGACATAGCAAAGAAGTTTGTATATCTATGAATCACGGTGAAATAATACATTAGAATAATGTCGAATCAGCGTGGCTTGCGATTTGAGTTCGTTATCTTACGTCAAAAGACGAGTTTCGGTAATCGTTTAAACGTAGTACAAAAAAAATATAAGTGATACAAGAATGACATAATAGTGGACTTTGTTCCCTGATATACGTCAGCAAGTAAGTGCGTGTGTACTCTGTACCGCAAAGGTGGTTTCCTCGCGATGATTTCACAAATAACTCGTATAAATTTGAATTGTAAAATTAGACCTTGTAACAACAGACACAGCGATGATAATTGCACGTTTGTGTGTTAACTGTCGTGCTGTGTTATTTCGATCCTTATGTGGTTAGATTATAGGTCATTGTTTTATGATATGAGAACGCGTTAGACGTAATGTTAAGGTCCAATCCACTCGGACCGGTTAGCTGAGTGCAAAAATAACAGGAAAATATGACTATTTTTTTTTCTATATATTTTTTCGTAAATCTGTTTTTATAAACCACGTGTTTACTAAAAACTTGTACGAAAATTAGCGCTATTAATGGAAACAATTCTCGTTTGCGCTATCTACTAGCTTAAGAAATTTGATACAATGGGTGGTCCAGTGTATCAAAATTTGTTGAACTAGTGCCGATCACTTTTTCCATATTCCTATTCAAAATACACCAAATATTACAGTGTCGATTTAACTCTAGCTTGCTGCCCACGACAAATCCACAATCCTTAATAAATTCTACACTAAGACATTCTTCTTGAGTCATTTTGAAAAAAATAGCTGCATAAAAATCTGTCACGTATTTTTAAAGATACAAGCATACATAGGGACATACCTCGGGAAGCGATTATGTTTTATTCTAATGTTAAGCTTACAGTCCGCCTGATAGGTCACCGTAGTATTACGCGCGAAATTGTGTTTGATGTGTATGTGAAATTGAATGTCTGTAAACGCACCCACGACACAGGTGAAAATCATAGTAAAATGCAACGTTTTTTTTAAAAAAAAATGCTGTACCGCTTTCTATAATACTTTTTATGCTGTGATTCGTAGATCCAGGAGAAGGATCTTATGAATAAAAATGTTATCTGTGACATTTGGAAAAGTAATAAATATAACAATAAAATATTTTCATTTTATATTCTTCTTCGTTCTCGCCTCTTTCCATTAAGCGGAGTAGGCTTTTCTTAACATGCGTCGCCATTCATTTCGCTGGCGGATAACCAAACTTGTATTTCTTAATTATTGGATTCCATTTAATTAAGGTACTAAGTAACATGTAATCTAGTTAAGGGAGAGCGGCCTTTTCTGGCACAATTATGTTCACACTTAAAAGGAGAGGTCAACCTCAATTTTGTTGAACCAACTTAGTTGTTGAATAAATATTTTTTCATTTTCATTTAAATGTTTTTTGTACATTCGATATCGCGTAAAATAGTGTTTTTTTGGCGGAGACCCGAAGGGTCAAGGTTGTTACCCGAAGGGCGACCCAGGCGTCTTCAAGGCCCGAGTGAACAAGTTCGAATTCGTACACACGGATTTGTGCCGTAAATTGTAAGGATTGTGCGACACTATGATCATCTCACTCTTTTTATAAACACAATATTATATTATGTATATATTATATAAATAAGGGACTATTCCTATAAACGTAAGTGGTGGTAGAAAAGCAGCTTCATCTAATTTCAAAGAATAACACAAATAACATATTTACACAAAATTTTAATAAAATTGCTAATAACTCAACTACATTTACATTCATTGTAACTCCGCAATAAACTTTTGTGCCAACCCTGGATATTATTTGTAAGGGATATATTGATTAAAGTAGAAAAAATATATGATGATGACTTATTTTTTAATAGTTTTCCATCGTAGTTGCTGCGGGAATGACCACGAGCACGACTAAAGAGTACAGGACAAAGTCGACAAAAAGTAAAGGTTCTTACCTTTCTACCATTTCTCTTTTTTGGTGGTGGTCATCGATCACTAATAAAGAACTAGATACACAATCCCATACAAAAGTTCGCTTCAAAACTGTCGTCAACTGTATTTAGGTACTTATACTTGAAATAAACATGCATTAATGTAAATTAAACCTTAAATGCAACTCATAGAGTTGTTTTCACAAAGTGATATACAAAATCTAAACATTTTTTGCATAAATCATAAGAAATTGAACCATATTCGCATGTCTTTAAGTCGAATTTACAATGTGTCAAAAATGAGCAATAAAATTTAACGACTTCGGCTCACCGCTAGACAAAGAATGATTGGAGTCGAAATGTCTCGTAATAAATATATTTCTTTCAATTTTTTTTGATAATTTATAAAAAAAAATACGAAAATTAAAACGCATTACTTATAGTATTCTTTTCTATAGGTTTGTTCATTTATTTACCAATGAAACTAATGCATATAGTTATAATTTTTTTTTATTTTTTTCGTTCTCCATAATCCTTCCTAAATTTGGAATAATTTTTCAAAGTATACAGGGTGTAAGGGACAGCCCTCCACAAATTAACAGGGTGCATTCAGCTCCTTATTCTGAATCATATTCCAGTGAAAATTCTTTCAGGAAAATTTTCAATTTTTTTTTCGTTTTTTCAGTTCCTACACCTCTATTTCAATGTATAATTACATTCTATGTATGAAGAATAACATTAATGTAAATAACACAGCTAAAACAAAAAAATACGCAATGGTTGTGTGAATTCTCTAAAGAACTACGCATGAAATCAGCTGTTCAATTTCTACCTAGCGCGAGTCGTTTGAACTCACCGCACCGCGGTCACGGCGCAGTGGCTCGGCGGCGCCCCACCGCGCCGATCGCCGCGCCGCGCGCCGTAGGTATAATACCTACGATCCCGTCCAACGTACAGAATAGCTGCGTCCCTTTCTATCGCCCCGCCTCCGCGTCTCCCCGTCTCCCCGATTCTTTGCACAATGTTTGCCCGATTGAACCAGTGTTGCCAATTTTTAACTTTTGTTACCTCAGGTAGTAAACGAAAATGTTAGAACTAGCGAAATTTATCTAAAACTTGAGAACTCCTTTGCATTCATAATTACGTTGATGAGATTTTCATTAAACAATTAAAAAATTAATCAATTAATGAAAATCTTGTCGCGCACATAAATTGAATAAGAAATAAATAAAGATTAGTCTAGTTTTAATTTTAAAGCATTTACAAATACTACCTAATTTATAGTTTTTTAACTACTTACAGATTTTTACATGGCTTCACAATAGCCATGAATTGATAGTCGAGCCAGAAATTAAACACAATCTCCCTGGAATGGAAGCACAGCTTTCTATCACACTGCACTTTTATTATTCTAAATTAACTAAACAATGAAATTAGAATTAAATTGATTTAATCAATTCATTTCTCTACAAAAAATAACAGAATGATAAATTACGACCATGCATAATTTTTTATTTTTTACCCCGAAATTTTGTAATTTTCGTGTAATTGGCAACAACAGATTTATGTTTGTGTGTGTCTCATCACATGCAGTCGCCATTGTGCCTTGCTGCGATGTTATTGTTTGTGTACCGCGAGCGTGTGTCGGTACGGATCGCTCGCGCATTCGGCTTAAAAGTTTTGTTATAACTTATAAGTAGTGTTGTTAAGTTTTATTAGTTATGTAGTGTGTGAAGTGTAGTGAAGTTTTGTTGTAGAAATTGTGCGAAATTACTACCTAGGTACGTTTAGCGCGCGTGATTATGGGGAGATGATAATGTGTTGTAGTAGTGTAGGTATCCTGACCGTCGCCATCCATCAGACTCCAGGATAATTACTGGTGACTATCAACGCTTGCTAGAAAACCAGCCCATTGTTCCCAGACAAAAAGGCGCCGGAAGACCAATACCTACGTGGATTTTGGAATTGGTTCGCTAACGTAAGGAGACGCTACCACTTACCAGTGCTTTCCTATTTAAACGTAGTTTAGGTAGGTTTGGACCGCAACCGTTGCCAGCACGATCCCCAGACCTAACCCGTTTGGACCCCTTTTTGTGGGGTTACGTAAAAGAAAAAGTGTTTGTGAGTGCGTGTGCAAGTGAGTACGAAATGCGAGACCGCATCACAAATGCTTTCCAGAGCCGGAAACCGGAGCGATTCTAAGGTACCTACGCATTTTTCTTTTTTTTATCATTTATCAGTTACCATGTTATGATTTTTAGATTTTTTTTTGTAAGTAATGCAGCTATCTTTTAAATAATAATTTATTGTTATTAAAACGTGACGCGAGCGCGATTATTACATTGTCTTTTGTAAGTAATGCGGCTATCTTTTAAATAATAATTTATTGTTATTAAAACGTGGCGCGAGCGCGACCGTTTGTCTGAACGTAAGGTCGCGGCGCTGCCCATAGTGTAAAGTAATAATACTAAAAGCGCTGCCGTTCGCTGCGTGCGTTTGCGGTGGTAGCGATACATTGCGTGTAAGGTAATGAAACAAATCGGTTTAATTGGATTCCCATAACGTTCCTGAAATAATTTCATGTACCGGTCAACTTAAGACGATATACTGAATCCACCCTATCAGTTTGCGGAAGGCTGTCCCTTACACCCTGTATAAATGTATACTTTGAAAAATATTCCAAATTCGAAGTCAAATAAAAAAGATGTAAAATAATAAAAAGAATATATATCTAAAGTAAGTACTGAAAATGTTGGCGTTATTGTTGTCAATTTTTCATATTGCACGGGATTTTTGATGAAACTAAAAAAATAATTTCTTTACTGCAGTTAAAATTAAATCCATTATATCTGCCTATTCCATATTTTAATAAACACAGAAGTATAATATTAAATAAAAACTATTTTTTAATAAAAAAAAAACAATAAATAAAATTAGAAACAATAGCGTCTCCGCTAAACGGAACCGAATCAATCCACGTAAACCGAACAACTTAAGTGGTCATGCTAGAGAATGATTTTACGTTTAGTATAAGTGTCTTTATAAACTGTGTGCATTATAACCCCGGTTTTTGAATACGATTTCATTTGGAAAAAGTTTTAAAGTTGATTTCTTAATAAAATATCAATATTTAAAATAGAATGATGACAATTATATAATGATAATATTATTACTTAATGAAAATATGAAATTCCATTCTTTTTTGCGTCTTAGATGTGTGTTTTTTGCAGTTTTTAAACGAGCACTGAGGCGTGTTTACCGTCGGAGCATTCGAGTGGTACTAAACTAAAACTACACCGCGATGTTGAGTTTGGTGGACTTTCAGTTAGGACATTTTTTTGTCACTGATTGTGTATCTAGTTCTTTATTAGTGATCGATGGTGGTGGTGTATTATCCAAAGAGTCTCCCATAGTCTTTGGGTGATTTTCTAGAGGAAGTTTCAGATTTTTACTTCTCTGGGCGGAGCCGCGATACATTATTGCTTTTGCACTCGCGACCCTGGATACTAGGGGTTAGCCAAACTTGAGATTTTCAGTTAACACCAATTTTAGTATTATGCGATTTAATAGTAATAGGCTCGCCCCTACTACATGAGACTTGGTGAAAAAAGAAATAGAAACGCTTCAGAAAAACCTACATAATGATGACGTCTTCCAGCAATTCCATCTAAGAACAAATATAAATTATTTATAATAATATAGTATTTAAACTTACCGATATGGGGACATTGTGGGTGTATTCGCCTCTGACGAAGGGACAGTTGGGTGAATGCCTCTCATGCTCCACCCAGGGCTCGTCAGACTTCTCCCAGCAGACGAGGCAGACTAGGCATGTGAAGCACATGGCGCGGTCGTCCCCGCTGGGTGATGGCTGGTGGTAGAAGCCCGCTTGTGCCATCCGAGCTGGGAGTGCCCATCTGTGAGTGAAGGGAATGTCGTTGTATCATCTTTAATTGGTCATACTAATTATTGTAACACTAGAACTGTCAATGTCATTGTCATCGTCTACTATAAATATGATGGTCGAGATAGGGTCGACCATTGACAATATAACTCTAGTGCAGTGAGCTGCTCGACTGTGTACTGTAATATTAAAGTCAAAGTACAGCTCACGCCAAACTTTGTGGCTGCCCTGAATATAGTCGCGAGTCCAAACTTGCGCATGGTACAGTCGAGTGGGCAATACGTAATCAACCAATATTAGTATATACGTAATCAACCAGTATTCAAAATGTTAGAAAACGAAAATTGTTTGGTTGTTTACGTATTACCCACTCGACTGTACCATGCGCAAGTTCGGACTCGACTATATTCAGGGCGGTCACAAAGTTTGGCGCGGGCTGTAACCATGATCCAAGTGTTTTATTCATATTACAAATGTTTATTTGGGTATTCATTTCTAATTATAAGCTTGAAATCGTCAGTCCGTCAAGAGCAAGAACAATTATTATAACCTTCTCGGTGTGAGATGTGGTTTTTGCTTAGCAGCCGATACTCATAGGCTGATTGATGATGATGAAATATAATTACAGCTGGTGGCGGCTGGATGCAAAGAATTGGATATCGACCTCAGTAACGTGTTTATAGAGGGACCTACACCCAGAAAAAGAAGACAATTCAAGTGATGAAGGAGTATGAATTATGATTAAGTTTATTTGAAATCTAGCAACTATTTTTACGCCTAATAAAAATGAGTGGCGACTTTTATTAGACCGTCTTAGAGGTACTACAAACTCGGTAGGTTTTACCCCCTGTTTATTTTCTACACTTCTGCAAGGGTAGCTCACATTTTCTCTAAGTCTATTGGATCAGCGATCACAAATATTTTGACTTCGAGATGTCACCTTATCTGTTAAAAGGCGGCAAACAAGCAGTCGGATCCCCTGATGGTAAGCAATTGATGTCGCCCATGAACATCCGCAATACAAGAGGATTCAAAAGTGCGTTGTCGTCCTTTTGGAGGGGTTATTAGTAATTTATTGTAATTATCGATTGGGGAAGGGGAGAGAAACAGTCCTTCCCCCTAGGAAACGGCCCCTGGGCCTACCCAATGGCCTCCGGTACATAACTTATAGCAGTGGCTGGACAACCAGCTGCCGTGCAGTTATCGCGTGCAATATTTCTCTATGGCATACTATGAGTATTAGTTACTCATAATATAGGAGAGCCATCTCTCAGATTTGAGCACATCAGTTCTATTATTGTTAAACAACTCACTTGTAGTCCATATGGGGCCACCGTTTGAAGGTCTCTTTCCTCTCAGCCTCGCTGTACATGAGCGGCCTCGTCTCCTCATCGCGTGAGCAGGGCACCAGCTCGTTGGCGCGCTGGCCGACTGCAGATGCGATCGCCAACGCTGGTATCCGCCGGTTCTGACCCTTCAGCTCTTGAACCACGCCTGTGGTCACTAGCCGAAGGGTCGACTGTGGTAGGCAGATTGTTACTGTGCTCCACTGTGAAGTAAGTTTATACAAATTGTTAATGTTATTTATTACAATTTTAGGATATGATGAAGAGTACAATATCATCGCACCCAGACCGAAATGTCAATTTATGAATCACAGAGTTGTTGTGTGCGGGAATCGAACCCAAAACATGTAGCGCAGCAGCGCCAGTTGCCCTGCCTAAATGCTAAATGCCCGTGCAATCATAATTAAATTAAATTATTAATAAACTAAATTAAAAATAAACTACACGATTAAGAAAGTCGATATTTTCAACAAAAAAAATATTTGTCTCACGATAGTTTCATTCTGAGGCAAAATCAATTTATAAATTAGTTGAATTAGCCATTAAGCGTAGGTAAGTTAACTTTGTGAGGCCTATGAGAGTGGCATGTTCATGTTTGATCAAAACCTATATAAAATTAGGAAAGAATTAAAAAAAATTTGATTCTTTCTAGACGTGATTAATAATTTCAGTACACAGTATTTTGTTTCACTTTCCAGCTAGTTTCATTTATTTATGTAGTAAGACTTTGCTTTCAACGATCTTTGCAATCGTCTCTTTTATGATCAACTAATAATTTAATTGGTATGTTGAACTATTTATATTTAAAAATATAGATATTTATACATTTATTAACAGAACTATCAAGTTCCTAAAAAAAATCTCACCTTCTGAGCTTTCACTCCTTTCCTGACAGGTTCTGCGTCGATGGAATTCTTCAGCTCGTTGATAAAGTCTGTAAGACCCTCTATGGAGTGGGCGTCTAGACTCTGAAGACATTGGTATAGGAGCACGGCCTGTAATTAACACAAAAATATATTATTACAAATGTTGTACATAATCTAATATAATTATTACAAGTTAGTATTTAACTTGCAATGTATGCATCTATTAAATATATTTATGTATTTTCATTAGGAAGGAAAAACCTATCTGCAGAAGTGAATAGCCTAGGGATTGCAATCCGGCCGGATTTTAAGTTTTTTAGGGCCTAGTATTTAGTGATTTTTAGTTTTTATTTTAACAAAGAAAAATAAAATACGCTGGTATGGATTGCAATCCCTAGACAGCCTTCGTATTAGCAACAACTTGTTCTCCAAAAAGATGTGAGTGTGAGTATAATAAATAGGTTCAGACATTACTTTGACACATGGATATTGAATCAAAAACAAAAAGAACTTCTAAATAAATATCCTTTAATATAAAAGTAAAGAATTTTAAAAGTATTCCCTTTAAATGATTTATTACAATTATCCGTTTTTCAATGCGATACCTGCAGTTTTCCTTAACATCATTTACATACCCAATCCATCTTTCCTTCACATTTGCTCTACATTCCACGACACATAACATGTATACCTGACACATTTAAATATAGCAACTATGTACTCATAGTAGGTATGATCAAAACATACCTATAGTTTTTAATTAGGCAAGTAAATGACGTCATTTTGCGTGTTGTCACGGGCCGCGTCGTTACAGGGTGAGTGTTTGTTTACAAGCCACCGTACGATACGATAAAATGCGGTTACCATTTTACAGATATGACCGTGCTTAATACTAGTAACAGTTTGGTTTTTCTAATAAGTTTTGGTTGTGGTCTGTGCGATGTTTGTAGTACTTTTTATAATTAGAATGAGACTAATAGTAAGCAAAAAGATCACAATCACTTTCGCTTGTTGTTGGAATCGTATAACAAATTCAGGCAAACAAAAAGAAAATTAGCTTAGTTATTTTAAAAGTGGATACATACGGAAAGGTCTGGGTAAGTCTATTAGGCCCTAAACAGGCAGCATTTACTTTAAAAAAAAAGCTATCATCAGACTAAACGTGTTAGCAATGGACACTCCATTGCTGACACATGCGGATAACCCACGGGCACGAGGCGGATCAGGGATCTCAAACTTATAAATCTAAGCTTCCTCACAATGTTTTCCTTCACCGTATGTCAGTGATGACTAGATAATCGGAGAAAGTAGCCAGATTTCCTAACACACCAGAAAAACTAAATAAGCTATGGAAAAACAAAAGAAGCAGTGTGCCTCGCGTTTTTGATCAAACGTATTAAAATAGTGTTACGTCCAGCGTTACGTATAATACTGTTACCGCCAAAACTGGCGAAAAACCGGTACAAAAACCCCCAAAGAGGTATTATTCGATGGTATATCGCTACAATAAACCCTACAGCCTGACAGCGCACAATTTATTACGTAGTTATATTATATTGATCGAGTCTAAGCAAAAGCTTTCAAACCTAGGTAAGTAGGGCAAAAGTAAATAGCTTTTCGGCTATTCAGAAACTCTTAGTAACAGTTGGCAATATGGAATTGTGCGTTGTAAATGGCTATAATTCGTAGTTCCCCGTCGATAGATTAAGTTATTCTATTGATAAAGGGTATACCAGTCAAACCTTTTGATCTGACAATAGCCAATGCTTTCCAAATATCTATATTCCACAATTTAATTTACATTTTGCTAGATTTATTTAAGCTTGGACTAGTGACCTAAATACGACAATGGATACGCCCCCTACAACACAAAACACTATAAATACCTACCATTACCAGTCAAATGTTTGTGCTCGCCATTCAATAGTGAAAACCGTATCAGTATGTGATTCTTCTTTTAATTTCACAAAAAAAAAACAATACACTAAAAACTGAGTAAGCATTTCAAAAATATAACTCGAGTAAATATTTCAAATGTATTAGCAGGTACAGTCGTTTCGTAGTTATGGGTATCGAAATATTTTGGTAATTATTTAGAAGCATAAAGCTTAGATAAATTGTTCGTAATATTGTTGTAATCACAAAGCCGCCAGTGTCGGTGGTGACGATAAGCTCGCTCTAATGCATGTATGTTGTTAAATCATATCCTGCTACAAACTTGTGAATCAGAACTTCCTATAGCTCTCTATTGCATTGTATATCATTAAAGATATATAAAAAAAAAGTTACATTACTTTTTCTCTTTTTATTAATTCTTATTCTTATAAAGGCTCTTATATTTATGTAAATTTATGTTTAAAAATAAAACGTAGATTAATAAACCATAAAATGCTCAAAATTAGCTTAAAAATTAATTCCGTATCTCTTGAATAACCCTTGAATCAATTGGGTAGTTTCCTAAGTCAAAAATACATTAATTCGACGCTTCAATACAATAAAATATTGAAAAATAACTATACTTTTTATTTTTCATAAACATGCCATTTGACGTAAAAAAATGACGATATGTCGCGATCTTAGAATACAGAATGCAAAGAAAATTATGTTGGAAACTACCATAATTGAGCACAAAAGAACCTTTCTCATAAAAATATAAATAGCAGTTGAATTTAGAGCATCAAGTCACCACATAGTAAGGACATATTCACAAAAATAAGTAGCAATTATTCACAAATAAAAGGCAGGTAATTCGGCCTGCTGTGTAAACACTTCATAATTTATTTATTTTTTTCATATTGTATCAGAATAAAGAACTTGTAATGCCAACATCTTTATTTTAAGACAGTCACAAACAGTGTTATCTATTGTAAACTTAATGTTATTGTGGCAAACAAGGAACTTGATAAAAACCGTGGTCAGTATTGTTTGTAGACTGTAGACAACTAAAATACTGTAGATTTTATCCTTCAAAAAAAATTTGGAGTTGGATTGAAAGGCTTTAACTGCATCACCTTATGGTTGAGTTGTAGTAAACAATTGTATAATAGACAATATTATACTACTATGTAAATAAAGTGAAGACCTGTTGTTTTGGGTCTGAATGTGATGTACAAATATATCTACATAAAAAACCATACTATAGTATATTTTTATACTGTGCTATAGAGCAACTTAAAGAGTTAAACATAATTTATGTTACACCCTCTTTTCCTATACCAAGACTAATAAAATTGTATTTTAATTATACAACTGTAGGGTGTTATAAACTAAAAATGTAAAAATAATAAGATCCATTCATTCATATATAAGTAAGTACCTTCTTTCATACTTAACAAAAACACACATATGAATGGAAGAGTGTAACAGGATTAGTCACTAATCAAGTTAAAACTTGTTTCATTAGTGTATTTGTAAAGTTGAAATGTAACAACTATTACAATGAAAAATTTTATGTTAATATGTCATTGACTTGGGCTAAGTTCTTTGTAGTAAATGTCTTAAGACCTGATATGAGCTTAATAACAGTAATGGATCAATATAACAGTGGACATTAGATTCATATACTATTTCACCGTTTACACCACCTCTAGTTAACACTGGTCACTTTGACAGTCTTCTCCTGTATTGTATTTTTTATAAATTATTCATCAAAATATGAGGTCATGTTGTAAAGTCCTTAACAATTATAATAATATGTTTACTAGGGTCAATTTAGTTCCTTTCCCATAGAGATATGTATAGTTGTAACAAAAGGATAGTAAGAATGTTTTGCATTGCATAGCTAGATATGTTTTAATAAATTGACAAAATCAAGAAAAGATAAGAGATGAAACAAAGGAATTTGTTTATTATCTTAATTTAGTTTGAGTTCATAATAATTAATCAACTATGGCTGTTGAATTCGCCTTTATCTCACCACATAGTAATTAGTCCAACAAAGACAAAGAGGATCCAATTGGCATTGTTAAATAGGCTCAAAGCCTATTTAACATCACTATATTAAATTCCCTTTTTTTGAGTATCCCTTCTATATTGTGGGTAACACCATAAAAAACAAGAATCTAAATTTATTTTTATGATAAATAGAATACATTGCTTGAAATGTAAAATTATTAATCTTTTAAATTATATCTCCTTAAGACAATGATAACTACTGTAATAATCAAGCAATACAGTAAATTGACAAACAAAAATCATATAAGTAATGATAGTACAAAAATCTGTTGTACCTAGGAAGGGTTAAGAGGGAGTGTCAGATTCTCACTGATTACTACCAAAATAGGCCACATTATTGCACTTACACCTGCAACCTTGGCCGAGTAACATATTTTTGTTATAAAATCTTGTTAAATTGGCAATCGATGCAACATCACACTGTTTACAAGGTATTGATGCATTTATTGTATGCTTATATCTACAGATGCAACAGAAACTAAGAAGTATGTAAGGATTTTTGTGCATATTGTTTTTTTTGTGAGGGGAAAATCATCAAATGACTTCTCCTGCCCAGGGCCGGACCGGTGGAAGTGTCAGACACTTACTGACTAAAAACCCCCTGTTCCTTCTCCTGCTCTAGGCAGAGGTGGCGGTGCCTCAATGCGCTTACCCCACAACCCCAGCGTGTGTGTTGCTCAATAGTTTCAGCCTACCCCCATTTAACAAATAAATGATTTCTATATTGGTTGTCCATTCGTAGTTAAGCTGTTTTCTTGCCTGATGCAGATGTATAACTAGAGCAGTAAAGGAATTGCTTGGTCTATCTAAATAATATGCATGGTGTCATCTAGTCTTAAATTCAATAATTGTTCTATATGTCTGAGATGTGTGTGTATTTTGTATTGGTGGGTAACTTAATATATATTAGCTACTCACACTTACAAATTTTGCCTCTTTATAATATTAGTATAGATGAATTAATTTTTATATTTCTGAACTACCCATTTGGATATTTTAACTCATAATTATTAGTAAAAGTGTTAATATCTTTGTATTTAAATTAAAGATTTCACTATTAAGTTCACTGAATTATATTTATAAGCAATGACAAGAATCATAATATATTTTATTTAAAATATTTAAAAACATTTATAATGCCTTTAATAAATTCTTTGTTCTCCACTTTCATATTACACATAGACAATACTATCAAATGAAAATTGTTATTATTTTTAACATAATAAAAAGTGAAATTAATAACAGGAAGAGTGTCAAACAATAGTTGTATGTATTAAGTTGATAAGAATGTCCATTATAAGAATCTAGTTAGAGTTTACAACACCATAAATGTATTGTGTCCTTTGTTGCAGACTGTTACTTATTTATTGCATTATTGTTGCACTTAAACCATTAAGTGTAAGATAAATTTGGACTATAGTTTAATGTAACTGATAATAAAGGTTCCAACTAACTAATCATTTTTCTTATCGTGATCTCTGTAAGACTATGATCTTATTAGATTAGATATTGCTGAGATTTAATTATGGATAAAAATATGAAACAAATAAGAAGGTAGTGTAGGATTTTGAAAAAAAATCTTATCTTGTACTGATACACATTTCTCTTACATAAATATATAAATACATTAGCATCTAATTTGCATCCACTTATTGTCCATCATGTTTGCATTACCTACATTCATATGATTAGTGCTACCTCTCAAGTATTCACGATAGCAGCATGAGTGATTGCATAGCACATACCTCAGACAAAACAAGCTCGATCCTTATGATTTTGTCGGGTTGTGAGGAAGGCAGCGGGCGCTGCAATGCCGTGTGGAGAAGCAGAACTCCATTGTAGTCAGTGCGCGCACCAACCCCGCTGCTGTCCCACACGAAAACTCGATCCGCCCCCGCCGCATACTCAACACCAAGCGTTCCACCATCATCTTCAAACACAAGACAACACTTCAATCCGGCATAAATGGAATTGTTTATTGAGAACTGTCAAATCGAGAAACAATGTAGGGCACCAAAAAAAGTCACTGCCAAATATCCCTGACTAAAATTAAGCCTAATCTCAACAAATACAGCATGATCGTTAACATAAATAATTGTAAACCTTTTGTTCGCAGATAATAAGCGTCTTACTTACCCGCTGACAGACAAGAAGACTGCAGTATCACACCCGAGTTCACATCCAAAACGTGTACACCACCTACGTCAGTCTTCACCAGAATTATATTTAAGTTGCTATGATAAGTAAGAGAAGTAACAGGAAAGTTCATACGTATATAACCATCTTCTCGTAATATCAAAGAATCATCGCCCATCGTGGCCGTGAACACATCTGTCTACACTACGTAAACGCCATTTGTAATTGTATTTTTTTATGTCAAATAATTTAGGAGTGAGTGGCCAGATACAAAATTTGGAAAGAAAAGTTATTGATAAGCTGCAGAAAACCATAAAATGAAAATGAATTTATTTGTCATTGATTTGTTTTGTAAATATTAAATTTAACAAACTGAGGACATAATGATTGGTATATTGGTATAAAAATGTCTTTTATCCAGTTGTATAGCAATATTTTGGTTTATTCATTTATAAATATTGCCAGCATGAATAACGATTTTGAGTTAGAGTTAGCTATAGACTGAAGCAAGTACTTTTTTAAACTAAAGACAACACGTTCTTCGACTTCTTGTCTTTGTAGTAAATTTATTGAAACTGAGCAAATTCAATTTCAATTCAATCATATGTTGTTTAAAATTCCAATTTGAATCTAATTATATTTTATATATAAAATTAAAACTAATTTAATTTTTCTTTCTTGTTCTTAAAAATGAGCAATAAAAAGCAAACACCTTTTTACTTAAGAGCTCTGATATCCAAGTCATTCTAATAACAGAATAAAATTGTTTTTAAAATTACAGTAGTCACTTGTAGTACCTAATCATTACAAACCGAGTTAATACCTACTTTTTGGGACTTTTCTAAAATAATACTATTACCTATACAAAATGATTACCGTAACCATTATTGTCAAACATGCAAATTGGTAAAACGATCATCATTAACAGCATCGTCATTATTAGCCGGAATATTTCCAAATCTGGACAAAGGCCTCCCCTTTAATTCTTCGTACCGAACGACAAGTCGCCACCTGCATCCATTGGCTCTCCATTACTCTGATGAGGTCGTAAGTCCACCTAGCAGGAAGTCTGCCCACGCTATGTCTTCCGGTTTGCGGTTGCCACTCGAGCACTTCTCCGGCCATTTGTCCTTCGAGCGATGTGGTTTGCCCATTGCCACTTCAGCTTGCTGATTCTAAGAGCTATGTCGGTGACTCTGGTTCTTTGGCGAATTTGGAAATTGCGGATTTGGTCGCGCAAACATACTCCAAGGATAGATCAGAAGTAAGGTACCACGTCTCAGTACCGTAGGTCATCGCTGGCAAGACACCACTGATTGTAGACCCGATAAAACGATGACTCTAAAATATATTAAGTACTTTGATTTGTGGTTTTTTTGAGGAGAAATCATTATTAAATTACGCCCTTTTTCTTTCTGATTCAATTTAATATGGCTCTCCTATTCTTCTAAGTCCACAACGAAGAAAACGGTTTTAGTTCACCCGATCCCTAAAAAAAGGTGACTGAACAAATCCGTCCAACTACAGACCCATAGCCATAACTTCCCTCTTTTTGCAAATAATGAAATTAGACTGCACGGTGGCTGGGCAACTGGCTGCCGCGCAATGCGTGTCCCGGCTTCGATTCCCGCACAGAAAAACTCTTTGTATGATCCACAAATTCTTGTTCCGGGTCTATGGGTCATGTGTATGTGAAATTGTATCTATGTTTGTAAACGCACACACGACAGGAGAAAATCGAAGTGTGGGGTGGCGATTTTCTAAACGAAAAAAAAAATTAAGTCAGTTAATTAATAACTGCCAGCGCCTTCGGTACTTGCAGGATCATCAGCTTCTTAGTGGCAGACAGTACGGTTTCCGTGGTCGGTCAGCTGGTGGTTGTGAGTTTACCTGACGCACCTTTGGGTAGGTACAGGCGATCTAGGGCTTGGCATAGAACGCTGCTTTCAAAGCTTCATTCCTATGGGCTTCCCGAGAAACTATGAGAGTCACCAGCTTCCTTGCAGACACAATCATGAAGTACCTCGCGCTGGATCCGAATGATAATCAGTTGCGTCAGACGGTAGGTGAGGACGCCGTGGCGTCTCTCTAGCCACTACTCAACAACCCCACATTGTGCTGCTAAAACAGCGAGGCCGCACCTCGATTGACAAATGACAGTCAACTAGCTTTAGTCAATCGAATATCCGCAATAGGTATAAATAAATAGCCATCCACAGCCACAAGCCAGATACCGACTTTAAGAGTGCCAAAATACGCTAAACGGTAACAATATAGTGACTAATTTCGGTATCTTCAAGATAAGTGGGTCGGCTCGACCGGATACCACAGCCTCGCAGAAAACCTGCTTGATACAACCACCACGTTGTGTTTCGCCGTGTGACTGAGGTCACCGGAGCCCCAATCCTTCCACTCTCCAATCCCTAATCCCCACAAGGTCGGCAACGCACTCGTACCTCCTCTGTTGTTGCGGTTGTCCATGGGCGGCGCTGATTGCTTACCATCAGGTAATCCGTCTGCTCGTTTGCCGACCTAACACATAAAAAAAAACAATGTTGCTGTTTCACCTTCATTCAATAAGCTGGTAAAGTTCCTAAGCCTTTGGATTGGCATAGCTCTGGTGCTATAATTACCAATCATGGGAACAGGGTCTTTTATTTATGTAAGTAGGTTTATGTGAATGTTTCGTATGTGTTTTATATTTATTTATTGTATGTAAATTGATCGTTCACACTCTAGATACACATCGCAATGGAAAACTGTGATAAAATGAGATGTTTGTAAGAAATAAATAATAGTTATGATTAATAACGTGCAGTCAAATACAGTTAGTAATTGACTGCACGGTTGGCGCGGTGGCTGGGCAACTGGCTGCCGCGCAACGTGTCGCGGGTTCGATTTCCGCACGGAACAACTCTTTGTGTGATCCACAGATTGTTTTTCCGGGTCTGGGTGTGATGTGAATGTGAAATTGTATGTTTGTAAACGCACCCACGACACAGGAGAAAATCCTAGTGTGGGGCAACGTTTTTTAAAAAACAAAACAAAAACAAACAAACAAACAGTTATTGAAATATTTTTGAGCTTACTTACAAAAGCTAGGATGCTAGGATTTCCTACAGGAGATAATTATAGAACCTGCCAACTGGCTGACTTAATCAGAATTCGGGTTTAATCCCATTGGTATTAAGCATATTTAAGATTTCATCAGGGAACTATTTAGGTATTTGGGCCCCTAGTATCAGGGGCCGGGGTGGTCCTTCCGCGGTTCTGCAGCCCTATTTGACCGCCACGCCACGTTCAGTACCTACCTCCACATTTAACTGCACCTACCCATAGAGTAACAGCTTTCTGCCAACTGGCAACTAGGTAATTGCTCCAAATGACCAGGTTCAAAGTGTAGTTTCTTTTGGTTACACACCGATCCCTATATTTTTCGAAATTGACTTAGCATACAACTTTTTCGATTAAACCTAAAATATACGATTTTCTTTTGGAATTAATAAAAAGATTACAAAACGAAATGCGTAACTAGCTATTGTACGCAAGTTGTATGGTCTAGGATAAATCAATACCTCTACGTGTTACCAAGATATAGATTTAAACGTTTCATAAGGGAAATGCAAATAAACATTTCTGAAGCCATTTGGCATAGAAACCGACGCGGCGCTGCGTGACAACTCAAAAACGATTTTATTTTCTACGTAACTAAATACACATTTCAAGCGTTACGTCTAGAGCAGTGGCCGCTTCGCTGGCCTCTCCGTGTGAATTGAATCCTATAGTAGGTAGATATTTCGGAGGTAAATGAAAAAACCCATAAATTTACAAATATTTTATTTAAATACAATAAATAAAAACGATACAAAAAATATATTTTTTTCTCTTAACATATGGACGGAATATTTAAAGCGTTAGTATTTGAGTATAAAAGTATATAAAAAATGAATTAATCTCTTTAATAAAGTACAAAAATATCATCTACACTTTTTATTACTTGCAAAACGCTACACCAACAGTATTTTACACATACAAAGATCAGGTCAGAGTCCTTAAAACAGTAAAAAAAAATTACTCAAGAGTATATCAGTTTAGGCGTATTTGAGTAACGATTATGCTTATAACATAAGACTTTTACAATTATAATATTTATTGAATATACAGAGCGACTAACAAAAATACTTTGTGACATAATAATACTATTTTCATGTTCTGTACAGTTATTGCAATACAGTCACGAAAATGAAAATGCCGGCTTCGTCTAATTTTTTAGATATAATTTTGTTGTGTCAATGTGCTGATTTATGGCCTTTTAAAAATAATTGTTTCAACTCAGTACAGAGTTCACTATTAAGCTACTGAGCCTACCCATGGTGCAATATGATATGTATTCATTACAAAGTCATATATTTTAGTTTAAAAAAAAAAAATACAATCGAATTGAGAACCTCCTCCTTTTTTTGAAGTCGGTTAAAAATAGCTACTGTCTCGGTACAATATTTATCTCTTTTTTCTTATCAACATACCAAATAACTATGCAAACAGAATATCAATGATATGTTTGGAAAAAGAAAAACCACACCTCATTCGGCGTCCAGATTGCAGGCGAAAATGCCGAAATCACTGTGTGGGACTTATTCGATAGGAGAATTTCTCTCTAAACATAGCATAGATTAAACTAAGTTCCCCTTATTATTTTTATTCTTATTCTTAATTTTCTAATTTCTTATCATTCTATCCTTTTCAATTATTAATTTTAAATAAAAATTGACTCATAGGAAATAAGAAGATAAACATGGACAGATTCTGAAGGGAATGTTTTAAATAGTGATGTGATAATGAATATGTAATAGAGAAGAAAGGAAAAAAAGGCACAATTCGCTTTTTAGTCACCAAGGATTGCAATGAGTGCATGTGTAATAATGTACCACGGCGCTCGGAGAAGGAGAAGGAACGCGGTGGATTTTAGTCAAAGAGAGTCTAAAACTTTCTCTTTCGATCTACTCAGGGCGAGAGAAGTAATTGCATGATCTTACTTTCTCAAAAAAAAAGATGGCATTGATGGCAACACCAGAAACAAAACAATTGAGTTGAATCTATGCTCCTGAAAAAAGTTATAAAAAAAATACAATTGTGTTGCCAGCTTAAAACTCCCAACTTTCCAACCATTTTAACCCTGACATAGTAGAATTAGGTTCATGGGCTAATGGGCCGTTCATTCCGTAAGCTAGTGGCAAGAATAAATAGAAGCTGTATATGGTCGTGGAGAGCACAAGGCCTATGATGCAGTGGTATACTGTTTTGCCCAGCTCCGGGCTTAGGCAACTCTTGATGCTGGTCAACAGGTATTCTGTGAGGATGCCTGTAAAGAACAGTATTTATTGAATTACATTTGTTTTAATAGAAGTAAAGTTTTAAAGGTTTTGGCAGTGGCACACAAAAACAATAGTAGCTGTTCTTACGTTGTTTGTCATAGCGAGAAACTTTCGGCAAATAGGCAATTGAACACAATTTTTTTTAACTTGTTGATTCAGAGATTAGCGGTGCTAATTTAGGGCATACAGTAATAATATTTATAATAAAAATAATCGATCTGCAGTGGTATGAAGAGCTCACATATCTCTCTAGTAATGTTTTAAGCACAAAATCCAGACTGCGTGATATTATTGACCAATTTTCAAACCGAAAAACTTTCTGTATTAAATCTTTGCCGGATTCGAAAATCGAACTCGGTCCTTGTTATGGACCACTCGACCAACAATACAATATATATTATTATGAATCTAAATAATTTACCTGTGAGCATGGAACTGAAGACTAGAGCTGGGAAGTAATGATGGAAGTAGAGGACGCGCCCCATCGCCCAGAACGGGACGTAGTGCAGCGCCCAGCCGACAAACGTCCAGCCTGCCGCGTTTAAAAGCTCGCGCGATTTGCCATCTGTAGAACAAATGTACATAAAACACATTATGTATTTATCGCAAGGATATACATTAGGTAATATGTGTGCTCGTTTTTTTTTAATACTTTGCCCCACATTAGGATTTTTCTCCTGTGTCGTGGGTGTGATTATAAACATACAATTTTACATTCACATAACACCTTCAAATTTCAACCAACAGCCTTACACATCCATATCTACATGGTGGGTTTGTCTCAATATCCATGTTTGGGAGGCGAGTTGAAAAGCGTAGGTAAGAAACTCAGGGTGTCAATTTTAAAGGACGATCTCCGGCCACCGTAAGCGCGGTTCTGCGGTCGGCGAGTAAGGGCAGCTCGCCGGCCGACCAGAACCAGACCCGAGCGTACGGCGCGAGCGCTGATGTTCAGCCGGGGTTGCGGGGTAAGCGCAATGAGGCACCGCGACCTCGGCCCAGAGCAGGAGAAGGAACAGGGGGGTTTTTAGTCAGTAAGAGTCTGACACTTCCTGCCGCCCGGCCCTGGGCGGGAGAAGAAATTTGACAATTTTCCCCTCACAAAAAAATGGGTGTCAATTTAGGCTGGACATTCTTTTAACTTAATCCCCCTTATTACAAAACAAGATTTATCTTTAATCTAGGTTTGAACCATTGAGGTTTTGTATTTTGAATCTTATTTTCACATACCTTTAATTTTAAATACAAAAACTGGCTCAATGGTTTAGTCCTAGACTAAAGAAAAACCTTGTTTTGTAAAAAAGCCGAATAAGTTACTTTCGGCTTTCGATCGGTTATGATGCATATTTTAGAAGATTACGAGCGAAGTGACAAACTTATATTAGTATTTGCCAGATTTCGCACCCTGTATGAGAAGCCTTAAGCTTCGTGCATTACATGCATCGCTATGGCATATTGGCTATATGCGCGACAGTGGCGACGCGTAGCGTTTACAACATTTATTTTCCGGAAGATGTCAAATAAAAACAATGTAAACATTATAATTTTCTTTGCAAATATAAATAAAACCAAAGATTAAAATATTATTGTTGACACTATTTAAGTGCAATTTATTCAATAGTTATACTGTAAAATGAATATATTAATAAAAACCGACAGCTGATCGTCCGCATTTGTTTCCAATTTCTGCCGTATTGTGCGCTGTGGTCGTTATCTGTCCGCCACTTCTCGCTTTGCACATAGCCAATAGTCTCTGTTAATTGCCCTGACAGCTAAAAGCTTTCAAAATTTTACTTACTTGGAACAGGAGTACCGAAGGCCTCCGCCCTCTTTTCCTTGATGGCGTTGATGACATATATGATGAAGAAGGCGACCAGGAACAGCAGGTTCCCCCACCATACTACTGGATTTCCTAGCAAGTAGATTCTGTGAGAGCTGCCGGAGAAGAACTGGCCCTGCGGAAGAAGGGGTAGGTGTTGAGATGACATTGATACTGCTGGTTTGTTGTCATTACGTTAACTTAGCAGTCTAAACTTTCTTGTTTCTTAACTTCAACCTTACCTTTTTTTAAATCATAATTTAGAAGTGTGGAAGAGCCATGCTTCGGCACGAATGGGTCGGCTCGACTGGAGTGATACCACGGCCTCTCAGAAAACCGCCGTGAAACAACCACAGGGTTGTGTTTCGCCGTGTGAGTGAGGTTACCGGAAGGCCAATCCTTCCCCTCCCCCAATCCCTTCTCAATCCCTAATCCCTAAAAGGTCGGTAACGCACTCATAAATCCTCCGTTGCGGCGCTCCGTTGCGTCCGGCGCTGATTGCTTACCATCAGGTAATCCGTCTGCTCGTTTGCCGAACTATTACATAAAAAAAAGTTGAGAAGGCCGAAATAATGAATGTAAATAAGGATAATTTTCATTTTCATGGGAATAAAATATTTTTATCACTTAATTCTATTCTATTTTAAAAAATAACGTTGCCTAGTATTTTCATGACATCTCGGATAACTATATGTAGATCACACTAAGAGATGTTTCTGTGCAGGACTCGATCCCGCGACACGTTGAGCGGCAGCCGGTTTCCAGGCACCGCGCCAACCGTGCAGTCGACTTAATGTAATGTAGTTATCTAAGCCCTAATTAGAAGTCATTATAAATAAGTTCTAACTGTCGACAAAAATCTGTAAAAGTGTATTAAAAGCACCTCATTATGGTTTCAAACTCACCCTATAATTTATAGGCCATTGCCAGGGTTGTGAGGTGACCTCTCCCTCCTTCGGTTTGAGTCCAGCGTTACCTTGGAACATGACTGCGTGCGACTCGAAGAACCGCTCTATGAAGCCTGAAGCGTACGCCTCGAAACTCACCTTTGGTACTGTTGAGTAAGAGTGCATTTTTGATAAACGTTTTATGGTAGTATTTATTACATGAAATGGTAGTTTTTTGAGTAGCAAATTCACAGCAGATACTAAGATTTTTCTATACAAAGACTTGTCTTGTTCTTTGCGGGAATCGAACCCGCGACTAGTTATATCACATATAGACCAGAAACAACAATTTTTGGCTGATGAAAAGACTTGTTTCATATAGGAATCGAATTCGCGAAACCTTATACGGCAGCTGGTTGCCAAGCCAGCGCTACAGCCGTCGAATCGTCTATAGTCGAATAAATTATGAAACTAAACACAGAAGAACATAAGAAAGTAGGACAGCGTTTAAAAACATGTTAAATAATAGTGTAGGAGAGCCATGCTTCGGAACGAATGGGTCGGCTCGACCGGAGTGATACTATGGCCTTACAGAAAACCGGCGTGAAGCAACCACAGCTTTGTGTTTCACCGTGTGAGTAAGGTTACCGGAGGCTCAATCTTTCCCCTCTCCCAATCCCTAAGTCTCCAAATCCCTAATCCCCAAAAGATCGGCAAAACACTAGTAACTCCCCTGTTGTTGCGATGTCCATGGGCGGTGCTTATCGACTTATCAGGTAAACCGTCTGCTCGTTTGCCGACCGACCGAATATATATGTATATGAAAAATGCGAATACACACAGCCGTCAAAAACGTTGTCCTCTACGTTCCAGAGTGCGTTCTTGTCTCTAAGGTTGGGGTTGCACGCCACCTCTTGTTGCTCGTAACCCCATTTCGGAAGCTGCTTTCCAGTTGTCGTCAATACGCAAGCCTGAAATATACAGCAATTATTTAATATTAGTTTTTACAACTAGAACCTCCGTAGAGATAAGCTCTTGTCGAACATGGCATGTAAAAATGTGTTTTTCAACACACTTTCTTATAAAGTGGCTCTTATCCCACGGCAATTAGGCACATAATGACACCTATTATCAAATTGATTTTACTATTATTGACTAATGAGTAATAGTTTTTTTTAAAATTATTCGTTGTGTTACGCTTCCAAAAAAAGATAATTCCAAAAAAAAGTTTATAGTATATGGCCGATGGGCGGAAATAGGAAATCTGATTGCTTTTTCAAAGACAAAAGTTAAAAAAGTCAAAAATCATTTATTCCCATTAGACCTTTACAGGCACTTTTGAACGTCAAACAAAATTTTGAAGATAAATGTCAGTCTGTTGGTCAGTCCGTACTGCGATCAAAGGGCTAGCTGATTGATATAACGGCTATTTTAGCCATTTACCTGTTGCCAAATTTCTACACAAAAATAACATCTGATCGATGCTACAATTTAAGGCATTCACAGGCCATTTTGAGAAGTAAAAGGTGTTATTTATGTTAAGTAATACAAACCTGCAAATAATGCACGAACATGAGTTTGCTCCTAACAGTCTGCACTTCGTCGCCATCTTTCCCGCCAGATATTACAACCTTCCACACATCGTTGGCGTCACCGATACCGTCCTGATGATACAAAATTACATTTAAATTAAAATATTGATTATATTTTTTGAAGTGGCGTGAATTGTTAAGAAGGCAAATGTCAATTTTTTTAATTTTTTACTGATTTATAATCAGTAGATGTCTGACACTCTTACTGATTAAGTTTCTGAAAGGCTTGTCAACGCTAAAATTAACTAATCTCCTGTTAAATCTCTTGTCAAGTCATCTGATTGGTTGACTGAATTATCAACAACCAATCAGATGACTTGACAAGAGATTAAATTGATTTTAACATTGATCGGTCTTTCGGAAACCGGGGGTTAGTCAGTTAACCACCCTGATTTTTCTTCTGCTTCGAGCCGGGCTGCGGTACATTTTGCGAGAGCGGGTGCAAGCGCAATGTAGCGCGGCATCACGTTTCATCATCAATTGGGTCATGGGGAGGACAGTGTAGCTTCCAACAGTGAAGGATTTTTTTTCGTATGATTGGGATAATTGCGCAGTTTCCTAGGTCAAAAATAAATTAATTCGACGTTTCAATACAATATAATATTGAAAAATAACTATACTTTATCCATCGATCGATCGACACACTAAACTTTACACATTTTTCAGCAATTTTTAGGAACTCAGTGTGTCATACAAATTTCATAGAAAAGTATAGGTAGTTTTTGACATTTGGATAAAAGTATTGAATGTGACTGGTTGGAAACTACCGTATTATCCCACAACCCCGGCTTAATTTAGATAAATAATATCATAATTACAATAAATATTAACAATAACTCTGACTAACGAATTTTAACGATTTAAAGATAAAACAAAGATATTTAACGCGATTGCGTTTCGTGTATTGCGCACTGCAACTTTCCGTTATCGTTTTTATTTCCGTGATGAGATACAAATCTATGATAGCTGTGTGACAACAGCAGTTGATGCCTACTGGTATTAACTAGGTAGCTTAGATTCTCCAGCGCGATTTCATACATAGAAAGTAGGTATTCAAAAAATGCATGATATAGTGTCGCAAATTTTCTTTTCGTCAGTTTTTTTTGTGAGGGTAAATCATCAAATGACTTCTCCCGCCCAGGGCCGGGCGGGAGGGAGTGTCAGACTCTTACTGACTTATAACCCCCCCGTTCCTTCTCCTGCTCTGGGCCGAGGTCGCGGTGCCTCATTGCGCTTACCCCACAACCCCGGCTGAACATGAACTCTATAGGGCCCCGTCTGTGATGGTCTATTGGCTCTTTGAGGCGCGCGCGCAACGCTACGCGCCTTACGCTCGGGTCTGGTTCTGGTCGGCCGGCGAGTTAAATTTTCGTCAGCTAGCATACTAATTTGGTATTTTCCTCAGACAAAACTAAATTCCTTCAAGACTTCTATACAATTAACTATACAAAAATAATAGCATATCATTAATTGAACAGCAAATTCATAGAACAGTTTAGTATTTTATTACACTTCGACAAAGTACATATTGAATTTGATTAGTTGTCAAATAATTTATTTTGATATTACGATTGAAAACGAAGGTCCAAACCATCAATATCAGTAAAAGCAATGTTGAGCGTTCATGGGCAGCGCCTATTACTTCCCATCAAGTGATCCATACGCTCGTTTGCCTCCTATTCCATAAAAAAATGTATCGATGCCCCGATCCGGAGCAGGCGAAAGGAATGTAAATGATGATTGCCAGTGCCGGCGTTAGAGGGGGGAGTGGGGGGAGGGGGGGGGGGCAAGGTCTGAAGTTGGAGTCTCTTGCCTCTCCTGCAAACACCCTCAGAACTGTGCTCTACGCTCTGTGCTCATGCATTTTTTTTTTTTACTTGGAATCAGATCAAAAATGTAACACTTGATAGGTATTACTTCCCTCAAGTGGGCGCCACGATATTTTTGCTCAGGGTGTCAGTGGCCCTTACACCGGCACTGATGACTGCTCTTCCCTCTCGCCTTACACAGGGCGAGGGGATGTCATTCGATGATTTTTTCAACTCAAAATAAAACTTTTTTAAATGTCGGATGGCATGGGAATGGAACTTGTACTACCACGCTCGATCGCTATATTTGAATGTTGTCGATACTCATAGGTTTGCATAAATTGCGAAAAAAGCGAACTACTGGTCAGTATCAACACTATTCTCATTGTGTTCGCAGACCGGTGGGATTCTCCAATGATGTAGAGGTGGATGCTGTCTCCAAACTCAAGTGTAGCTGTTATGATTTAAATTTTAAAACTCTTTAAATATACATATTTTTAAGTACTTAAAGACGGTAGTTTCCAACTAGTCAAATTCAATACTTTTATCCAATTGTCAAAAACGATATTTTTCTATCAAATTTGTATGAAATACTGAATTATGGCGTCATTATATTTATAAGTCAAATAGCTTACTTATTTCTTAAAAATTAGCTAAAAAATATCTAAAATTTAGTGTATCGATAGATCGATGAATGAAAGTATAGTTATTTTTCTATGTTTTATTGTATTGAAACGTCGAATTAACTTATTTTTGACCTAGGAAACTACCCAATTGTCATTGTTTAATTTAATTTAATTACGCTTAAAAACAGTCTTCACATTTTGAGAGAAAAATTAAAAAGCTTGAATGTCATATAGCCTACATATACAACTAGGTAAAATTACGCTGTCCTTCAATTGTCAACTTTCAGTTGATTATCATTCATGATTATGATTCTAATCTGCACATATTAGGGCATAATCCGATCGTCGGATTGGTCCAGTCAGGCTTTTTAACACGTAACGACTTTTTGATTTGACCAATCAAATTACAGTAAAGTTGTACGAATAGAACATAATGCTTTTGTCAGCTTTACTTACTAACCAATCAGGGGATTGTGATGTAATCACGTTATTCAATAAAACCTAATAATTATTTAATCTACATATAAGCTGGCTTATCATATTACGATATTTGCTGTATTAATACAATATTAAGTTGAGGAAAAATTTTATTAAATTGTTATTCAGTGTCTTTAGGTAGCTATATTGGAGCTTTCTAGAACAATGGATAATACCAGAAAAAATATTTTAGATAAATTATAAGCACACGATACGCCTAAGGTTTGTGCATTAATCACTACGCTTGATCAATGGATTGGCGATTGCAAACTTCTAATTAAAATTACCAAGTCTAGGTTTCCACGATGTTTTCATCACCGTATGCCAATGGTGTCTAAGTATTGTTAAAAAACATATGACTAGGGAAAGCCACATTGATACTTTCCAGATTTCGACTCGCACTCTCATGCATGAGAAGCGGCCTTCGGCCCACCACAACTTTCTATCTGAACATATAATTCGTAATTATTTAGGCGTATCACGTTAAAGCAATGATTGGAATGGGAGTTATTGTTTATTTTGCTCACCAGACGGCGCCAGTGTAGACCTTTTATTTCATCCAATAGGGAATTAACTAGTGCCACATCAGTGGACGTTTAATTTTTGAAAGCTAAACTGATGGAATAAACAGCTGTCTTAATTTTCAATTAAAAACGGGCTCCACTTTAGGTCCGTCATCTTTATTTTTTAATTTGGGTGATGATATTAATACAATAGTTGGCTGTATTTTGGTAGAATAAAGTTAAATGTACAACTAGATATAGACCATAAATTGCTCATTCAGGGATTAGTAAATAGATCACATTATAAAGACCTTTTCGGAAAATATTGTAATCAAGACAAATAACATATTTTGTGTTGCACATTACCTCTCCATATCCAGTGACTTGCATGTACTTTGTAGTGAGTGGAGCCCTCTCTCGATGGGAGTGCAGGTTACGACCGGTCTGGGCGTGAGTCAGTCGCACTAGGTCCCCACTCCTCACCAGGACCACGCCTTCCACCTGTTCCTTGTCGTATGGCTTTATAACCCACCGATTGTTATCATCTTTGTGTGTGTATGTAGTTATCTGTAAAAAAAAAGTATTATTAGTACATATTTAAATAAATTAAAAATGTTGACCCACGTTTAAAATACAAATTCACATATTTAACAATAAGTGTGAGCGATTTCCCCAATCCTTGCCCTCACCAGCATCCCTTCTCAATCCCTAAATCCACTTTTTTTTACTTGATATAAACTAGTGCTTGACTGCGATCCCACCTGGTGGTAAGCAGTGATGCAATCATTGATGGTAAGGCGCACTTATCCCCAAACGTCCTGCAACGCTCTTGTAACTCTTCTGATGTTTGCGGGCAGTAGGTAATTCTCTTGCTCGTTGGCCGTCGAATGACACAAAAAACATAGATGTTTTGAGGAGCACAGTAAATGCTTCAAGCTTTTAGTCAAATGCATGATTACGTATTTGCAAAGTCAGGTTGACCATGTACATAATTTTAAAGGTGTCATTGTAATATATGCTTCCCCTACCCACATTCCTCCACAATCCTAAAATCTGCGTACGTGGGCGGCGCCGATTACATACCATCAGTGAATACGCCAAGTCGTTTGGTGACCTATAGACACGTGCCGAAGCATGAACGAAGAAGGAAAGTTTTCGTTTGTAGATATGTATCACACAGGAAAACTTCAATGTTCAATAGTAATTTTGAATGTTTCAAAAGTCATTATAATATATACTTTAGTTTAATTTGTATTGATCTTGATCTCGTAGTTTATTTTTACTTGCATTCATGTCACGTGTACAATGGATAATGAGAAATTAGGTATACCTACGCGTGATTTAATAAATGAAGATACCTAACTACTTTCATAATTTACCTAGCAAGCCAGCTTATTGCGTCACAATCATGTGACTCAGATTACTTGACACTTGGCGCACTCGTGTGTTAATCCCAATAGATATATCTGGATACAAACCAATTTTGCTAAGTTATTATGTTGCTAGCCTACCTTTTTTTTGTGAGGGGAAAATCATTAAATGAGTTTTCTCACACAGGTTGAGGCGAGAGGGAGCGTCAGACTCTTGCTGACTAAAATTCCCCCGTTCCTTCTCCTGCTCTAGGCCGAGGCCGCGGTACTTTATCGCCAGTTTACGTTCATTTCTTATTTTTACTACCGGTTATAATGTCCTTTACGAGCCTTAACCAATTAAAGGACGTGTCATAGGTTGTTTATAGTAACAGTTATTGTTGACGTATTGTGCCTGTCTGAGGTAGTGGTGTGGTTTCTTCTTCTTCTATCTATTATTAGTACTATTATTGATCGAAGTTTATTAGTTACAATATTATATTTCACTAGCTACTCTGTTTCTGTTTCAGTTTCACCCGCTGCTCAGTTCCATTTAATCGTAACGTGATGTTTTATAGCCTATAGCACTCAGGGACATTGTAGCTACCTATCAGTGAAAGAATTTTGGCAATCCGACCAGCGCTTCCAAAGATTACCCCCTACATACAAACTTACAAATTTTACCTCTTTATAATATTAGTATATGTGTTTTTATGTTTTTGAGATCATCCTATGACTTCACCCGCTTCTGGGATGGGCGACAGAGATATCTAGACTGTAGCGACATCTAGCGCACTACATAAACAACAGCACCAATCACGAGCAAGAGTCTACATCGCGCTATAAGAGTAACACAATTAGCACCCATACAGATATCCCGACAACAACCGTCGGGCAGTAGCCCACCAGGCACGTACACCTCGCCTGGTCTGAGGATCCTCCCTTTTCAATGGAGGATGAGGAACTCTCCACCCTGTTCCTCATACCTCTAAACTGGTGACCCCGAACATGAACATCATGCAGCCTTCGTGCAACTACGTCATAGCCATGACGTCATCACTTCCTCAAGCTTTCAAGCAGCGAGTCTACAGTCAGCCAGCTTCCACGGCTACAACGGGTTCCCTGACCACCAGCATGCAGCCGACGCGCATTCCTGGTCAGCACCTACAGCCTCATCAGCAACTTCGGCACAGCATACTGCACCGGCCGGTCAGCAAGCAGAGACGTACTCCCTCTCCTGGTCGACGCAGCAGCCAGCCACTCTTCAGCACTGCAACACCCCGACTCACTGGGGCATCCCCGCAGACAGTTCCGACTCACCGTGAACTATGCGGCAGCGGTTTCCACGCACTGGAACCATCAACTGGCTCGACAAGACAAGACATTTAGACGACCCAACCTACTAACGACCTCCGGTCTCGGAGGGGAGTGATGTAGCGACATCTAGCGCACTACATAAACAACAGCACCAATCACGAGCAAGAGTCTACATCGCGCTATAAGAGTTATCAACACAATTAGCACCCATACAGATATCCCGACAACAACCGTCGGGCAGTAGCCCACCAGGCACGTACACCTCGCCTGGTCTGAGGATCCTCCCTTTTCAATGGAGGATGAGGAACTCTCCACCCTGTTCCTCATACCTCTAAAAGACTATTACTGACTAAAAACCACTCCGCCCCTTCACTGGCCCCGCAAGTCTGGTTGATTGTGAAATGTTTATTCCATAGTTTTTATCTATACAAATTATGGGAACAGACCTGATTGAAAACCTGACTTTTACTGTAATACGGGTTGCACTCGGATTACGATTTAAACCTCAACCGGACTCCCTGGACATCTTCCAAACTAGTACACATTCGAGAAAACTTAGACGAATGATAGCCCTACCTAAGGATGTCATGAATGAATAGGTAGGTAACGAACCATAACCTTCAAAATTAAGCATATCTGATTGCGATACTTCAATTAATAATTGGAATTATCGACGATGAGTCTGGTAGTGTGTAGGTAGGTTTAGGTGTAGCAATAATTATATTATTATTTGCTATCAAAAAAAGTAATTCATTAAATATTATTGAGGCTTAACTATGACAAGACTAAAGGCTTATATGTAATTTACGTTACTGGTAGCTTATCGATGTAAATAAACATTTAATTCGTTATTGATTAGTTGCTAAGCGCTAATCTCGATTATAGCTGGATCGGTTTGGATAAAACCAGTTTTGCCTTCGGTTCGATTAAATTGAAAATTTCTGAAGTTTCATAAGATTTAAGTACCTCTTATATATGTATAAACTGATTTGAAATATTAAGTTTTAAGTGAGTAGTTTATGTCTTATTATCTTAATTTGTTTTTTGTACATTTATTTCCTCAGGTCTGCAAGAATCCAACCGCCGCAGTAGGCGTCACTCCGGGTGAGCTAGACTAGCTCGCCGCCCGACAGGAACCAAACCTGAGCGTACGCGCGCATCTCAATGAGCCTATAAACCATACCACAGGCGGGGCCCGACAGGCCTGATGTTCACCCGGGGTTGCGGGGCTAGCGCAATAAGCTACCGCAACCTCAGCCTAAACAGATTTCCCCCTCACCAAAAAAGGTCTACCAGATTAAAGATTCTTTAGCTTCAGTCAATACTTTGTGTGACAAACAAATTGTTGTTCCGGGTCTGGGTGTCATGTGTATGTGAAATTGTATGTTTGTAACCGCACCCACGACACAGGAGTAAATCCTAGAGAGGGGCAACGTTTTATAAAAAAAAAATACCCATTGTACGATATGTCGTGTGTTACACTTGCCGTACATAGATAAACACATAAATAAAAGTATTAAGGGGAAAATCTTCTTTTGCCGTTGACCTCAATACGATGATAAGTAAACGATTGTACATATGTAAGTACATAATAAGTACTTACTTATTATGATAAGTTTCACTGATTCATGAATACCGGAACCTTGAAAACGTGGTTCGAGTTCTCAGGGAAGAAGGTACGAGATTTTGTGAAATGCAGCGTAAGGGCAAGAAGTCGAAGCTTTCGGAAGAGACTTTAGGGCTTATGAAGAGACGACGTGAAAACCCACCCGTCACTTCGTCAGAGAAGCGGGCTCTAAACCGAGAGATTAGCAAACACGTGCGACACGATCTCCGGTGCTCGAATACCCTTGCAATCGAGAGAGCGATCGAGCAAAACCGGGGGCCAAAAGTGTTCGTACAATCTCTTGGAAGAAGCCACCTGACGAAGTTGACCACAGCAAGTGGAGAAGTCGTTGTCTCGAAGCCGGCAGTTCTTTCGGAAGTAGAAAACTTCTACGGCCGGTTATACGCTTCGCATGCATCTCGACCTGACCCCGGAAATGAGGACTCTAGAGCCACTTTAATACGCCATTACACCGAAGACCTGCCAGAAGTCAGCATTGACGAAATCGAGATCGCTCTTGGACAGCTTAAAAATGGAAAAGCCCCTGGAGAGGATGGCGTTACGACAGAGCTTCTAAAAGCAGGCAGCAAACCGGTACTCAGGGAGCTGCAAAAGCTATTTAACGCTGTCCTGTTTGAAGGGAGAACTCCAGAGGCGTGGAGTCGGAGTGTGGTCGTCTTATTCTTCAAAAAGGGTGACAAAACCCTACTGAAGAATTATCGACCCATTTCCCTTTTAAGCCACGTCTATAAGCTGTTCTCGAGAGTGATCACGAACCGCCTTGCGCGAAGACTTGACGAATTCCAACCACCGGAGCAGGCTGGGTTTCGGAGCGGATACGGCACCATAGACCACATCCACACAGTGCGGCAGATTATACAGAAGACTGAGGAGTATAATCAGCCCCTGTGCCTAGCATTTGTGGACTATGAGAAAGCCTTTGACTCGGTCGAAATCTGGGCTGTTCTGGAGTCCCTGCAGCGATGCCAAGTAGATTGGCGATACATCCAAGTGATGAGATGTCTCTACGAGGCCGCCACCATGTCCGTCCAAGTACAGGATCAGCAAACAAGGCCGATACCGTTGCATCGAGGTGTGAGACAAGGGGATGTTATCTCCCCGAAATTGTTCACAAATGCAATGGAGGATATGTTCAAGACGCTGAACTGGAAAGGACGCGGCATCAACATAAATGGCGAGTACATCTCTCACTTGCGATTTGCAGACGACATCGTCATCGTAGCAGAAACGCTGCAGGACCTACAACGGATGCTGAATGACCTGGCTGACTCTTCTATACGCATCGGCCTACGGATGAACTTGGATAAAACCAAGGTCATGTTCAATGAACATGTACTACCGGAACCGATTGCAGTACACGGCGCTGTTCTCGAAGTCGTTCAAAAATATGTATACCTCGGGCAGACATTGCAGATGGGTAGAAACAACTTCGAGAACGAGGTGAATAGAAGAATTCAGCTAGGTTGGGCAGCATATGGAAAGCTGCGTCAAGTCTTCACGTCGTCGATCCCACAGTGCCTAAAGACGAAAGTCTTCAATCAGTGCGTCCTACCTGTCATGACATACGGAGCCGAAACGTGGACACTGACGGTGCGGCTGGTTCACAAGCTAAAAGTCACTCAGCGAGCTATGGAGAGGGCTATGCTCGGCGTTTCTCTGCGAGATCGAATCAGAAACGAGGTGATCCGGCAGAGAACCAAGGTAATCGACATAGCCCACCGGATTAGCAAGCTGAAATGGCAGTGGGCTGGCCATATTAGCCGAAGAACCGATGACCGTTGGAGTAGACGAGTTCTTGAGTGGAGACCGCGTCTCGGCAAACGTAATGTAGGACGTCCTCAGGCAAGGTGGAGTGATGATTTGCGCAAGATGGCTGGCAGGAGCTGGATGCGAGTGGCCGAAGATCGATCCCAGTGGCGTGCAATAGGAGAGGCCTATGTCCAGCAGTGGACTGAAAAGGGCTGATGATGATGATGATGATGACTGATTCATGTTACTTGAAAATACCCAGTGTGCAACCTTCTAGATACCAACTCTGGCGAAGAATGAAACTCCTTGGTTATTTTCACGATAAAACGATAAAACTCGAAGCATAGCGGTATGTGCGAGAAGGTGTAACATCAATTACCAACCTACATACCAGAAACTTATGAATATTGCTATTTTTTTTTTCTTGACTATATTATAATAGGATAAATAAATAAAATAGCAGTTGCTGAAAATAAACGAAAAAATATATTAAAGTACGTACCTGTTGCTGTCGCGCCCCAACTCCAGAAGGGTATAAGTGATGATGGGAGTGCAGATACCCGCCTCCGGTGCGATGGTTCTTGAGAGATATGAGCGCGCCATACGCTACACTCTTTGGGGCGCTTGCGTTATGCAGGCTGTTGCCTTCCAGTCGAGCTTGGAAACCAGACGAGTAGAAACCATCGCCGTTCCCGCTGTGAACAGAACAGCAGATTAATACCCGGTTTCTGAAATGCTTGTCAACGCTAAAATTAAATAATCTCCTGTTAAATCTCTTGTCAAGTCATCTGATTGGTTGTTGATAATTCAGTCAACCAATCAGATGATTTGACAAGAGATTAAATTGAAGAGACAGAAACTGCTACATACCATGTTATATTCGTACACAGTAGTATATGTGGAACTATATTAATGTTATAGTCCATAACATTTTGAGTTTATAGTCCATAAACTCAAACCTTCTTGTTAATTTCTCCCGCTCTGGGTGGGCGAAGGGGAGAGTCAGACTCTTACTGACTAAAACCCACCCGGTAGCATATGAGAATTGAACTTCGAAATTCATTCTCGCCAATCGTACGTGTTTCCATTTGCCAAATAACCAAATTCAATTATATGTATATTCAAAACCTACACAATAATTTTGTATAATCTAATTAATACAATTTTCCCAATCTAAATAAAAAAATCTATAGTTAAGGAACGGCTGTACCGATTTTTATGTTATTTGTGTAATAAGATAAGCTTTTGAATTACCTAATACCTATACTTAAGTGTTACCTATACAAGGTAAACAAACAAACAAAAAAACCCACGCAGTAAATAAATATCGGAATTATCTCTAAGATTAAGCAAATACCTAGAACTAATTAAAGGTATTCAGTGGCTTGGAGAGACAAGCACCGCCTTCCTTTAGCCAACATTTCTTTATTTTTTATGTTTTTTACATTTTAAAGAAGGCTTACAGACTAATAGACAAATTATATAATTACTCTAATATTATCACGTTGCTAATTACAAGCCTCCACAAATAAAGAACGACAAACATACGACAAACAATGGAACGAATTAAATTTAAAGGTCAAGTTGAAATATATATTGGATGGTTCAGCTAACAAATATATGCTTAAAAATATGACTTGTAACATACTATTTGGTATATTCAGAAATGTAGGTAAATGTTATGTTAGAAACTTTGTGAAGATACTTTATGATGATTTTGCTTGCTTCTAGCACCTACCATGGCTCCTCTCTACGTCCCCAAAGGTTCGACTAGCACTACTGACAGAGAATGCCTATGGCATTAAGTCGACCTTGTACATAAATGTTTGAGAAAAAGCTTCAATAATAATTAAATAAATACTTTCTGCGATCGGCTTCGCTTGAATCACCGGAATAAAGATGGCATGGGCCCGGGTATGCATATTCAGGGTGCATGGAAACGGATCACCTGAAGGCCGTTTCTGACGTTTGACGCTCTGATTGGCCGGCTCCAAATTCACCAACCAATCAGAGGGCTAAACAGTAACGTTTCAATGCCTTTAATGTTACGAAAATTCTCACTAGACATTCTGATGATAAGCAATCGGCGCCACGCAATAAACAGCTTACCACTAAAGAAAAGGAAATATGTAGCAACTGTTTATTATAATATATGAAATGCTAATAAAAACTTTTAATTTTAATTTGGGTAAAGCGTGGGATAGCCATGCTTCGGCACGAATGGCAATGTTATCGGCGTCAAACAACCACAGCGTTGTGTTTCGCCTTCTGAGTTAGGTTTCCGGGTCTCAGTCCTTCCTCTTCATAATCCCTAAATCTCCAAATCCCTAATCTCCGAAAGGACGGCAACGCACTTGTAGCTCTTCTGTTGTCGCGGGTATCCATGGGTAGAGCTGATTGCTTACTGTCAGGTAATCCGTCGGCTCGTTTGTCGACATATCACAAAAAATAATAATTTAAGTTACAAAATGCGTTGGAATAAGACCGTACACAAAAAGACCGTATTATCAGTCCTTCCCGTCTATTCGTGCAAAATGAATTTGACGTGTAATGTACGTTCATAAATTGTAATACGTACGTTAAGGATTGTTAAGCTACTGACCTCTTACTGAGCACTGTTAGATGTATCCAGAAGAATAATACATAGAGTAGTGTCGGCCAGAGAATCAGTGTCACGGTTCTACCGATCAAGTGCTTCACTGTAAGGCTCTGAAACAAATGTAATGTAACATTATAGTTTATACGGCTAGTTGCAACAATAGGGAAAAAATAAGGATCTGGCAAACGAGCAGACCGATCACCTAAAGGTAAGTTATCAGCACCACCAGAAGAGTCACAGGCGCTTCGAATGTTTGTAAGTCGTATCCGTTCGGAAGTCATCATTCCAAAGTTTTGCTGTGCGAGGCAGAAAGTTTAGCGAAAATCTTACAGTTCTTGACTGCTTACCATCTATATGATGGGGAAGAATTTTCTCGGGTCGATGACGAAAAGATGCGTCAGGGATGAAATCGAGCTTTTCCTAAGCATACACTGACATAACCTTCCTAAAACCTTAATAAAAATAGGTATTTATACTCACAACAGGTTTACTCAGATCTCCTAATACGTTCCACAAGTCGGCTATGGTGCGCAGTCCTACAAACAGGACGACGAACAGGCCGACAAACTTGACAGACATGGTGCAGGCGAGGGACGCGCCTAGGAACAGCTGCCAGGACAGCATGCGGACTGAGAATGGTTGGAGATTATCCTCGGTTAGAGTTCGAACCTGGGTGAAAAGAGAGTTGTCAATTTCGTTCTTGCTTGTCGTTAGAAGACTTTTTTGTGAGGTGAAAATCATCATATGACTTCTCCCGCAGCTCCCGCTAATGGTAAGGCGAGAGGGAGTATCAGACTCTTACTGACTAAACCCCCCACCCCTCCATTTCCTGCTCTAGGCCGCGGTCGCGGTGGAGCATTGCGCTTACCCCGCAACCAAAGCTGGTCGTGTTTAGTCCTACATATGGCCCTTATGTCACCTGGTGGTAAGCAAAGCAGTAATGTAGCTCGCTTGCCCTCCCAAACCTGTTACTGTGGCCTTTATTTGAGGTTTGTACAATATATTATTTAGACACCTGCTGTATTTGATAAGTTTTCCTATCGGTTCCGGTCATAGTGGACAATATGTCTAAGTAGACTGGCCCATTACTCAGGAAATAATATAGTGCACAAGTGTGTGTGCAGAGTGCATCCGTGTGCACTCCTAGTTCCCTGACTTTCTGATTCCGACGGGACCGGAAAGAGGTCAGAGCAACGGCTTTATGCATTTTTCAGGCAGAACACACGAGGGTAAAACGCTGCGGAACTTCCTGATTTTCAGATAACAAAGGTCGTTTGATTTGAATCCATTACCAATATCATCCAATGATGCACCAAATAATTGGATTGTGATACTGATTGAAAAATATGTAATTTCAGACGTAGGTATTAACGTGTACCATACTGGAAATTTGGAAGCCGAAAATTCCGCTTCTGTTTGGTAAGGATTGCATTTGCATCCCAAAACTGCTGGTAGATATCATGTTGGATAGTGTCACCTAGGGATTTCCGTTCGTCTATAGATACCTAGTATAAATACAAATTTACCTCATAAACACAAATTGCTTTTTGAAGAATAGGAAAATCCGTAATAGGTACTTTGAATATTTACTAATAAAACTAACAATGAATGTTACAGTACTTGATTTACGACATACCTTAAACGCTCCATATATAGAACAGCTCATACAAAACAATAAAATCGGATCCAATAATATGTATCTGTTTAGGGTTAGAAAACCCACATCTGAAACAAAGGAGTACATAGTTACAACGTCACTACAATTCCAAGAAATATGGCGTCATGAGTTTTTTATGTCAAGTACTTGTACGATATTGGTAAACCCAGTTTCTAAGTCAGATATTAAATTATTAAATAGCGTCATTCTCTCGAGGAATTATTCTTAGACGTTTTGTAAAATATAATTGATTAACTGTTTGTATATGCAGGTACTGCAAGTAAATGGGTAATACGACGAATAATATACTATTTAGTGGCTAGTATTATCTTAAAATGTCAGCCTGACGTCTGTTGTCTTAAAACGGCAATTATTATTGTCTTTGCAGGTCATGGCAGACTTTGTTAGAATATGCATGGCCAAGAAACTTTTGAGTATAAGTTCCTTGATGTATGGCACTCCTACTTTTTCGGATATGACAGAGACTGCATCGTTTTCGAATTAACCAAAACATTTTTAAGTGCTGTCTTCTGCTGTTTGCTAAGTGTTAACGTTGGGGCAAATCCTCTAATTGTTTAAACATATTAAAAGTTGTATAGCATAGCTCAGTAGTGGATAAACACAGGCTGTGGATGGCTGATGACGGTCGTTGAAATTTATTCATAAATTGGTGCCGCGCATCGCGGTTTTGATTCCTACACGAAACAAATCTTTGTGTGATCTACAAACAGTTGTTTCGGGTCTGTGTGTAATAATATGTATTTAAAATTTTATGCCTAGAAACGCAGCCAGGGAAATATACGAGTAAATGGCAAGGTTTAAGAAAAACAATTCAAAAAATATGACGACGATAATTGTAAGCACCTAAAAATCAGGCGAAAGGCCTAATAATAAACAATACGGTTGAATAAGAACATCCACTTTTTTTAAAGTAGGTTAAAAATTTATGTAGATTTGCAAAACACTTACCACACAATAACAGCATGGTCCCAATCAATGTAGACTCAAGTGATTTAGTCATTTCCCATATGGATAAAAACGTCAATGGGATTATTAATGCACCCAAAGTAGTGCAGAACTGAAACAAAATAATCACATTCAATTCTGTTAGATAGTTTAGTGTGTATTTCATATTTATTTATTTGCAAGTGCAAAGTTCCTGCAGAAGATTTTGGTTTGAAGTTTTATATTATTATACAAGACAGCAACAACAGAGGAGTTGCAAGTGTGTTGCCAGCATTATGGGGATTAGGGGTTTTTGCGGATTCAAGGATTGAGTAGAGATGGGGAGATAGGTAAAATTGGGTCTCCGGTAACCTCACTCACACAGCGAAGCTTTAAGGTGTTGTTGTTTGACGCCGGTTTTATGTGAGGCCATGGTATCATTCCGGTCGAATGAAAAAAAATATAATTTTATGTCATTGGTCATAGCTAGATAAATTACTTACAAGTCTCATTCCTTCATAGCGAGCTCCTTCATATTTGTCGCCTGGCTTCTCAAATGGAAATGTTCCATCATATCCGGTTAGCTTTCCAGACAATGCTATAAGCATCTAATAAATAAAATATAAAAGTAAATTAGTTTCACAGCACAAACTGGTTTCTTTAATTATATAAATTATTTGTTTTTTGTTGTCTACATTAAGGTTGACTGGCAGAGAATTCCATATGGCATTAATTCCCCCTTATGTACCTTTGTCTACCATGTGTTCATTAAAGTACAAATAAATAAAACACATGACAAAGATTTGATTGATTATTTGTTGTGATTGAAGTAAAATTGCAACTACTTCAGGCATTAAAAAAACTTTCACTGTTGAACAGGTATATTTTCCCCGGCAAACATAGGTATTATTCATATATTCTTGTATTTTCTAGCTTAAAATTAAAACTACACTTTTGCATGATATAATATAAATTTTATCAAAGTATGATGCTATACAACAAGAATTCGATTGGATTAGCCTTATGAGAATTAAACTTTCAACGGTGGTAATATGGGGCACAATTCTAAAACAACAAGTATGTGAATAAGTTTGCTTGGGATTTAATTAATGAAATAATAGAAATTGCTAGCATGTAAAATATATTTTTTTATGTAAAAGTTTTTGTTTACCTTCCCTAGAGGTGGATGAACATCAAAGAAGAAGGTTCTATTTATGTACCAACTAGCCATCTTACCAAAGTGAGTTTCATCCCAGCTGAAAGAAATAAAAATTATAATATCATCCACTAAACAGGTTCGAAACTAGTAGAGCTTTTCTCATCATTTACACGTGAGTAACCCGCGAATTTTAGTTAATATCATCCACTTTCATTATATTTATATGAATGATGATACCTATCTTGCGAGAACAACTACTCTTTAAGTATTTCAAAGCATTTACTTTGGCAGTGAATCTTTAAAAATCTCAGATGCAGACTGTAGAATCAGTTTTTTTAACAATAAAAATTCATTAGTTGGCAAAATAACCAACTTTAAAAGTTTCTAACAAGGCAAAATAATGAAAATAATTTTCACTTTACCAAACATGGTCAGGCTCCAAAACTTTATAAAATCTAGTTACAAATGTAGCACCACACAGTATACCGAATGTAATCCACCATCTGCAAATAAATAGCTTATGAAATTATTGAAAACTTATTTTCAAAGTTTTTAAACTAAGGAGTACATTGGAGAATTTAGAAAGTACATTTTATTAATTGGCTTCGCTGTTTCACTGCTTTTCTTCTTTTCACACATTGTGATGTAGGAATTATTTTCATTAAAGTATAAAACCTAAATCGTTATAAACATTTTAATTCACGAATTTTAGCAAAAAACTACAAAAATAACGGTACAATAACAAGACACATAGTTCCCTGCCGTGTGACAGTGACAATCATAAGGTCAATCAACTGTCAGCTGTTTCCATGTTGCCATGACCAATATTTTTGCACAGTTCAGCAAAAATCGAAGCATCCCAGATAAATCACTGCAGTCAAGATTCTGTTATGATTCGGCATGTATTTCGATACTATTTTAAAATAAAAAACTAGTTAAATTATAATTTGCATTGCATTCCATTTTTATTTAATTGTAGTTTAGGTTTTCGTTTGAGTTTATAAAGGAAACGAATGCAGTCATAGAACAAAAATGTTCTTAATGAATAACATACATTTTTGTTTAAGTGACAAACATCAAGTTTATAGCTTGAAAATGTAGATAGTTGTTTAGACTTCTGACTAAGGAATGTCGTGAAAATGGAACGGTTTAGAACTGACTGACATGTAACTAGTGAGGTGAGTAGATTTAGTCAGTTGACTGCAACTTTCAAAATAATTTGTCATGGCAAATACGAGATGATGAATGAAAAAAGATGATGAGGATTATTTTCCTGAAAATTCTGTTAAAAATAAGATTATAAATTCGTCATGAAATTTGATTGAAAAAAATATAAATATGAGGGAGTCTTCGTTAACCAGTTTGATATTATAATATACCTCTATAGTAATATTATCAGATTGAATTTTAATGTTCTATTCATTGGCATACTAAGACACTGGCGGTAAACTAAATAGCAACGTACAAATAGGTAATATTATAATCATTTTATATTTCTATTATGCATTTATTGCACAATATTAGACACTTAAATGTTAGGTGTATTTTTAAATTTTAAACTAACATAATTATATCACAAGTTAATGTCATATCATAATCATAAGTTAATATCTAATAATGTAAGACATCCTGCCCTACAGATGCATCAGAGTGGCACTGAAGTTGAAGCACGAGTTGGCGCATTATATCTGGATGTCAATGCATACCTAAGGATATTAAGCAAACACAGGGTCCTCTAGGGCAACTCTAAGTGGGATTTATGACAATTCCCGTTCTGGTTTAATCTGAATCTGAGCTTGATTGTCCTGGTATTAAGGATGTGGATGTGAGTCCATGGTCTTCTCCCCTCTCTTATTTCGCCACTGTTTTCATTGATAAAGTAGATTTGAATAATATAAAAAGTATTAACTACAATAAAACTGACTAGCATGACTTTCTCTCTAACATTTCAAAATGTTAGATTAGTTTAAAACATATTTGTTTTATTTAAATTACACTTTGAAGATAATCGCTTTTAATCGCGATTTTGTAATTTTATTGAGGTTTTATTTAGACTTTAAAAATAATAAAAAAAGTAGTTGACTATAAAATCGTCGAGTAGGTACATCACTAGTGATAATTTGACGCGTGAAATCGTGAACAATGTCAACAAATAAGTTTATCCGTCTTCGCTGATTCATGTGTCGATAAAGTAAACAAATAAATAGTAATCCGCATCGCCTTCACTGTTCATTTTGTTAGCACTGTAGTCTCGACTATGACGGCGAAGTGACGATTACATCATGAATATAAATAAGTATTTAATAATTTTTAAATTGTTATTATTTTCATGTTGTTTGTGTGAAATAAGCGAGGGTGAAAAAGAGAAACTTTTGAATGGCTTCCTAGAACATTATAATAGTTTACCTAATCAAATATATCGGAGTAATGAGGGATCTTTGCAAAGTACGCAGCAAGTGGTAAGTTTAAGAATATTTTTGTAAGTTACTAATATTATCGGGACTTACTTTGATTGTTACTTCATTAAACTTTTTACGCGCACTACTACGGGTTATCTTAAGACCTCTGTATCTTAAGTTATCTTTTTCGTTAAACATCCATCTCTAATTTTAAATGTAGAATAAACTTTCAAATAGAATATTATAACTATATTTTCCTGTATGTTCAAACTGGTTTTTCAATTTAACTTAAACCTTGGGCATATTGATGCTACTGTTCTTAACTTTTTTTTATTAATTATTTTTTGTTTTCAAAGTTATTTGTTTTGCAGGATGATAGCACATACCAGATAGTAGCAAAGATAAAAGTCACAGACATTCAGAATGCTGATCTAACTAAGGCTCTGACTTGTACTGCTACTCTCAAGGATGATGATGGTCATGTTGCTGTCACACAAAGTCGTTGTCAAGAATCTGGACAGGACTCCAGCCAGGAGACGGCTTCAGAAGGTCAGGTGGAAGTGGCTGAACCTGTTGTTGAAAGGAGACCAGTACAGTTGGACAATGAAGTACAGTCTGACACAGCTGTAAGTAAACTTTAGACATTAAATTATATTTTATTTAAATTTGTTTGTGCAGATGCTTTATGATAGATGCATTAAAATAAACATTCTGTGTTGTAACCTTGAATTTTTTTGTATATTAAGTTATGATATTATAGTACTAGATCTATGTTTGATAGCTGCAGAATTATTAATTTACATATGCATTCGAATCATAAAAACAATTGAACAGATTTGGAAGCAATTTAGCATACCATAAAGAGGAATCTGGTTAAAGTATTTTTTTCTTTATTATGCTCAATCAACTGCCACTACTATTATAATTAAAATTACCTATGTATACCATATGTATATGTATTAAGACTTAAAAGAAGTACCTAACTAAATAACATCAATATAGTTTAGTATTAAATAAAACAATAATTTAATTTAAGCTCTAAATATAGTTTCTATAATTCTTAGGTATTAAAAAAAAAATTAGTTCTCAAAACATAGGTAATATGGCATAGAAATATTGAAATAATTGATAGAAGGATTTAGATTAATTTATGAATTATTTTTTTTATTTTCGTGATTGAAACGCGCGTTCATTTAATTCTCGCGCCTTTGCATATACATCGTTTTTTAAATATTAACGTGGCCTAAAAAAAGACGCTTACGCGATGTAAATAAAAACGGTTTCTTCATGGAGAAATGGAAGAAAAAACATCATAAAAACACAAAGCTTTTTCGATTTAATTTTTTTTATCATAAATTTTGACCAGCAACACTGATGGTCCTCTTATGGGTTCAGGGGCTCTTAAAAAACATAAATTTTTTTTCGTAAACATAACAATTGTTTGGTAATACGAAATCATAAAACCTACCGAATGAGTAGGTATAAATATAAATAATGTAAAACCGATTTTTTTATTGTCGCGCTAAGATCTTGTTTTTTTCATAAATAATAGAAGAAAAAAAAAACAAACATACATACTCCATGGAGTTATTATGCAGCCGTAAGCGAAGTCGATAGTTAGACTTACTAGGGTAGGTACTTATGACTAGTTAAATAAAAAAAGTACCATAATTAGGGTCATCGTTCGATGTTTAAACATTTAAATACATATGTAACTATAATTAGTTAGTAAATATTTGCATTTAATTATAAGAAAATGTAAAATATAGATAATGAGATAACCCTTTATCGTGTCAGTGTATTGAATGAGGTCTGGGTGACCTAGAAACGTGTTTATATGTCAAGGATGCCAACAAATTTATTTCAGTTTAAAAATATAGTAATATTAGCTACTGTCGCGCGATTACAATCGCTGCAAGGGTCCTACTGATACACGTAGCGTGATATAGGTATAGGTTATAGCCTTCTTCGATAAATAGAACAACAAACACAAAAATAATTGTTCAATTCGAACCAGTAATTCCGGATAATAGCGCGTTCAAACAAACAAACTCTGCAGAATTATAATATTTGTATAGATGATAGATTAGTCCTATAGGCCTACCATGACGTGTTAAATTAAGCGTCAATCTTCCGGGCGAGAAAGAGGGAGCTATACACCTTTTATACCTCCATGTTCTGGAGTTCTTTCTCTTTAGGAACAATATTATGTCATTTCCTCGGCTTCTGACGTATTTAAATTATATTAAATAATCTTAGAGTATACATATCACTCGGAAAATGTCAACTTGGTACTTTCTAGGTTTTGAACCCGCCTGAATAAGAAGCGGGCCTTTAGCGCCTACCAAGCAACCATTAAATTATTCTAAAGCATAAATAAACTATATCGTATAATAATTCCCCCAATGAGGAAAAACATATTATGAGTTTCATTTAGGCGGGAAATTATCTTCGTGGATTTAACGCAAGTTAATAGTACCTACATTCATTGATAACAGAATATTTGTTATATAAAATTGATAATCTCTCATTTCTATACCTATATAACATATATTTCCTATGCGGTTTCACCAGCTGCTTGGCTGCTATTGGTCGGAGCCCGGTATTTTATTGTCTAAAAGCCATCCTCGACAGATGGAATATCCAACACACAGAAAAATGATTAAATTCGAACTAGTAGTTCCGAGGATAAGCGCGTTCGAACAAATGTATAAACCATGTATTAGCTTTATAATATTAGCTGGAGTTGCAAGGCAAGCGCAATAAGGCACCGCGGCCTAGGTAGGCCTAGGCCGCGGTGCAGAAGAAGGCATTCCTCTCACAAAAACGCTTTTAACATTATTATACATTAATTAGGTCATTCATTCTTAAACAGTTATCTGTATATAAGTTAAGTGTGGGAGAACCATGCTTCGGCACGAATGGGTCGGCTCGACCGGAGTGATACCACGGCCTCACAGAAACCCGGCGTGAAACAACCACGGTGTTGTGTTTCACCGTGTGAGTGAGGTTACTGGAGGCCCAATCCTTCCCCTTACCTAATCCCTCCCCAGTTCCTAAATTTCCAAATCCCTTAAAGGTCGGCAACGCACTCGTAACTACTCCGTTGCGGGTGCCCATGGGCAGCGCTGATTGCTTACCAACAGGTCTGTCAAATCCGTCTGCTCGTTTGCCGACCTATTACATACTACGACCTATACACACACACATATAAAATCTAAAGTTTGTCAATAGAAAAATCACAATTAAACTCGCTGGTTCCACTATTTATTAAATGGTGACTTTTACTATGTCAAACAATTTTATTATTGGTTTTATCGTGTTTTAAATAAAAGATTTTAATACCCTCTTACTGTTTGCCTGAATTGTAA